AGTATCGCCCCAGTGTTTTTGTGCAGGGGGAGGGGATCCAACTCGCATCCACCAGGGAGTGAACCGCCCTTCAAGGCTACTCGCGGGGCAAACCGCTCTTGGGGGGGACTTTCTTAGTTTATTTACATTTATCGTGGGGACGCTACTTTTAGCTACTTTTTCCCAGGATCCCCTGCAACCAACCAGTGGCAATTAGGGATTGCGACCAGGCTACTTTTCCTTGTATAGTCAAGCCGTGTGCCACCATCGGCTTGCTGGATCGATCGTTCCGACCCCATTGTCGTTACTTGGGATATCTTTGATCTCGAGGCTCGCACACTCTGACTAGTATTGTCTTGGGGCCGTTACGATCTCGGATCGTGGATCTACGTTTAGAGTCGTCCACCTGGGCTCTGTTTGACTCTTCGGTCCACAAGAGCACGCGAGTGTTGGCAGTGTGATCTGACACTCCTTTTTTTCGGTCTTCCTTTGACGACAGTCCGTGAATAGTTTATTCATCCTCACTCATTCGGACTGACTTCCGCGTCGTTCTTGGGAGGTCGACGACTGATTGCAACTCAGCCGTCTAACCCTCGTCTCCATCCTTCTGGGGAATCGTCCCCTCGAAGCGTATGCAACTAACTCACTGGGATCCTGCAGCCACCCTGGTATGCTGAATATGCACCCAAGACTCTGACTTTCAGGGCCGTTTGCGACATGCTGGTCTTTTGAGCCCGTCTCAATTTCCTTTCGATTCAGTTCCACCGAATAGTACCCGCGACGAGGCGTGAAGCGCGTGCTGTAAGTGCCGAGGACTCAATCCGTTTAGCCACGGGAATCTCGAATCCTTTTTGGACGCCAACCATCTTACGATTGCGATTTTTGGTGATCTCCGTGAAGTCTACATCCAGATAAATCCTGTGTCTTCACGATCGTTGTTTCCATTGCCCATCTAATTTAAACATTATACCCATTTGCATCTAATCGACATCTATTAACGTCCTGGAACGAGGAAGCAAAATTGGTGGGTGAGATATTTTATTCACCTGTTCATTGCATACAATTCTAGTGTGATATTGAGTCCTCCTACTGATCACTTCTGACTCTTCTAGATCATTGCCATTATCCCTTCCTCTCTGTGCACGAGCATCGGGCCTTCAGGAACCGTTTACCAACCAAGAGCAACTCTCAGCTTTGAAGTTTCTGGAATATCCAAGTGCTATTATTCCGTTACATCAACGGGAAGGACCAAATTTCATCGAAGTACAAGCAGGCTAGTGCTGTTGTTGTTGGTTTGGATTGTGATGCAGTTGGTTGGCCACTGTGAAATCTAGCGTCGCCCTACTTTCGATTCAATACTCGGCAATGTCTGGCTATTATGTTGGACCCTTCGGTCGTATGTTACCCGGCAAAGATGCGGCGTCTTCGGAGCAACCCATGGAGCGAGGAGCTAATCGGTCAGAATCCGGGGATAACAACCCTTACCAGCTTCCACCTCCACGACCGGCCGCTCTACAATTTGGATCAGATCCATTCTTACGACAGCGCCAACAAACTGAATCACATGAGCAAGGAAGAACACCACCATCTACAGAAGCCCCATCACAGCAACTCCCATCAGTTAGGTCCCTATTGACGCCCGTCTCCGGTCCAACTTCGCCACCTACCTACCATCAACCATACAACGCTCCTCCAACACATATTGAACACCGCGAACAGGCCTATCCATTTCGTCAGCATGAATCCAGTGTTGTTTCGCCCCTCGGTGGACATGACAGACCCGGTCGCCCGGACTCCTTACCTCAACCGTATACTCCAAGTCTACCGCCACTCTCGCAGGTAGCTATGACAAGTCCGAGAGACATGATTCACCACGCATCTCGAAGCGATCCTCTATCGGGAACTATGCCTAATCGACAATTGCCTCTCCATGCTGCTACCCTCCAGCATGAATCAGCTCCCGGCGGCGAGCTTTCTTCTCCAGAGAGTGGTCGATCACAGGGTACTTCCACTCTGCCCCATGTGGTAGATGAAAAGTACATCGATGGTGAAGGCTTCTGTTTTGTATATGCAGATGGATCACACGTCCCAAAAACCATCGACGGAATCCCAGTGAATGCCAATTGGGGTGTAACGAAGGCGGGCAAGCCAAGAAAGCGTCTTGCTCAAGCATGCCTCACCTGTCGCGAGAAGAAGATCAAGTGTCAACCGAATCTGCCGAAATGTGACCAGTGTCAAAAGTCTGGCCGTGAATGCCGATTTGAAAGCGCGTAAGTTTTGCAGAGACATAATAAAGCTGCTGTCTTTCGCTTTCGCGACAGAATTACTGCTGACCTTGTTTAGTCCCCGTGGAATCCGTTCTTTCAGGGGATCTCAGTCGGCTGGGATGCCTGGAGGAGTTGACGGAGAGGATTTTTCTCCTGGTCCATCGGGACACTCAGAAGCTTCACCTTCCATCTACAACATGGGACGAGCCTCGAAGAGCGCTACCTCTCTCCCAGGAACAAGTGGCCATTCTCCAATCTCCGATGGTGCGATGATTACTCCTTCTGGCACCGAGGGTGCACACGAGACAGATGCAGAGAGAGTTTACCGAGCTCGAGGACATCGAGTCCCTCGTCATTATTCAGAAGGTGATTCTGCAGCCCAATCACCGAAGAAATTCGAATACAATCGCCGGCAGAAATACTCGGAGATAATTGGGAATTTGCCGGACATCACCCCAGACGATCCACTCGCCGGCTACTATAACATCGACCCTTACGAGAGCGACCCAGAAATGACTCTTCATTATGTTGAATCATTCTTCTCAAACGTAAACGACAGTCTATACCACATATTTCCCCATGCGCGTTTCATCCTCTGGTTGAGATCCTGCCACACGAAATCCGCCGAGGACAAGATGTTACTCTATGCGATCCTGGCTCTGGGATCAATCTTTTCAGAGCGACCTGACAAGATTGGAGCGCTAAGACAAAACTACAGAATTGCTCGTTTTTCGATCCAAAAGAATCAATACACATTGTCTCTGCAGCTCGTGCAAAGCCATATCGTCATGAGCCTGTTGTACTACGCCACAGGTTCCTTATTTGGGTCTTGGGATTCAATTGGTGCCGCTACACGCGCAGTTTCTGGCCTGCGGTATAACATGGAATCAGGAGGAGTTGTGGTGGACCAGAATCATGCCTGTGAATTCGGATTACACCCACAGGCGCTGATGGAATGCCGCCGACGCACTTTCTGGGTGGCATTTATCTTAGATGTGAGTTTTTGAAGTAAAGATGCAATTGTGGAACCAAGATACTAACACCTGTACAGCGAGTCTCCAGCCTCTTCTTGGAGGCGTCTTCAACTTCCATCTCCTCGGAATCTGTCCTGATCCGCCTACCATGCAGAGAAGAGATCTACGAAGCGCAGCAGTATGCGACAGCGCCATACTTCCAATCCATCCTCAACCAAGGCACCCTCTCTGCTGAGGATGATCGATCCACTTTAAGCACAATGGCCTACTTGGTTCAGATTCTGACCATATGGGGTGACGTGTCTCACCAAATTTTCCGTTTGTCGCACACACCACCCGATAGGTACGCCCAGCTCGCCGAGGAGGTCCACACCACCGCCATCCGGCAAACGGAAGACTGGACGAAACAACTCCCCGAACACCTCGTCTTCTCGGCGTCAAACCTGGAGCGAGCGTGCCAAATGAAGAACACGGATGCTTTCGTTTCGATGCATATGCTTTACCACGCCACTTTAACAAAGCTCTACAGGAACGTCCGATACCCCAGTCTTCGATCAGACGTGCTGGCCGAGTATGTCCATCGATCTCGATACCACGCAGTGGAGACACTGAGGATTGCTGTCGCTACTCTCCAATACATCAAGGAGCTTGAAGCTTCGCAGAGCCCTACCGATTCTCCACCGCGAGGAAGTTTCCTGAATCCTTTCTTGGGCCATGTGATTCTGTCCGCCGTGGACGTTCTAAGTGCAGCTGGATTGTTGGCTGATCTACCCAACTGCATTTCCTTCATCAATGGGGCTCTCGAAATGGTCCATATGTTTGGCCGCCACTGGGATACCTCGCTGGAGCTGGCAAACGCCATCCAGAAACGACTCAACTCGATGGCTGATTGCTTGAAGGACCGAGCGAGTACTCAAGATAAGCTCTGCTTTACATTGGATGGCCCGTCCCTCGAGAAAAAAGTGTACAAAAGCACCTCGAGCTCCTCAGGTATCCCTGATGACGACGTCTTCTATGGAAGCATGCCACGAGAAGCTCTTCTACGTGCAATGAGAGTCGACGAAAACAGCATTTCAGAGAAAAACATCGTCTGGCTGAGAGATCGCTAAAAAGCGACCATACCTTTCTTTCAGTTACATTGCCCTGCAGAGCCAATCTGAAATTTGATTTTGCAACTCCTGTTTACTTCTGCTAAAATGGGCGGAGCTTTCTGTTTGTTGTTTTTGCTTTTTTTCATGGACGATATAGAGATATGCGTCCTATCTGCAAGGGCATTTCCGCTTTTTATCAAAGCTAATTGGCGCTGTCAGTTTCCTCCCTAGGAAACATGTTGGGAAAATTCTTGAACACCTGGGCACACAATTCGATTGGCTCCTTTCTTCTCACGACGTGATGGTATTGATGTCGACATTGGCGGTCCGTTTGCGATTACTGTATATTCTACTTATCCCATCCTATCCGCACGACTTGGTTAAGTCCCAAAGGGACCTAGCCCCTGTATTATAGTTTAGTATATGACCGTGCTTCGTTGGCCTACTGAATTTATTGACCGCTTCAAGTTACTGCTTGCTGTCTATTTACATGAGGCGAAATTTGAACTCCGAAGTCTGAAATCTTGCAGTTCCGCTCGTTCATGCTACACCTGGGCAACCCGGAGTGAATACCTATTAAATGCTCCAAGTTGAAACTGTAAATGACTAAAAGACCTCGTTTCAATACATGCAATCTCAATGAGGAATATTGCTCATTCTTACTCAAGCCCTGAAGCCCGCTGAATATCTCATGCTGAGATTTGACCTAAATTATACAGACTAACCCAAAACAATGTACCCTCGGATGGATCCATCAAGGTGGCATAGTGAGTGTCCTCATTCACAATTGGGAACGTGGTGAGCCAGCTAAGCGCTTCTTCAGGCGTGATAGCCTTATCTGAACCATCAGAATCCCCACGAAGCTTGCGTATTTCCAAATTAGCTTGCTTTTGCCTCTCAGCTGCCTTTTGTCGGAGGCGTAGTGACGAGCGAACTCCTGGTTGGTCGGTATTCGTTTCCTTGGGACTTTCATCAACGAGCGGCTCTCTTGTTTCTTTCCGAGCTCTATCCCGCTGATTCTGTTTCATCTTGTGATCCCATTTTTTCTGCATACACGCCCGCCTTTCTTTGCTGTCTTCGATCAACTCCTCCATCGATAGCGGTTCCTCCGAGACCAGGGCGAGTCTACTTTGGCTGCTTTCCTTGTCCTTTGCTGCATCTTGCGATGGCATTGCCGCCGAATCCTGGTCATTGTTCGTGACGACGATGAAGTTTCGGTCGAAACGGGTGATCGCTGTCTTGACATCTTTTTCCATTGTCACCGTCCTTTGTCCATCACTGAAGATGAGATAGGCCGCGGTAGTGGGTTGACTGGGAATATCGTCCATGATATGATACAAAGTCGGCAGTTTCGAGACCCACCCTAGGCGTTTTGAATTCGATGAAGACGGGACGAGACATTGTCGCAGAAGTGAAGAGATAGACGGGCGTCGACCAAGAAGAACAAGAAGATGATTGAGATAGAACGCGAGGTTTTTCGATGTATCATGAACTGGGCGGAAATTGAGCGACATGCTTAGATCTTTCCTCACGCCCGTGAGAACACCGACAAAGCCGGCATAGCTTACGCTTGTCGCGAGTACTTTCTCCGGGTCATCATCACGGACGAATTCCAGCTGGACAATCAAAGGCCGAAGCTTCTCCATGCCCCAATCCAGGGTCCGGAAATGAAGAATCCTGGTCTCAGATCCATGCTTTGTCCTCACTCCTCCACTTGTGCAGCCCATAAGGAGATCTAGGACAGTATTAAAGCATATTAGGAGGTAAAGGTCAATATCTGTGGCACGACTGATTCCTCGCAGTTCCTCGGTCTCTTCGCTTGTGGAGAGTCTGCGTAAGAAGGTACGAGCCAATCGATGAACCAATCCCAATGGAATCTTGGAGGATAGGGAGGAGACCAACTCGTCAAACGTGCCCCGTAGCGATCGCATTGGATCTCGGTAAAGTCGTGCTAGTTCTACATAACGCTCGACTGGGGGTAGTGAGAGATTGATGCGATGGACTGGAGGTGGTTGATGTAGCCAGTCGAATGTGGCAGCCGTGTCCCCTTCAGCTCTAGATTTGAGTGGCATAGTGTGTGCTGATGTTAGTCTGGGTGTCTTCTGTGCGAGTAAATAGTAGTAAACAGGGGGGGAATGGGAGGGTTCAGGCTGACGAGGCTGAGGCTGAGACTCCGCAGGCACCCTTCAAATGTGTAAAATGATATAGCCACCCTTCCCCAGACTAGAAGTAGTACGGTAATTTGCTTCTTTTATCATTCTATCTACTCTATCACTGAGATTTATTTCTGTTTTCTCATTAATTGAATTATAGAATTAAATCAATTAATTCTATAATTATATTATATATTACTAACCAAAAAAAGTACTAATACTGCAGGTAACTAGCATAAACCGTGTCATCCCATCCCTTTGCGGGGCCGACGGAGCGCGGAAAGTTTCTCCGAATCTCAACTTCCATCCTTTGTTGCACCACACTTGGGCACCTACTTCAAGTTGACAGAGCTTCCAGGTCATGGCCCTCCCTTACACCTAGTGCTTCTCGTCTAGTGCCCCGCAAGCTAGAGATGGCCTCTACCTTCAATCGGTCCGCCACCGTGGCCGACCACGACCCTGACTCGGACCACTACGATGACGGACTTGACGGAGACTACAGCTTGATTGCAGATGTTGCAGATGCAGACTACCCCGACGCGATCGACTACTATGCCCTACTGGGTGTTTCCTCTAAACCTCCTCCGACCGACGCCGAAATCCGGTCCGCCTACCGCAATTTGACTCTCAGCTTCCACCCGGATAAACAGCCTCCGCACCTTCGCGAAGCAGCACAGCGGCACTTCAACCAGATCCAAGAGGCCTATGATGTGTTGACCGATTCGCAAAAGCGCATAGTCTACGATATGCTTGGTGCAGAGGGTGTGAAGCGTGAGTGGGGAAATGACGGTGCCATGGGCAGCCACGGCGAAGCTGCGAACCAAGAGGTCGGCGTCAAGACTATGTCTTCGGACCAATTTCGGCGGTGGTTTTTGAAAACCATGAAGAAGCGGGAGCGCAAGGCTGTGGAAAGCCTCGTGGAAAGCCATGTAGGTGTCTAGCGTGGCGATTCTTTCTCCACGCTCTAGCTCATATAGATCATTGCTGACCATTCATCTTAGGGCACTTTGACCCTCGGAATCGATGCATCGGAAACAATCACAGTAGACGGCGAAGATGATGTGACTTTCCATATACCCTCGCCGGAGCTCTCCACGTTTGGGGTAAATTACAGTTTCAATACACCATTGTCGCTTCCAGACTTCTTTAGGACAAAAGGCAACAACTCTGAAGATAAAGATGACTCTACAGAAGAACCGGATCCAGAAGACGAGGAAGATGGCGATCTAGTACAGCTCACAATAAATGCTGGTGTCCGTGGCAATTTAAGAAAAAGAACGCAGCGATTGACTATTGAGTATGAAGACGGTACAGAGGATGTTGAGGTACCAATTGCTCCGATTTTGGCAGGAAATGCACTGGAGCTTGGAGCTACCGTGACCCCTAACTTCAAGGGCCTACTCGGCAACCGGGGTGTTTGGAATCGATTTCCTTTCTCTTTCCTAAAGGATTCAAACGTCTCATTCGGTGCGCTTCTACTTCCAACCCCAGCTCTTACGACTACCTTTACTGGATCATATTCACCGTTACTTGGCGCTCAGCCCTTCAATGTGGCTGCCACTGGTACCATCCAGCGATCTCTTCTTGAAAGCCCACCGTCTTTCCAGATACAGACGACAAAGATAATTGCCAAAAGAAAGGCTGCAGTGCTTACCTGGAACAGCGGAGTCTTACAATGGCCCGTTTTTCTCACTGAAACGTTCCCTGCACTTGGAATGGGCGTCGAATCATTTTATACTTCGATGGAAAACCCTGGCCAGCTTCAAATTGGCCTGGTGTCTTTCCCGGAGTCTAAAACTGATACTACGGAACCTGAAGGGGGAAATTGGGATGATGAAACACAAAGTCAGACGAATATCGATCGCTCTGCGGAAAGATGGAATGCATCCCTCACGCTGTCTCCAGGAGGAGGTGGTGTCGCTCTTTCATATTCAAGGAATCTATTTTCTGGGAAGCCAATGGATGATCCTGTGAGGACTGAGTGGAGCTCCGAAGGCTACCTGCCCATGGCAAAGATGAACGAAGCACGCGCAGTCAAGCTTCAGGTTGAGAGCGTTATTGGGCTCGACGGCTCTATCCAGTGGACCGTGAAAGGTACCCGACGAGTTGGCGAAAATACCAAGATTGGACTGGGTATGGGAATTTCGGCGAACAATGTTGCAATGACTGTCCACTGGAAACGTCTTGGCCAGAACATCAATCTCCCCGTCATTCTCATGCCTCACCGTCATCACGATGCTGCAGTACTTGCCACTGCCATCCCCTGGGTGGCATATTGTGCCATTGAATTTGGATATATCCGCCCACGGGATCGAAGGAAGCGTCGACAGGAAGTTGCCCGTCGCCACAAGGAGCTGAATAAGCTCATTCCCAAGAAACGCGCCGAAAGCAACCAAGCTATCGAGCTGATGCGGGACCATGTAGCGCGACGCCAAGCAAGAGAGAAACACCACGACGGCTTGGTTGTTACAAAGGCAGAATATGGTTACTACCCTTCGCAAAGCAAGAAACCTAAGAGTGGATTCACGGAGCCTCGAGTTATGGACGCGACCATCCCCGTGGCATCGCTGGTGTATGGGGGTCAGTTGGTGATCCCGAAGGAACGGGTGAAGGTAAGGCAATTTTCCAGCAAACAAAATGAAGTTTAATGAAGTTGCTGACATGTTGATTGGCAGTTCAAAACCCCAGGGTTTTATGATCCAGCACCGCTCTTGCCCAAACGCTTGAAGATCTGGTACAATTTCCAGGGACAAGAGCATTTTGTCGAACTTGGCGACAAGGAGGGAACTGCCTGTCCAGTACGTACGCACCTTGTATCCCACTGAGTGTAACAGACACTACATTATTGGGCATCAATTCCATATTGCCCTGCCCCATTGTAATATTACTGCATGATTGTATCTTGAAGATTTCTACGAGCTGTAATGCTTGACCCTTATCTCCCTCAATAAACAATTGGATTATGTTCTACGTTGTAGCCCGTAACATCAGTTTTTAACAATTCATTAAATTACTAGATGTTTCTACTCTGTAGTCCGTAAGTGACCCTGCTGTATGTTCACTGACAAGATCGACAAAAAGGCTTGGCATACGGCGACCGAAATCCGCCACCCGCGCTATTTTGCAAAAGCCAAGCGCATCTCTCCAGATTCTCCCTTAATCAACCACCTTGACCTGGCAGCTACTGTCCTGTTCTAGGTCTCATCATGGCTTCTCTTGCATCGGGACTATTCAAATCCCTCCCCAAGCCCAAGTATACCGGCGAGGAAGAGGAGGTGCCGCAGCATGCGCAACCCCGTGGCCCGCGTGTAGTGGGCGCTGACCAGCTCGACGAAACCCAAGTCGTCCTCCGGGTGAGCTTAATCTTCTGGCCCTATTGATCTGGATTGATAACTAATGAGACTTTACTAACGCAGAGAGTTGGACCTCCACCATACGGAAACCGCGCAGGATGGCGACCTCGAGCTCCCGAAGACTTTGGCGACGGCGGCGCGTTCCCTGAAATTCTAGTCGCACAATACCCCCTTGACATGGGTCGAAAGGGAACCTCCTCGACCTCAAATGCGCTCGCGCTCCAGGTCGATGCCGAGGGCAAGGTGAAGTACGATGCCATTGCGCGCCGGGGACATGCCGACAATCGGGTTGTCCATGCATCATTCAAGGATTTGATCCCACTGCGCCAGCGAGTGGATATGGGGGAGATCTCGTTAGACCGCCCATCGGAGGAGGAAGTTGCAGCGCAGATGGAGAAAACGAAGAATGCTTTGGCCAGTCTTGTCGACGGAGCCGTTCAGGCCCAGAAGCCGAAGAACGTTAAGGGCGGACGCCGGAACGAGCCTACCTTTGTGCGATATACGCCTGCGAACCAGATGGGAGATAATGACAAGAAGAACGACCGCATTATGAAGATCGTGGACCGACAACAGGATCCGATGGAACCACCTAAATTCAAGCATAAGAAGATCCCCCGTGGCCCGCCATCTCCTCCGCCCCCCGTCATGCACTCGCCGCCGAGAAAGCTTACCGCCGAAGATCAAGAAGCGTGGAAGATCCCTCCGCCCGTGTCGAACTGGAAGAACCCGAAGGGTTATACCGTCCCCTTGGACAAGCGTCTGGCTGCCGATGGCCGTGGATTACAGGATGTGACTATTAACGACAAGTTCGCTCAGCTTGCAGAGTCCTTGTTCACCGCCGATCGCCACGCCCGAGAGGAAGTGCAGCTTCGTGCCCAGATGCAGCAGAAGCTTGCCGAGAAGGAGAAGGCTCAGAAGGAAGAACATCTCCGACAATTGGCCCAAAAGGCGCGCCAGGAGCGTGCTGGTCCCAGCCGTCGCGATTCCGATGCCCGATCACGCTCGCGCAGTGCTAGTCGAAGTGCATCTCCATACTCGTCAAGATCCGCCACGCCCGACCAAGACGAGCAAGCTGCCCGTGATCGTGAACAGCAGCGCCGCGAACGTCGCCAGGAGAACGAGCGACAACTCCGCCAGTCTCGCATGGGAACAGAGCGTCGTATACAGACTATGGCCCGCGAGCAGAACCGTGATATCTCCGAGAAGGTCGCTCTTGGATTAGCCAAGCCGACGCAGAGCTCCGAGTCTATGTGGGATTCGCGGTTGTTCAACCAGACCAGCGGTATGCATGCTGGATTCAACGAAGATAACCCTTACGACAAGCCGCTGTTTGCCGCGCAGGACGCCATCAACAGTATCTACCGTCCTCGGGCCCAGGCCGACGCCGACGATGAGGAGGCAGGCGAAGGCGAGATGAGCAAGATTCAAAAGACCAACCGCTTTGAAGTTCTTGGGCGTGCCAAGGAAGGTTTCCGCGGTGCTGCCGATGCCGAAGAGCGTCAAGGCCCTGTACAGTTTGAGAAGGATACTGCGGATCCATTCGGCATTGACAGCATGATTGCCGATGTCACGGCTGGTCAGAAGCGCTATGGTATCCAAGAAGCAGAGCCTGATGACCGTGGTTCCAAGCGTGCCAGGGTGGATGACGATTGATTGATTTGTTTAATATTTTGCAGTATATCAATGGTTCAGGTTGGATATGTGTGTTGGAAGGGATCTTTCATGCATTGCGGGCGTTCAAGTGTAATCTACACCATTGCCACTCGAAGGGCACCAAAAATGGAGACAACTTGCTATAGGAAGAGTATTCTTAGTGTTTCTTCCATGGTTGAAAAACTACATCCAGGAGTACTAGTAGTAAATAGCCGCCATACGTACTACCTCAAAATCCCTGTCATTTCAAATAGATGAACGGCCCCGCAACGACGTATGCACACAACATTGACAACGCAACAATACATCAGCATTGATTTTTCGGACAAAGTTTATTCTCCCTGAGAATAAACCGATAAGACGAACCAAGCATATAACCCTCTAACTTGAAGCACCCATTGTCGCGGCCCGTCAGACGAGTGCAATAAGACTGACACGGACAATCGCTACTCGGACTAGATAATAGAAAGTATAGCCCGAAATCGTATCCATGAAGTTTAAACGAGCCTCTTCCGGCTTCATTCAGGCATCCAGGGTTACTGAGACTGACTGAAATCCCAGGGGAATCCTGGCAGGAATCGTCGTCGTAAAATTGGGCCCATTTTCGCGTGGTATTTGTTGGTTGGGACAGGGTGGCGCCGAAGAAGAACGTTGCAATCAGCAGTCCGTAGGCTAGCATGCTGATATCTGAAATGAAATAAAACAGAGTTGATCTGCAGTGAGATATTACCATCGTCATCTATTCGAGGTCACTAGTAAACCAAAGTTGAGATAGGCACTGGCATGCACTTAAGCCTACCTCCTAGTGATACTTAAGTGATGTATGCAGGCGTAGAGGGTAGAGATACCGAGAAGAGGACTCGGCACTTTTATAGCCTAAGGCTAGTCAAGATGGTACTAGTATGAGGTCAGATGTATCTTCAACGGGATATTTTCGAATTAGGACAGCGCGTGGAAATCGGCCATGTGTTGGCGAATGATCCAGAACATGCACAGAATCACCAATACACTTGGACAGGTAAATCACAATGATGATACCCGGGGGCTGGTTGACGGGGAATAATGAACCGGTGCAGCCATCTGGGAGGTCGGTATTTGCCTACAAGAGCAACCTTGCCGGAATAAGATGCTGACTATATCAAGTTGAAGTAGCGCAGCCTCGTGATTAAGGACCCGAGGATCATGTGAGATCATTCTGGACTGAAGCTACGTGTATACCGAATGAAGCGCTCTCGAAAAGCAAAAGAAGGTGTTCAATTTTTTTAAGGAAAACTGAGCATCGAATACTTCAAATAGACAGTAAATATTAGCCAAAGAACAACTAGTTCTTTACTTCAGTCTTGTTGGGTGATAGAAGATCCTCAAGCCACTTGTAAGAAACAGGCAGGCTGTTCGGGTATCCCATGTGCACCATACCATCGAAGAATCGGCCTTCCTTCGGACCACCGTGGTTGAAAAGAACAAGGCAATCTTCAATAGGGACGACTCCGTCATCAACGCCCTATATAAGAGTTAGTATACCAAATTTGAAAGATCAACGTGATAACCTGAGGGTAAACGCACGTTCAGCAACAGGAGCCGGCAGTTAGGCTGATCCACAACGCCAGTCTCAACGAGCGAGAACTTCTTCTGCGCATTCTGGATAAAGTCCTCCGTAGTCGTGTAGCCGTACTTCTCAGCCCAGCTATCCGTGATACTACCGAAAGGGTTAGTTCTAATTATGATCAAACTCCGAATATACAAGACCAAAAACTCACGTAAACGGATACTCGTGATCATTGACCTTCCGCAACCAATCCGGGTCCAAGAAATGGTGACTTCCAGGACCATGAGCCATAGACCCAATCAGACGATCACGGTGGGTACAAGCAGCCCGGATAGCATAAAAGCCACCGGCACTAAGTCCCCAGACCGCGACGCGAGACATATCAAACTCGGGCCGCGAGCCCATATAGTCGAGAACGCTGGACCACAAACGATCCGGGGACTCGGGATCCGCAGGATCGGCGGGACAATCGGCTGTACCGGGGATTTCGGCAATCACAGTTGCCCAGCCGCGGTTGGTGATTTCGTGTGTGCGCTGGCTGTTGTCGGGTCTATAGCCGTCCAGTCCGGTCATGATTAGGACGACAGGGACCGGGCGCTCGCTCGCTTCTTCGGGAAGACGGATGTAGATTGGGATTTGAGTGCCGTCTTTGCCGGTGGCGTACTTGTGTGGGATGATTTCTTCCTTGATGACTGGGTTCCACAGCGATGCGGCTTTCAAGTATACGTCCTTCTGGCGATCGTAGGCGACTCGCTTGATGGAGGACTCGGGGCGGCTGTTGGGGCCGACGTAGGGGAAGCGCGAGATTCGGAGGACGACTGAGGCCCGACGGTAGAGGTCAGCTGCTTTGTCTGGATGGCCATTGTTGAGTGCTTCGCCGGCTTGGGCCTCGAGGTTGGAGGCGATGGGGAGGAAGGCGTTTGTGTAGTCATCGGAGAAGGCATCGTTGATATCTTCCTGATTGGTGTTAATTTGAGATCACTTCATAGATTCTTCAATTATCCATGAGACGTACGGCAATCAATTTCTCAAAGATCGGCTCGAAATCCTCAAATGCGCCATCATGAAATGGGTAGATGGACTTTGAAGCCTGTGGTTGAATTAGGGTTAGCGCTATCTTTCGACTAGAAATCGACTCCAAAGACGTACGACAAACTTCCACTTCGTCTCCCACAGGGCCTTGATAGATCCTTGGTGAGGATAAGTTGTTTCAAAACGATCTCCTAGAATCCACTGAGGAGGCATGGTGAATTTTTGGTGAGGTTGAATCGAGATTGGGGGGGGCTTCCAATACTTGTACAACGGTATGCGTTCTGGAGGGAAACACAACGGTGGGCGTACGACATCCGAGGGTTGTATCCAGTATTTTAATCATATCGACTACAGACACGGGGTGGGCTGGAAACAGAGTACTCCGCATCAGGTTCATGGAGTGTGATGTTTGGATTGATGAAAACAGTAGGTGGTCCGATTGGGTGGGCCTGACAGGCCGGTGTCAAACCGGAGTCGAGCTCGATAATACGGTGGGCTACGTTAATAATCCTTTTAGGGAGCTTCGTAAAAGGAAGAGCTTTGAAACTGCTTCTTGTTGGAATTCATTGGCTGGTGAGTTCCGGATGCGGGTATATTGTAGTTGTACTGAAAAAGCAGCCGTTGAGCGGCAAGGGATCCAGGTAGGCACCAAGTATGACTGGCTATTAAATCGAAATAAGCTGGCGAGAATTTTCCACATGGTGTAGATAGGCAATTCATACTTGGACCTCTTATTGCTGTAGACAGATCGTGACCTTCCCTGAATCTTTTGTGGTGAAGCTTGTGGCTCGGCAAGGGGTGTGGAATGTGGTACCTGGATAGATGGCTGGGATGGCCGCTTGCGGCGGGCGTCGCGTGCATACTAGTAGCACTTCCCGAGGTCTACGATAGGGTTGCATTGAAGAGTCAGAAGCATGAAGGGCGGAAGACAAGGCTCTTGTTCAGGTTATTATAGATTACAAGGAGAATAGAATAAAGCCAACCACTTTCATTTTCGTGGATTAGGATTAGAATATACCCAAAGTCAAGTAAACATTAGGTAGACAAGAAGCTAATATACAGCCTCTTTGGAAATGAGAGACGAGAAAATCTACTGCTCGCGTTCAAACTGACCCCAGTACTGGTAATCCTTAGGAAGATCGGGGTAGGTGTCTTCCGGAGCCTTGATCTTGTGACCACCCACCTCGGCATAGCCATTGTTGGTGTGGGGATTGGGCCAGGGGCCCTTGGTATCATCAGTGTGCCCGACGATAGGCGGCACACCGTCCGATCCATCACCAATCTGTCCATGGGCATGGTCGGTATTTGGCTGTGGCCATGGTCCCGAGTCATCAGTCTCAGAAGCGTAGATGGGCTCGTTCTGTTCTTCAGGCTGAGGATAGTACTCAGCCACAGGAACAGGCTCAGCAACAACAGGCTCAGAAACAGGGATGGGCTGGGCCTGAGCTGGAGCAGGTTGCTGGTGGGGAGCAGGTTGCTGTTGGGGAGCGGGCTGCTGGTGGGGAGCAGGCTGCTGAGCCGCTGGCTTTACAGGAGCTGGCTTGGGGGCAGGCTGCTCGGCAGTAGGCTTGGGGGCAGCAGGTTTGGGTGCAGGTGGCTGGAAAGGAGGGGGCCCGTTGGGGTGGGTAGGCTTGGGGGCCGGGGGCTGCTCCGGCGGTGGTGGCTGGGTGTCAGGCTGTGCCGGGGCAGGAGGCGAGGGAGCAGCGCTGGTTTGTGCGGGGGGGAGCTGGTGGAGGAGCAGTGCTAGGCTCGGCCAGAGGGGGTGCAGCAGATGAGAGTGCTGGGACGGGCTTCGCACCCTCTGGGTACATCGCACCATTGTCACCAGGTGTGATCTTTGTATGAGCACCTGTAAGATCGAGACCATGCTTTCCAGCTGCATTGCCATTGCTGGGGTCAGGGTAGGCAGCACAGACCTCGTAGTGGCTCTTGGGGGGGCGCTTTCTGAGACTGAGGGAATGTCTCGGGGGCTTCAATGATAGTGGCAGTCAGACCTGCCTCAACATGCCATTCAACATGGCAGTGTAGAAGCCACACACCAGGATTGTCAGCGCGGAAGCGAATCACTGCATGACCATTGTTCTGCACCATAATGGTATCACGACGAACGGGGGTGTGGGAAATGTTTTGCCAGTAGGCGCCAGTAAAGAGACCGCCATTAACCTCACTGCGCTGCACAACCTGGAACTGGTGACCATGCAAATGCCACGGGTGAAGGTTGTTGTGGTGGTTGTTGATAACAACCTCCACGATCTCGCCATACTTCACAACGAACGGGTTGACTTGTCCATACACTTCAGGATTAGACGAGAAATTCGATCCAATAGTGTTGGCTGTGTATAGAGTGGGGACATCCTGTGGGATGTAAGTTTTGTTGTTGATAGTGTAGCGCTTAACACCATCGACGATGGTGTCGGAGGTATCCAAGATAATCTGGTGGTGCATAGGCTGAAGAAGACGCTCCTTATCGACGGGAACGAAGTCGAGGTCGTCAACAAATTGAGATGGATCCAACTGGTGGATATCCGGGGGAGGAGGCAAAGGCTTAGCCTCGTCGTACACAAGCCAGGCAGTGGCATTAGGGTTGTACCCGGGCGGGATGGAGCGGCCTTCATAGAAGAACATCATGTTGATGTCCATGGTATCCCAGATAGCGAAGTTTTGGCTGGCATCTGGCTTGGTGTGGATGAGGACACCCATGCGCTGGCCGGGAGCGACGCGCAGCATTTTGTCCCCAGCCGGGTACGGATCAACGTATACACCATCCACCTCAACAACGGTCATCTCGTGGCCATCGATGACCCAAGCGTGACCAGGCCAGTTTCCAAGACAGATAATGTGAACAAGATATGTCTTTCCGGGAACAACCTTGATCTTGGTGTTGGAAGAATCGTTGATAAGGGCAGAATCAGGAATGGGTTCGAATCCGCCAGCTTTAGCATTTTCTACGGACTGGTATTGGTTGAGAAGATTAGGCATCTGCTCGTGGTACCAGTCGCTCATAGTCAAAGTGATCTCCTCGTCGTATTGGAAAGGAGGCTTGGGGTCATGGACAATGAATGCCCCGCGGAATCCATCAGGGTACTGGCCCATGTTGTGCGAGTGGTACCAGTAAGTTCCAGTTTGGTTGACCTATTTGTGTCATCAGAATCACCGTCTCTCAATGTTATTAGGTTATACTCACGTCGAAGTGATACTGCATGTGTTGTCCAGGAGGAATGGGGCATTGGGTGACAGAAGTGCTGCCGTCCATGACACCGGTGCCATATTGGCGGAAGCCATGCCAGTGGATGCCAGTAGACTGATTGCCCAGTCCGTTATAAACATCGACAATCACTCGGTCTCCAACTTCCACATCAACCTGGGGACAGGGCCATTGATCGTTGATACCGATCACAGGTCGCTCGAATCCGTCGGGCGAGGCATTGACCCAGGTGACGTTCCAGTCAAGATGGACGTCCTTAGCTGCAACCAACTTGGCGGCTAAGCCCGCCAAGAGAAAAACATTAAACTTGCCCATTGAGGCGGTTTATAAAACGAATGACGATCGACTCCAACCCAGAGAGATAATTAAATCCTCTGAAGTGGTGGCCGACAGGTTAGTTGGACGTCGACAGGAAATAGCAATAATGCAGTGGAAAAGAAACGAGAAAAAAAACGAATGTGTCGACGAAACGAGTGATCGACTTTTTGCTGGGTGTTATCGAAATGAATGAGGGCGCGACATGGGGGAATTCCTTCCTTTAACTTGAACCAGTGTAAAATCGATCTGCACCAGGGGGCCATTGTTTTGAGATCCAGTATCCATTTCCATACCCTCTGCAATGCCAATCTAATGAACCCTTTCTCTGCGTTCAGACAAACAAAGGCTTGAATGGGTAGCGCGAGTCCTTCGACATCAAGGGTTAGGCTCTGGTCCCTGCCGAGGCATTCCGCCAGTGGGTTTCCAGAGGGTCGGCATGTAGATGAATCGCCCTCCTTGGCCACGGCCCGGTCAGTTCACGCAAGGGGCCGCATGCCGAGTCGACAGCCCCCCGTGAATTATAAACAGATTGGAAATTAAAGCATCTTCACATGGCTTCCGAAGTCTTGATTCGAAATCGAAGTATATGGCCGGATTGGTGGGACGTTTCAGGACTACTACGGTAGTCGAGTGATGACATTTTTCCGATCTGAAAAGAGGCAGTCAAAATTATCACACGCGGGGGAACGGCCGCCCGATCTGTATATGCCTCTGTCCTCTGCCAGCCTACTAGTAACCAATCGTGATGAAGGCCCTGCATCCAGGGCTGGATATAGTATCCTTGTAAGCTGAGGTCATCGCGGCGACTTTAAGAACGCCTTTTTGATCGCATCAGCGGGGCAGACACAGACTCCCGAGGGGCGTTGGTTTGCCAGCTCCACTTGGGATGGTTGCCACGTCCGATTCTCTTATCGGACTTGGTTTGGAGGACCAAGCGACCACTGGGGAGTTTGTGGATAGTGTGACGATCATATAGTTTTGCCCCTCTTCGTCCAATTTGGGGGTTGTCGACCGATGGCGATGTGGGTCGAGGAAAAAGAACCAAAGTTAAAGATTTTCGTGGCAGCACCGTGGGCAGTGTATGTATATCTCATGTACCTGTAGGCTTGACGGACGAGAATATACATGCAAGAAAATATCCCGACCGAGTGTAAGCGGGTGCATAGCATACTAGTAGTAGTATCCGGTCGATCAATGGGACTTAGACGTGGGGCCGGGCAGATTGGGAAATCAGCTACGCCTCATTGGCGAAATGGCACAGATCCCCGCAAAGATGATGCCCTGTGACAGCAGTAGAGAAACGAAGAAGATCATATTCCACCAGGGGCTCCCCAGGGAGTTCAGGCACAGCTGCATGACACTGTCCGTGCGGGCCCGCGTTAGGCGCGGGGCCAGTCGATAAGCTGTGGAGAAAGATGGGACGAGATAAAGCGGACGAGGTTGCATGAAGAGATTTGGTAACAGTGGTCCATGATAAGGCATCAAAATGGGGTGGAAAAGTTTGAGTTGTGAAGAGGAATGATGAGTGATGGATGGATGGATGAGCGGGGAAGGAAGACCTTTCTTTGCTTCTTCTTGTCTGCCTTCTTCTCCTCTTCATCAACCTCTCGCCGTTTCTTTTCTTTTCTTTTTCCACTTTTTCTTCCCTCTCATATTCTGAGAACTTGACTCATCCAACACATTCCTAACCGTTGAAATTTTCAAGGAATTCCCAATTCCAAGCATTTCCCCCATTCTCTCTCGTGCTCATTCTGTTGTATGGCGTTGATCCTGTCGCAATTGCACCCGTGAGCGATCACGTCAATGGCGTAATCGCCCTCTTGTCATTCAATGGGCCCGTCCAAAAGATGAAAAAAGCCCTGCAAAAAGCCCCATCCAACCTGACAACTCCGACCAGAACGTGACCATCGAACCCCGCCTTATTCCTCCCCCTCGCTTTGTTCTCTCCAGAACTTAGGCATCTGAACTCGGAACTCTGAACTCTGGGGTCGAGATCGAGGTCGACTCTCTGTATCGCGTTGTTCTATACACCACTTCGATCCCACTTAAGCTATTCCCGCCATACTCAGTGGGGCTCATCATGGATCAACCAATGACGCTGATCGATGCGCAAGTGCATTTTTTGGTTAGTATCTGGTTCAAGCTCATAGTTAATGATCCGAGTTCACTAATTAAATATCTTCTTTGTCTAGGCGGAACGTCTTGCACTGGTGCACATTCCACTAGACTTATATCCATACTTCCTCCAGTCGGTATTGAGATTAGTCTTTGACGAGCTCGAGCCCCTCGACGAGACAAAGGAAGAAGACGCATCCATCGATGGAGAAACAACCTCGGAAGAAGGTTCCGGGTACAAGCCCCCCCGCCTTTTTGAACATTTCCATCACGCCCGTGGAAGTATCTGTGATATGTCCTCGCCGCTTGGTTGAAAAATATTTCACACCCTTGAGACAACAGCTGAGCGGATTAGATAAATCCCTCGATTCTGAGCTCGATGTCAGTGACAATGATTATATTGCGATGCAGGTCATCGGCCAGGGATTGGAGGCTGGGAAACGAGTTTTGGAATTGACCAGCCCGCTCGCTATGGCCGGAATGTATGTGAAGCGACATGAATCAGAAAAATGGAAGAAACAAACTGACTCGTCACCAGCTCCATCTTTTTCATTTCAACATATTTCTCAGACTATATCATAGTCCCCTTGAACAGCAAAGGCAGTGTCGTCGCTGCTCTGGAAAGCAGAGGCTTTCAGTTTCAAGATTCAACCGCTGCCTTTATGACCCCATTAAGCCCGACATCTCCTCGAACAGAGCGCCACCCAAGTGACGCCACGCCACCAGGAACCCCACCTCCATCCACGATATCAGAGCTTCAAACACGTACATTCGAAAACCTACGCAAACGCAAAATTACGCCTTATGTCGATGAAACCCTGCGTCTTGTGCAATGCGCAGCCCATCATCAATTCGGATATGGTAGCGAAGAAAGCTCCATGTCTATTCTTCGAGATGCCATCACAACCGTCCTTCTTCTCGACAGTCCACGCTTCCTCTCTCTTACCCAAGCATCCCTTGATCCGGCCGCATCCCTTCTTCTAGAAAAACGACTCCTCCCTCGCTTTGCAGAGCCCTCCAGTCCCCACAGGGGCTACGAAAACGGCTCGGGTCTTTTACTCGGCTCAAAGGAAGACTATCTTATTCCCATTATGCTGGATCTCCGTGATTTACCCCTCGAAGCTTCAGGTATCGTATGTGGCGTGGCTGGACGACTCGCCGAGGCAGCGGAAACGATACCCCTATATAAAGACATTGAGCCAGGTCTTGGAACTAGTGGTGACAGCAGCACAGTCGGATCTGTGCCTGCGCTTTTTGATTCATTCGGAGCTCGCCTGAATTTGGAAAATGGCCATAGTCCGGATAAGAAGTCATCGAAAGGGGCTCACTCTCTTGCACCGACCCACCATCTTAAACCTGATGTGGATCTGTCTGCGGATTTATTCGAGATTAGTTTCCTGAGTACAGCGCGCGCTGGAACAATCATCGTTGGAGAAGATGAGTTGCGACGCGCGATCACTGCTTTGGAGGCGGAGAGAATACAGGATTCGTTTTCACCGAATCCGCCCGAGCAGAACGAGGATGACGAGGAGTGAGATGGTTCGAATGTTTATTTTGCAGTTGATGAGTTTGGCGTTCCATGAGTTGGGAAAAGTGGGTTCTAGGGTTTCGGTCTCTATTGCGCATGTATGACTAGACGATATCTATGATGCTTGTTTGCATAGTGTTTTTCTTCCAATTCACGAATATGAATACCTGGCTTTGAACATAGTGCTGGAAATTGATAAAGGTGGATGACTTGCAAAGTTTTGCTAACATAAAAAGCACGAAGTAATCAATCCAATGTTCATATATCACCAAAGCATCAATTTCAAAACTTATACTAGGTACACCCTAACTTGGAACCTTCAAGTTACTGATTCAGAGACAAATCAAAAACAATTTTACCTCTCGCATGCCCTCCGTCCATTCTCTTGAACGCTTCCTCATACTGCTCCAAGGGCCATACACTATCCACCATACCACGACAGCTACCAAGCTCAATCAGCTTCGCGATACTCTCCAGATGTCTTCTAACAGGTTCCATCACAAAGAACACATCCTTCACACCCGTCCCTTTATATTCCGCCGGGCAAACCTGTTTCGGTGGCTGGAAAATACTAAGAACCACACCGCCATTGCGAACCGCCCACCAAGCATCCTCAAGCGACTGTCTCCCAATACAATCAATAACAACATCCACCTTCTTCGCCGGATCCTCCGCCCACTCGCGGATATTAGTAGACCGATAATCAAGCACCTCCTTCGCACCAAGAGCCTTCACAAGCGCAACATTCGCAGCACCACAGGTACCCACGACCTCGGCACCAAGCAGAGCAGCCAACTGAACAACCCACATCCCAACACCCCCCCGAAGCAGCAGTCACAAGCACCCTCTTCCCCTTCCACGCTTCCTTCGCCGTCTCAAAATCAACCTCCGCCTCAGCCGCAATCCCCGCATGAATGAAAAGAATCTGCCATGCCGTCTCGGCAGAGACCGGCACCGCGGCCGCCGCAACCCAGCTCAGAGCCTTGGGTTTATGCGCCAATTCACCCGTAACCCCGACGGTGAGATCTCGCGCATTGCCGGGCCGGGTGTAATTCGTGCGCGCGAAGACTTCATCGCCAGCTTGGAATGGCGAATCGGTCGGTCCTGAGATAATTACTCCTGCGACGTCCGGGCAGGGAATTAACTCGCGTGGACTTGGTGGGGGGAAGTTCTTTGGCCAGAGGAGTTCTCCGGCGCAGGGAGCGCATGCTTTGACCTGGATTAGATGTTCGCCTAGGGATGGGTTGATTGTTGGAGTTGGTAGAGTGGTGAGTGAGAGGTCTTTTGAATTGGCGTTTGGTTGGATGATTCCTCGCATTTTGGATGGGAGGCTAGCCATTGTTAAGTGGTAGGTAATATATACTAATAGTATAGCTTTGGTAGAACAATATTTGTGGAACTTCTTGAAGTTTTCTGTAATCTGCTGATTATAATAGATTGATCGACAACGGAATTATTCTCCCTTTTATATGTATTTCGCAACTATGTGGACGCGAGAACGAAGTCGAAGTTGAATTGCCGCGATCCCGGGTAGGCTATCCGCCGTCTATTGCTCTACCGTGACCACGGATATTGCCCCCGTGTTTCCATGTTTGATTTAGTATGCTCGTATTACTCTAATCCACAAACTTGGCATATACTTGGCTACGAATAAAAAGCAAGCATTCAAATAGAATGGCATTATCGGAGTTTGTCCGGCAACCCTTGGCGCTCTCCTTCCATCCTAGTGCTCACCCCCCTCGCCGCTTTTGCTCCCTGAGTAGAATTGAGCACGCCCCTGACCGGCCTGAGCTGACCAGTGATTATTATGTAATCAAACTTATCACCCATTGTTTCGCCCTCCGCGCCAAAGATTCTATTCTGTTATTTTTGCGTCAGGTTCAACTTGCTATAGCGCACAGCCCAATAACCAAGAAAATGGTCGGAATACAAGTATCAATGATCAAACATGATTACGGTGAGATTGGCCAATTATTGATTGATGAAATAACGGATATATTGCGCATTCGCAACGCAGCGTCTTTATCCTACATTTCCGAGCAAAAATGCGTTCAAGTTAGTGAATTCTCTGAAACATAGCGAGGAGAATGTATTGAAATACTTCTTCGAGAACAATCTGATGATTTTTAGTTGAGAATTAAGGAAGGAATCGACCAAGACATTATACTTTTTCAACTTATCCTAATTTCAAATCAGAGTGATCTTGCTGGGAGAGAGCACAAATTTGCTTAACCGGGGCATAATATTTTTCAAAGACAGCGATAATCTCGAAGTCGGTATGCTATTCAAGTACGATTTAAAGAGACTGTAGGAAGAGTGATAATTATGAGACCTTTGATAATCTTTGTCTCTTTGTTTCTATACTAAATCTACCTTTGTAGCAATGTGACTAGCGCTTACAAAACTTTTAATATGGATCTCTCGTGTGTGTGCTGATGTTATTTGTGGAAATCTATAGGACTTTTCGTGACTTTCTATCCTAAGTTTAAGAAAGCCTGCAAAGAGTTTTCTATATATGGCACTGAATATTTCGCCGCGAATTCCTGCCTGCAGTAAAACATTCCAATCGATTATCTTTTAGTTCTCTTCGTTTGTGTCCGCCGCCCTCGCTGTTATATCTTGCCTCATTGAGAGTGTGCCGGTAGCTGTTAAATAACCCTCACTTACTTCTTTTGTATCATTCCGCAGGGATCTAGCATCTTTCGACTGAATACCGACGCTTCCGGTGCCCGTTCATTGAAAGTCAACATTATTTGCCATTTTATGTATATCCAACTATATTCCCTGTCAAAGCTTCGAATTCATTCATTCAGAGATTGGATACTCCTTCCCATTCGATCCAAGCTTTCCCATGGGCACCAAAGGACTAAATACCCTGTCTTCTTCTCACTATCTCCCGAGACATCTCGCTTCGCAATTGCTTTGATAGGTACCTTTCCACTGCTGGGATTTCCAAAGCTAGAGGTCTGCATAATTTGATGAGAAATATTACATTGGTGCGCAGAGATACTGATCTTACCTTATTATCTTCTTGAATCGTGTAGTTATATATGATGCTCAAAATAGGATCTTCCGGACTTGGCTGTGTCCCGGAAGATTCGATATTTACGTATTAGTCAAATGAGCCGGGTTTTATTCTCCCAAACAATCGAGCGGTAACCCCAACAAAGTTGGCGTATGTCGGATTTATTCTCCTGTAGTCGTAAAGTGTGAGGCCGTGGTGATAACCACAGTTCTATAACTAGAAAGAGGCATCAGCGATCTGTTAGGATGGATGAGAGTACTTCAAAAAATTGGTTTAAAACCCGCACGAATCTAAAATACAGCCTTAGCCATGGAATTTATCAGAGGCAACGCACCTGGATGACTTAAAGGAGACCAAGGGGCTTGTGATCGAACGTCTATCTTCTAAAACAGGGAGCCATTAGCACAGGACAATACTCTCCATTTTACTGCTCATAAGAACTTACGTCGAGCTATTGTTGTTCGCTGCATTCTGATTCTGGCATGTGTGGAGCGGCTGTGTAAGGGATGACTTTGACCTATCATTCCTCATCGGCGGTTACCTCATGAAGGAACCATATCTCACCGTACTCGTATATTCGATCATTAGAGGTCATTCAAGAATTTTTCCCTAGAGCGATAGTAGTGGGGAACCGATCTTGGCATATTCCACGTTAGCATGATTTCAGACTATGAGGCAGCCACACTCACTTGCTGCCTGAAGACTTCAGCGCTAGAAATGATAAGTTAGTGTGATACAAAAGATGACTTTGATTATAGATGCATGACTTCTAAGTCAGTACATACCCAAGAGTAGCCAGTAGAGAAGAAAAGCGTCCTATGGAATTGAAACCAGAATGATAAAGGGTGCTTGAGAACGACTATTTTGGCGAGGCATAATCAATGTTAGGCTTCTCTTTGTTATCGCCGGATGCTGCAATACCTCAGTCGGTCTAGTATAAGACCGGGCCATGGCTGCCGATAAGGCTTTGGATTGGATGTGGACAAGGGGTTCATAGCCGGTAGAATACGGTAAGTTCCTAATGCAGTGACAATTCACATTCTATCGACAAGTTAATGCTGGGGGAATGAAAGCAAATTGAAACGCTACCGTATCGCTAAATGGAGGAACTCAAGCCTTCTTGAATTGGGTTTGGTAATACGCCAGGCGAAGTGAGCGTTTCAATCAAGTCTTGAGAAACAACAAAGCTGCAAGTGCACTGGAAGCCAGTGGCTTGGCCCATCAGGTTGGTGCCCATGGCCTGGTTTCAAGGACAACGGGAAAATATAGCTCGATCATGTTGAGTGTCATATAGATATTTGCCCCACGATCGCAAAGGAATACCAGCAGCTATTCCTGAAGAATAAGGAGCCACAAACAGTTAGCGCTCGTACTGAGATTCAATATGCAGTACCGGGCGTTGGAATGGGCAGTAGCAGCGCACAGGATGACTTATATGACATTGAGCGACTCGCGATAAGAGGTTCGCTATCTATGTATAAAGCGGGCTGTCAGCACCATACATCTGTTCTTCGGATCTTCGTAATGGTATAGGCTTACGTTGTAAGCCGTTGCAGCCTACTGCATTCTGGCAAGGCCAAGGTGGCTATGTAGAGGAGGAAATCTATCTATAATCAATCATCAGTAGATAGCTTATGAAGGCAAGTTTTAACTCACCGTGATCGGAGTTTTTGACCATTGCAGACCCTGCAAAGTCCATTTAATGGGATTCTTAGAGTAATGGCGGGGCCGGGGCTGATATCGAGCATCTTCCGTGTTCACATGATTCAAAATGGCTGAGCAGCCACACAGACTTGCTGTTTGAGAACCTTGATATCGAGAAAATTTAGGCTAGTGCAATACAACACTTCAATTTTTTTGAATGCAATCCACTTCATTGCATGATTTCGAGGTCATTCATACCGAAGAGTAGCTAGCGACGACCAAAAGCATCTGACGTTTTTAGACCTAGAATGACAAATAGATATTTGAGAACAAATGTTCTGCTAGCGAAGGACCGGGTATTTATAGCATTGTAGCCAGCCAGTTTGCCTGCGTTAATGCGGTGATAACTGTGAATTATGAGGGCTCAAAAATAAAACGCCCATAAGTTATCTATAAATGGTTCAAAATTCAATCACTAGCTCAACGCAGCTCTTAGAGGCATTGCATTTCCCCCGGTTATCCAGCCAATAAATTCTTGTTTCACTGTCGACCTCATTTAATCGGCCGGAGAATGCCGCTAAAAAGAACAGATGACGTGTATCCTCAATTATCACTATGAGTCGGTACTTTATTGTGACGGGTAGAGCATACCAATCCGTTTCTCTCACCTATATTGAGCCCACTCTTTTACTGAAAGCACACTTTATCAACATCAAGCAAAATTTAAGCTATTTTGCCTATTATTCCCTTGCAGTCCACGTCCCACAGTAGATCTTCTTTGATAGTGAGTCATTTATTAAGTCGGTTACGTTTCCTTAGAAAATTGTTATCCATCGGCCTCTTTTTTGCGCAGGCGCAATACTCTGTCAGGGATATCCATGAGGCATACACGCTAAGTGGAGGACACGGACCCACATGGCACATCTGGGCTCTCCTGAATGCGAGGAAGCTATCTTTTTTTTGCTTCCTCGCGCTACGTCTTGTATCTAGAGTCGACTATAGTTTTCTTGAATATTGATCATTCATCCGAAAGACACGCTGCTCATGGAATGATGAGAAAAGCAAAGCAGACTTTTTATTAGCATTTCATGAGTTTAGCTCATAATATACGAGTCTGGAGCTAATACGATGCACACCATATGGTGGTTCTTTGATCAATGGATAAAATCAAGCGTCCACATGGGCACTGTCTCAAGTTACCTATCTAGTAGGATTCAGGCAATCAATCCAGGCTATTATATTAGCCTACTAAGGGCCTACTCTCAAATGCCACGACTAATAGAAGTAAAACGTTATATATCTCCCTCTAGCTCATAGCTGTTGACCTTGCTCTCGCAGCCACCGCAGCAGGCCCGCCGTTATCCTCTAGAAACTGGGCAAACTTAGGGCCAAAGTCTTGCAGGAAAGCTGAATCCATCATCTCTTCGAGGACCGCCACCTTATCACCCGCTTCCGTGAATGTGATAAACACCGAGTACTCCAGCTGCCAGGGGCCCCATGGAAGGGTACCTTTTGACAAGGCGTATACTGCTGCTTTGTTTCTATCGGGATCGTGCACAACATGGTGAACTGTGAGCTTTTTTTCGACGAGGTCCAATCAGCGTACACCCAGGTTTGCGATGACGATGATCCCTCTTACCTCGTATGACTGAACTGTAGCGATGAGAGCGGGAAGAATTTGGTCGACTTGTGTCCGCGTTCTGGTGGGAACACCAAGCTGAAAGGGGAGAGTGATTTGAGTGAAGTGGTCGGCGAAAGTGGCCATCCATTCCTCAGCATTCCACTTTTTCCACCCGTCGATAAATTTCTGCAGCGTAGCTGCCTGGACATCTCGGGAGGCAGTCATACTGTATGTGGAGCTGGATGGCGTATATAGCGATGTGGCTCAGATTTATAGATACCCAACAGGACAGATGAAACCAGATGCCGGCAGTTTTCAGACTGGCCAAAGGAAGGGTCGGTCCCAAACCCGATATTTATATGTGACATATGGCGTATTTCACCGATTCAAGCTGAAGCAGGGAAGCTCGTGCGCGCTGGGGTCTCGGATAATAGTTGATTAGCCACTCGGGACATTTCTTATAGAACGGGATACAGGAGCAACTCCTAGTAAAGGCTAGCATGACTAGTATTCTATCCGTGGGGTATTAAGCCCGACTTTCTGAAGCTCAAAATTTCTCTTCAATCATTATCAACGGGAACCTAAGTCCCGCAGACGCGCATAGCATATCATCTCATATTGTCTCATTCTGTATGAGCTGGATTTACAGGATGGATTGCAAGATTGATGGCGGGATGGATGGAATCTTGGAATATATGGAACAGCCGGCGATGGTTGTAATTGGAGTCTAATATGAATACCTACCTGATGACCCGGAGGATAGATTCATGGCATTTTTCGATTATAAAGGGAAACGGCTTGACAGTAGATCTGATTTTAGAACAATTCTTCAAAATCCATTTGTACAGAGCACCATACTTGAATGCCAAAATGTTGTTTCACAGCATCATAATTAAACGTCGTGTATTATCCTGTAATCAAGGAAAACCATTTTTTTTTACTCCCCTCCGCACGCAAAATCCTACTTTGCCATCCTCGGCCAGCTTGCAGAGGACTTCATCGATGAACGGGCCTACTACCTTCGTCCGTACCTGTTCGTTTAGCTGGTGACCATGAATCGTATCAATCAGCTCGCTAACCGTCACGCTACCCGCTTGTCCAACCGATCCTTTCTCTCGATGAAGCCGGTCTAGCGCGACGAGGCACTGCCTCTCGCGGCGCGTCTTCTGTCCAATTTCCGCCTCAATCTTTCCCGGCAAATCAGATATAACGGCTCCGTGCGCCGGGTACCCCGTCACGCAGCCCTGCGCCTGCATCTTTCGCAGCGCGTCCATGTACATGCCAAGATGCTCCACTGCACTCGTTCCATGCCCGAGCACGTTGTCACCCGTAAACAGGGCGTTATCTTCCTCAAGCACAAAACACATATGATCATGCGAGTGGCCCGGGGCGTGAACCGCGCGAATCGTGGCCCCCTCTACAGCGAATATTTGACCGTCCTCAATTGGCTGCTGGTTGTTGTCGGGAGAATTCTTGTATACGGCATCAGCCAAGTATGGGTACAGGCGGAGCAAGTCCGGCACGCCTTTGGTGTGATCGCCATGCCAATGCGTCAGGAACACATGAGATAGTTCAATAGATCGCTCATGTAATGTTTCTTCAATCAAGTCCGCCCATGCGCGGTACCCTTGCGCGGTGTCGATGATGAGCCGCTGCCGTCCGGTACCGAGAATATACGTGTTTGTGCCTTGAAGTGTGAACTAATGACAAAAGTATCGTCAGTTTGACATCAAGAAATCTGGGTCTTATCACGTTTACCTTGCCGGCATTCTGTCCAAGAATACGGAGAACGCGGGGACTAAGTTGATCGACATCGAGTAACTTAGGGAGTCGCGACTGCTGAGCGATCAGGTAGTCATCGAATGCACAAGCATTCAAGCTTTTGTTGATCTGCTGGTATCCTCCTTCACCCATTGCGTATGGAGCAGATGAAGTCACATTCCAGGGTGGGGATAGTCGGTTATCTTGGGAGTATAGCTCTTAGGGTAATAATTTATAATGGCAACCAGAGTCAAACTACTATGGTGGGGCTAAAGTATGCTAATATTATGTCCCGGTGTCCGATCCTGTCCATGATTGATTCTAGACCTTCGGGGAATCGGGCAGTCAGTTAGGTGACTAAGAGCATTGTACTCGCGCGATTTACCTGCATATCGGGGCAATACGGCCACCAATCGGTCTTGATAGGCCCCCCCGTGATCGTTCTATGGGACCATAAAAACCATAAAACTCCTTGAGAAGCCATACTAGCCTGCAAATGATAAATATACAAGAGATCAGGCCCCTTCCAAGCTCTTTTCCTACAAATAAAGAGTTTTCCGTAAAACAGTTCTTGCACTTGAGAATGTAAATGTAAGCCTCATTGAATGGCATTATGTGAAGGAAAGAGAAAATGTATCTGCAACCTTGGAATACAAATTCTCTCTCAGAAACTAAGCCCAAAATGTCATCTTCCCCAGATCCTCCACAGAAATACCCGCAATCTGCGTTTGGGGGAATCGAGCGTCGGGTACTGGGGATGATGTCGACCGCGCCTCAAGCTGCAAGTAATGCAATGTTGAAATATCAGCACGACCCAGAAACTCAAGCAAACGGAGGAAGTTTAGCCATGACTGTCATCCGATAAACGGAAACGAGCGCCACGAATTCCTAGTAGAGTAAAACGGGTGTAAGAAGCCAAGTTATGAAGACCAGCCAATCAGCCAATCAATGAATTAAACACTGCAAATAGGAAGGTACTGTACGTATTTATCCAAGCCTGAGCGAAATACTATTCTAATAGGCTCATAGGCATAGAGTCTAGATGTGGAGATGCCTTGGAAGCTCAGCGGGCAGAGAACACGAAGACTATATTTACTATATAGAAAGAATTAGGATACCTGTGGATTACGAGAGTGAATATTGATTGGTCCTGTAGAAGTACAGAATTAGTATTCAATGTACACTTAGGGCCCTTGGAACAATCTGATGTTACTTTGAACTGAGAAAGGTGCTGTGAGATGCTTCAGGCCGCTCCACCATCCAGGGTCAGGATCTTCCCATTGACCCACTCCGCCTCATCGCTGGCCAAGAAACAAACGACCCGAGCTACATCAATAGGAAATCCATTTCGGGTTAGAGGGGATGCATGTGCTGCCATCTAGAATTACAGGCACTTGGTGAGCTTGAGTCTGGCCGAAGGCAACTCTCCCAAGGTTTCTTACCTGTTGACGTTCCTCCGCTGAGTACTTCTCCCCATTGGGAATATAGTATTGAGAGACATCATGGAACATGTCAGTGACAGTCCCACCAGGGGCCACAGCATTGACCGTGATCTTTCTCTCTCCACAGTCTTTAGACAGAATGCGGACAAAAGAGTCAATTGCGCCTTTAGACCCGGAATATAGTGAGTGTCGGGGCACACTGAAATCCTTGGACGTGTTAGAAGACGTAAGGATGATACGTCCACCCTCATTGAGATTTTTATACGCCTCTCGAGCGACAAAAAATTGCCCACGGGTATTCAGGCTGAAGACGCGGTCAAACTCTTCCTATGGCCATCGATGGAGTTAGATGTCTATTGACATTTGCTGAAATCTTTCATGATAGATGCCCACTGTGAAATTCCAGGGACTCTAGGACAAACGCTTACCTCTGTCACGTCAGCAAGATGTCCAAAGCTGACAACGCCCGAGTTGCTACAAACGATATCAAGCCCCCCCAAAGTGGGTGACGGCGTCGGCCATGAGCTTTGCGGTTTGGGGGACTTGACGGACATCGGCCTTGAAAGCAACGGCATCAGAGCCAAGGCTTTTAATCTCGGCCACTACTTCATCTGCCGATTCTGCCGAGTTCGCATAGTTGACAACGACCTTCGCACCCAGACGGCCCAGCTCTGTAGCTATGGCGGCACCTATGCCCCGACCAGAACCAGTCACAAGAGCGACCTTGTTATCTAGGCGATAGGGAATATGCTTGGTGGCCATTATTATGTGTTTAGAAGGTAATTTAAGGCTCTTGCTGTGGTTTTGTATAGAAAAAGAAGAGGCAATTTTCGATTGTTCTCTGACTCGGATTTATAGTGCGCGCTGTTGTCTTTTTGGACTATACTATAAACCCAGCCCCCGCAAGCCACGGAGAGATGAATCAGGCGTAATAAACTGCTTCACAGTTGGAGTTGTCCACTTCGGTCCACTTCACGGAGCTGCTTTATAACAATTGTCCGAACTGCCCGAGCGGACCCGCATCGGTGCCCGGGAAATGAGATGACTCCCGAGAAGTAAAGTCACGAGACGCTTCCGAGGTCAAATACACCATTTATATCATTGGTGTAAAGACAGATATCTCAGTGTTACTCAACTTGATTTTCTCCCGGCATCAGGGATTTTACGGATTTGTTATTTGTGGCACTCCGGCCTCTTTCACGCTAGATTTCAGAATGAGCAAACAGCCTCATTATCATGGTAGAATTGACCCTGCTTCACTTGAGATGATGGCAAAGATATTAAAAGAAACCAGATTTTTTAGGGTGTCAGGCTACCTTGTACGAATGGGCCGAGAGCTATGACACAAAAGATTGGGATCGTCTCTCCAGGTGTATTGCACCTACTCTCCACGTAGGTCCACCCAAGGTCCTCTTAGATTTATTGATCGCTAATATTTCTAATTGGCCTTTTTTTAGATAGACTATAGTGCATTTCTCAACAAGGTCTGGGAAAGTATGCCGGCGCAAGAGTTTCTCGGTATGGCATCCAACGAGAGGGTTCTTGGCAACCAACGCCTGAAGACTCAACACTTTGTCGGTGCTACAAAGTGGGTTCAGAATAGCGAAGATGAAATTACAGGATATCACCAAATGAGGGTGGCGCATCAGAAATACGCAGACGATGATTTGAAGGAGGTTGCAGTTAAAGGCCATGCACATGGCAAGGCCACTATATGGTATCGCAAAGTTGATGGAGACTGGCGGTTTGCTGGGATCCAACCAGACATCCATTGGTCAGAATACGACCATGAGAAAATCTGGGAGTAATGTGGGAGTCATAAAGTTCTACACCACATCGATGAACATTATTTCCGCCATATTACATACTGCTAAGGAAAAGCCTTTCTGAGGTTACCAACCATCCAGGCCCACGGTGGCCCGATAGTCTTCTTTATATAAGAAGCCGAGAGACAGTTTCAGCTTATTGTTTGAGATTTTAGAGTTAAAGAAAACTCCCCTTCCACTAAATGTTAAATCATTTCCGATTTTGCAAGGTTTATCTCCTAGGGCGGACTGGCGCACCTCTCTACGCTTGATAGCATGCAGTGCTGGTCGCATCAATTACTCTATGACCAGAAGTACTTGAACCTTTTCTGACTGTTTGACGTTTTAGGATATTGAACGAGTCATGTAATGGATTGAAGAAAAGGAATGCCGATATCCTGTGCCGCAGAGCTCTCTAAAGTTGAAGATCCGGACGCTGCCACGCCTCATTGAATCCCGCAAACCATACCCACTTGACCTCCCAGAGCAGACCCTTTGTCGTATCTAAGCAGATTCTGGCCAACTTAAGCCACATATCACCCTTCATGGGGAAGTAGTTGCTCCATTCTCCACCGTCGTAAATTTTTGTCTCATTCTCCCCATGCTTGAGCGCCCGGACAAACTTAGAGACATGTCCATCGTCACACTCCGTCCTAGCAGCGCTAAAGAGATCTTGCCAATCCATCTCACTGCTGTCCATGTAGCTGGAGATTGCCTCATCGTCCAGCGGGGGACACCCTTCTGCCGCATACCATGCTAGGTCCAATCTCCCTTTCCACTCAACTAATCTTATCTTGTCTTCCAGTTTGATCCAGTCTTGGCGGATCAAGACAGTACAAAAAATGCTGCTGTTGACGGCATGCATGACGAAAAAGTCGAGTTTCCTTTTCCGGTCTTTGCGTAGCACGGAACCTACCAGATACGCGCAGACACCGATCATCTCAGTAGTTCGTCTCTCTAGATCCTCGTAATCCTGGTTAGGAATGACAAACTGGGCGCCAATCTTGGCCAACGCATTACCAGCACGGCCTATGACGCCTTTCTTCATCTTTCCCCCAAGGTCAGACCAGCGAGGCCCGTTACGGATAGTCTCACTGGCGCGCACCTCGGAGAGTAATTCGATGAGTGGCTTTTGTTTTCCAGTCTGTTGCGCCCTGGCTTTATTGGCGAGAGCCTCTGCTTCGAAAAACAGGTCCTCGATGTTCATCCTGTCATGCGAGGCAGCTTGTGCAAGCGCTTCAGCGATGATTGCTGGTTGCTCGAATTCCACTCCAAAGCCCAGGTGGATGAGAGGATGGTAAACACCCTCCAGGAGCTGCGCTAGCAACCTGTTGGCTAGCTTTGTGCGGGCAAAGAGAAAGCCTTGCAGAACTTCCTTCCATCCTTTAAGCAAAATCTCTCCTTTGAAAAACTCGAGGAAGGTGTGGTACTGATGGATTTGACCAATCGCGTTGTAAAAGCACTCCGGATCCCCCAGCTCTTTTAGCAAAGCATGGTCAATGTCTGGGATCTTGCGCTGGATTGGGACAAGATCATTAAACCGGTCATCAAGTTCCTCAGGTGTCGCGCCCAAGGAAAGGTTGGTGAGTAGACTATGGGCCATATGATTATGGAACGCCGGGTTCTGAAAAAAGATGTGGTATTTTTCATGATTGATGCCCAGGAGCTTGTTACATTTCTCTATCGAACCTGGGGCAATATCGGCGGCCTTGAAGATGCCCAAAGAGGTAGGAGAAAGTTGGATAGTGGAAGTCATCGCAGAAGATGTTCGATAAAGGTCTCACTGGAGTCACGGTATTGGTAGGATAATTGAACGTTACATTTTTTGGGAGCCATCGAAGTGTAATATAGCATTGTAGTGTCGGGACTGTTGTGCATATTTCGGTCATTTACAGGCTGCCGGATGGGGCTAGTGTTGCATGATTTTCGCCGTTCCGAACCCCGATTACCGATACATGCCTGTCCATGTTCTACCGTAGTTTACAAATGCTTGGGCTGGCTTCACTGTGATTGCTAGAGCGATCTTAAGGGGTAAATTCCGCGGATAGTCTTGCATGGAATGTGCTCCCGGATACTGCGGATTGGGCGATTGACCAGCCCCACAGTGGGATGGATCTCTTACTACTCTTCTGTCAATAGTCTATCTTTGTTGGTCTGTCAGTAATCGATGTGCTGGAACTGCGGTGAAAGTTCTGAAAGTATCTGTGCTCTCCGAATGAACATCTTTCAAGCCAAAAGCCTGATCCTTGAATGAATGAAGTATATCTAAACTTGTCTCAACACGCCCGGGTGGATAGCTTGATGTATAAGTGTACTATAGGAGGGATTCACGATGATTTTTTACATTTAATATTTTGAACATAATTCAAATACGAAATATAGTAGACAGAGTTGGATGGACTAGTACCGCAAGGGGGAAGAGGTCGTATTCTTAGAGGTATAGAGGAAGCTATATCTAACAGTTGTATCTAGCACCCGGTGAAGAAGAAAAAGGCGAAGTGTTTCAAGCATCACCATAAGCCGCCTTACGTGCGGCAGCAATTTGAGCTTCTTCAAATATATGCAGGGCGTCTTTGACTTGTTGCTGCTGGTCACAATCCCATATCCAGTCTTCTCGGTCTTTCAGCAACACGCGAAGCTCCGATGCTTCCAATGATACCCCAGGCTCGTTGCCGCTTATGATCCGACCAGTCTCAGCACTGGTAGTAACGACCTTCTGGCTCCGGAAGCGACGAACAGTGTCATACGACTGTAAAGCCAACACAATTGTCTGGACCGGACTGAATCTGTAGATAGTCTCCTTGGTGGTATCCAGGTACTTTCCCAATAGTTTCTCGAGGAAAAGTGCATCTTCAATTGCCTGACCAGCACCTGCTCCTTGGAATGGAGTTGACGCGTGGGCCGCATCACCCATCAGCACCACCCGACCCTTGTAGTACGTTGGAGCTGGAGGCATTTCCCAGATTGACCATCCCATCGCGGAGCCATCGTCTGGAACTAGCTCCACTTGCCTTCGGACATAGTCACCGTAGTTGGCGAATGTCTTCTTGAGTCTTGCGACATCTACTGGCAGAACCCACGTATCATGCGGGACCGGGTCGTTGTTAAAGGTCGTGATGCCAAGGTAGTATAAGCTTCTCTCGGACATTGGGAAACCAAACACAAGACCGTCCTTTCCACATCGGATTCCAAACTTCGACTTCACGTCGCCTAATTTGGCCTCTGCCTGTTTCATTGACACTGTCGCACGGTGGATAATGGCACCGGTGAAGAAAGCGCTGGCTGCTGGGTGCTCGCCAAGTATGTGCTTGCGAGTCACCGAGTGGATTCCGTCGGCGCCAACGACAATATCGGCCGTGGTGGTAGTGCCGTCCTTGAAATGAAGCGTGATTGGGTCCTCGTCGCCTTCTTCGTGTATTTCGATCAGACGATTCCCGAAGTGAACGCGATGCGGTTCGACAAGCTTAACCAGCTCATCAAGGAAATGGGCTCGGTGGATGGTCGAGCCTTTGATCTCATGCTTGTACTCGACGACTTTCTCGTCTAAATCCGGCTCCTGTCCCTTGGCCACTGATACCCATGGGTAGAGGCCATTTGCGTCTGCAACTTCCGGATCAAAGGCAGCGCGTCGCTCGAATCCTTCATGGATGCGAGGGTCAATCAATTTCATTGCTCGCTGCGAGTTGGGACCAAGGACGGCACCAGCACCAAGTTCAGAAAACTTGGTTCCTGACTCATAGACATGTGCGTTGATGTGTGGGTATTTCTGAAGACCAATTAGGAGAGCGAGGCCAGCAAAGCCACTGCCTATTATGGCGATGTTTACGGGATTTGATGGAGATGCCATGGTCACAGAGATGTGGCTGATAGCGACATAGAGGCTAGAGTGAGATAATGCCCATAGAAAAGGCTAAACTTTGTGAGCCAAATATGTGAAGATATGGGCAAACAATATATGGTTCTACGCAGGTGCCAGATAGGCCACAGTTATACCCCAGCACAAAAGGACAACAAATGTTTCTATTGTCCGATTCAAGAACTCGGAATCGGGGTCGTACACAATATAGCCGAAATCTAAGGTGGCTTCAACCCCATATTATTAGTAACGTAGACCAACTTCGGGAAATTAATAGCACATTCTAGTCCGGGGTCGCCGCTGGGCAAGTACCGAAGATTGTCGAGTTTAGTATATCATGCAAATTAAAGATTGAACTGTGATTCTAGCCGTTTGAAGCGGGTGCATGTAGACTGCATAATAGTTGAACGACTTAGCTAGGTATGAAATTCTATTGAGAATGCCCCTGTTCAGTCAAGTATTTCTGAAATCTGGGAAAGAACTCCTGATAAAAGGCCGTATCTACCATCTCCTCTATCTTGCGTATTTTCTGTCCATCCTCGGTGAATGTGAGAAAGACGGCGTATTCGTTTGTCCACTTGAAATCACCTTCAAAGGGGGTGTCGGCCTTTGAGGTGATATAGACAGCAGCCTTTCCCATGGAAGCATCGTGCACTAGCTCGTGAATTTCCAGCTAAAGGGGAATTAGCGATTCCCACTTTGGTGGAGCTAGAAAAGTCCCACATCACTTACTTCATAGTTCTTCAAAACCCCAATAAGCTTTGGTAAGATTTGCTGCATCTCGGTCCGCGAGCGTGACGGCACGCCCAGGCTAAAAGGTAGGATATGCTGCCTACTGTCTGCAGACCAGGTAGCCATCCACTCTTCGGCTGTGAAGTTCTTCCATCCCGCGAGGAATTTCTGGAGCGTAGCCGCTTGAATATGGGCCGGTGGAGGCATGCTAGGCTCTTGTTTTTTTCTTTTCTCCTGATTCCTGCTCCTTCACAGATGGTAAGATGGTACACTACCCCAAAGACCGGGGCCTATTCGTATCCAGTAAGAGTCAAATCAGAAGAATTCCAGAATTATGCTGAGACGGACTTCTGACTTCCCAGTTGGGTTTCTTAAACAATTCTTACTTCCAGTATAATTTTTAGCTACGGAAGATTGGGAATAGAAATGGCGCTAACTTTGGATGCTCATTCAACGCATGCACTTCGACCGGTGCGCCTGCGGGGTTCGGCACAATGCTAATATTAAAACAGCCCAAGATGGACTTTTTTGGGCCTCAAAAATGCTTTCAATTGAGATACAGATTTTTATTACCTCCAAACGTCTAAAGGAACGAATCTTGCTCAGTGACGCCGATAATTGGTCTTACCACAAGCATAATCGTTGCATCTGATTTGAGATGATTCGGTCTCGCAACCCCCCCGATGAATGCCAAGAGCACGGGCTAATTCATGCAAATTCCCCGACCATGAAATGCAAAAATAGCAAACTGCAGCCTAGCTCTAGTGCCTAGTAATATGACCCCGATCTTATAATACACCGAGCTCTACTTCTGTTTAACCCTGGGACACTAGGGCGTCCGACCTGGGAGTCATACTATGGAATGGCAATGCAGTATACAGAGATGGGTCAAATTGTCTGCTGTTTTTTTTTATTCTAAAAAAAAAAAAATACGTTCAAATTCGAATACATGGCGGCATAGATATTTAATATGTTAATTAATATCTTGCTGCTTTGAAAATAAAGCAGAAATTGAATAGAGATAGGGCTTAAACGCCTTCGATTTCCAAGTTCTCAAGACGCCCCTTAGTTCCTATGTTCTAGATCTCTAACTGATAAATTAGGGATGGTCATATGGATGATTTCGGCAGAAGGAGGGATATCTGCAGACTTCAATTACGTTACGTCTACATGCAGATGGCACGAATGCTGCGTTTATTCATGCCGCGGGCCATTCCGTGGCGCCTATGCCGCCTTGTCCATCTTCCCCGGTGCCTCTCATCAAGTTGTCCAAGAAAGCCAAATCCAGATCCTGAAATGCATCATCATCAATTCTGGCTACCGTCCCAGGGTATTCAAATTGCTGCGTGGGATCATCTGAGAGAACCTCCGAGAGTAGCGGCGCAAAGAGAGCAGTTACGTTATTGTTGGTGCTGTTGCTGTTGAATTTATTACGGTAATGGTTGTTATAGGAATCTGGAGGTAGTGATGTTGCAAGATAGGCCGGCAGTGTTTGCGTCTCTGCCTCCTGCCCTATTCGTATGACAACTGAAGGTTGGCCCTGTTGGTTGTTTGCCAGTGGCACGTGTTGTGCTTGGGAACTCATCCCGTCAGCATGATTCTCTCCCGCAGCTTTAATGACCCCAAAATATGGGATATAGACTTGTTTGCCAGGGTTATTCGAGTCGTCGGATTGTAATTCTTCGGTTTCCGGCCCTTGTACGCTCACGCTTTGGGCGCTTTGAAGGTCACCTTCAGCTGCCTTGGCCTCGATGGCGAGCAATCGGTTCAGCAACTGAGCACTTCGTGCACTCAGGGTATCTGAGTTCAGACGGTTCAGCTCCTTCATGTTTTCTTGTGCCTGCTCGATCATGGCACGGTCACCCAAATATTGGGAGGCGAGAAAATTGTCAGCCTGCGAGGAACGGTGACTATTCAGATGAGCCAGTAGCAGGGTCATGGCGGCCATCAGAGCGGTGAAGTCGATGGTGCGGCAACTAAAAGATACTTGATTCCAGCGGCGCAGCATGATGAAGCGGGATAAGATCTCTCGCGAGGCGTTGACACAAGTGATTCGGGAGTAATCAAATTTGCGCTCAGCCGAGTCGCGAAGCATGTAGGGAAGGTGGAGCTGGTTGAGAAGGTTGTAATGAAATAATTGTTGCGACAGTCGCCGCATTTCCCAGAACAAAGCCTGCGAGCCTTTCGTCTCGCCGCTGAGGTTCGGGACCAGCCACCATCGGCTTGGCAAGCTTCGGGCCGCACGCTGGAGCTCCTTATCGAGATTCTGCATGCACGCGAAATCATAGCTGTCCGAGTCATATTCGTTGCGCTCCAAAATTTGCGATGCGATGACACAATGGATTCGCTCAAGTCGACCGCTAGCCGAATCCTTGGCGAGCATCGCATCAGATGCCATACTTCGATCGGTGGTCCCTTGCGGCATACCGATCATAAGACACATCTGTCGATCGTAGGAAACAATGCGGAACCACATGAAGTGTGGGTATGCCTTGGTCTCCGGGTGGAGAACCTTGTACTGGAGCCGGACCCCCGGCCGATGAAAACCCATCGACTGCGCAATAGTCATGGCTCGCCGTGCAGTAATCCAGCTTCGTCGTAGATATCCACAATTGGCTTGATACAGGCTCTCGATCATAATACATTCCAGAAATTCAATGCTGCCCATGAACCTGTCATTGGTGGTCACCAGACTGATCGCTTTATCCGCTAGTCGTTCGCGTATGATCTGTGGGGGTTCCGAGAGATCCCGAAGCTCTTCATGAAGATCTGGGTGCAGGTGCTGGAGGAAGCTCGCTAGATGCAGCATGTGACGCGCTATCAAAACTGGGTGTGCGTTCGGGCCCGGAATCTCGAGCAGGCGACTTTGCGACCGAAGGCAATCCTGGTCGAGAATGCCGTATGGGGTGGTTAGGATATCATGGAATGGGATAGAATGGTGGCCACCGCTAGCCTTGTAGATTCTGGCGGTATCTCGCCGCGAGGGCAAGGAATCGTAGAGACTCTGGGACAATGGATCAGCCCCGGATGCGCCTTGATCACTGGCTAGCAGGGCAGAGGTTGGAGGTTGGTCGAGGATGAGTTGGTCCTGAAGATATTTGTCCTCGGCCGGTGTGTTAATGGGCCGATGCGATGCAGGAAACGCGTTGCTTTTGGACATCGAGGCCGGGGTGGGGATGCCATGATTCGGCGGCCGGTCCGGGCCTTTTTCAGCCGTTGCTTGGCCATCGTTGCCGCCCGCGACACGGAGAAATTGGTCAAGTTGAGACTCCACTCGTCGCAGGCGATCCCGTAGATGGCGGCTGCTGTCCAAGAGGGTGGGCACTTTCTCTGGGAACTCCTGGCTCACACATTTGGACCAACGTCGATGACAGCCAACGCAGACTGCGTCATCGGGACCGTCAAATACGCATTTCATCTTCCGTCGCTTGCATTCCCAGCAGCTGCGAGTTCCCCTTCGAAGTTTTTTACGTTTCGACGGGGGTACCGAATCCCAATCATCTAGGTCGTGGGCGGGACTCCTGCGATCCTGTGCCATACGCTGGGCAGAGGTAGCGTCCATGATGGGTCTGGATTAAACGTACACGTTGATAGACACAAGTAGCTCGTAAAGCCTGGCAAGTTCTCAAGTTGTTTTGTCGCGGGCAGATGATTCAGATATGGGAAATGGGCATGAAGGAAGTTGTTTACGGAGTACAGTGTCGAGCAGCTAGAGTGGTCAAATACCACTAAGACCCTTTTAGGATGGGATGTTCATCGCGCCCAATTCCCCACGTATTCGTGTGGTATTTGGCGTAGACTTGGAGTATGGTGTCGTAACACACCGAAACTAGATGATACACACTCACGAGTGCTCAACCACTCTCATCTTTAATCAATCATGCATCTGATTCGATTGGACGTCTTCAGTACTAGCCTGTACATCAATTCCTCATTCTTACATACAGTTCTGGAGGTCCGGAAAGTCGTCGGAGCAGAAGTGGTTTGGCATCGTTCTTGTGACTGTACCTTACGAAAGTCCGGTAATATTCGGCCCGTTACACTGCGCGACCCCCGCCAAGCCCCGATCGGTCCTGTTTAGGAGTTACATACTCCGCCGTGATATCGGCGGAATGGATTCCTGCATCGCATCATTCACGATATTCGTCCGCCGCAATGGGGTTTGGGGGTTTGAGTGATTAAGGGGGCTATGGACATATAAGCTGCTCTCCTCAAAGATATCTCAAAATGCCTGACTGCTTCGGTATTCTACTATCACCACGCAGCCAGTACATGCAATATGTCGGCAACTACATCCGATCCAAAGTTCAGCAAGAACGAAGCAGGTCATTCGGCTGATACTGCCAGCCTCAGAAACAAGGAGCGAGGAAGCGATGATACTGAGAGGAGTGGTGACTTGAACCAGGATCTGGACCAGGGATCAGAGCCTGAGTACGCGACATCCTTCCGTTTAATCATCATCATGTCCACCTTGAGCCTCAGTACTCTGATCGCGGCTTTGGACCTGGTTAGTATTATGCACACCTAGAAGATTCCCCTTTTCATATATGGTACATAACTAACGTGATCGCTTCGGCCCACAGGGTATCGTTGCCACGGCTATCCCGAAGCTCACCAGCGACTTTCACGCCCTCGGCGATATTGGATGGTACAGCGGCGCCTGTTTCCTTCTCGTCGGTACGACCTCCGCTCCGTGGGGTAAGATGTACAAATACTTCTCGGCTCAATGGACGTATATGACAGCACTTGCCTTGTACCTGATTGGGAGTATCGTGGCCGCCACCGCACCTAGCAGCATTGCGTTGATCGTGGGCCGAGCTCTGCAGGGTTGGGGATGTGCGGGCACGCTCGGCGGCTCTGTCCTGATCATTAACTTTACGGCGCAGCCTAAGACTCGCCCTTTACTCATCGGCCTATGGATGGGCGTTTTTATGATCGCCACGACCATTGGCCCCCTGATAGGCGGCGTGTTCACGACTGAGGTCACATGGAGATGGTGTTTCTGGGTGAATCTCCCGGTGGGAGGCACAGCTCTCGTACTGCAATTCCTCTTTTTGCGTATGCCAAAACACATCAAGCCCGCCCCCGCGACGTGGAAGGAGATTCTACTGCATCTCGATCTCCCCGGCTGGAGTTTGCTGTTCACCTCGGTCATCTGCTTCACCTTGGCTCTGCAATGGGGAGGCCTGGAGAAACTGTGGTCTAATGGCTCCGTCATCGCCACCTTGACCCTTTGGATTGCCTTAACGATTGCTTTCGTGATCGTCGAGTGGTTTCAGGGCGAGTACGCCATCATGCCCTTGAAAATGTTGGCGGGTCGTATTACGTGGTCCAATCTCTTATACGCGTTCATGTGAGCAAATTTCGTACTTAGTTTTGCCCCGAGGGCTTGTTTGCTTTGACGTCAACGGAGTTAACTTGCGATCACCTTCTACAGTGCCAATCTAGCTAACTTTCAGATACTGTTTTATCTCCCCATCTACTTCCAGGCCGTTCATGGCATGTCCGCTATCATGAGTGGCGTCTACTGCCTTCCGTTCATGGCTTTCTATACCTGCGGAGCTATAGTCAGCGGTATAATTGTTGGGAAGACCCGTTTGCTACAGCCCATCGAGTTTATTAGTGGTCTGATAGCCGTTCTTGGCGCCGCCCTAATCTACTGCATCGATGTCAACACCTCGAAGGCGTGGTATATCGGCGCTCAGATTCCTTTTGGGCTTGGAATCGGTCTAGGAAATCAAGTTCCGGTGACGGCGTTACAGGGATTCGCGACGCCGGAAACCGTTGCAGCGATGATGGGAGTAGCTTTCAGTGAGTATTAACAAACCCCGTTGACATTGGTGACCTCCGCTAATCTCATTTTCTAGTGGCCCAATCTATCAGCGGTGCCTACTTTGTTTCGGCCGCCAATTCTATCTTCGACAACTACCTACTGCAGGCTTTGGCACGAACTGCTCCTCAAATCGATTCGGCAGATATCTTGTACATTGGAGTATCGGAACTTACGAATTTTTACGAGGGGGAACAGCTGGCTGTGATTCGAAACGCATATATGGTTGGGATCAAGGATGTCTTCGCCTTCGCCCTAGCCGGTACCGCACTCACTGTAGTCCTGGCCCTTTTGATCCCCTTCACAAGACTTCCTTCTCACGAGACTAAGAAGGCTGAGGATAAGGAGGCATCGGCCAAGGCCCCTTGAAGTATCATGCAGGGCACATGAACCGCGAGCATATCGGGCAAGAAACCAACCGTAGAACAACTCACAGAATGCGATCAAATAGCGTATCGGAGGGCTTTTTGATAAACAGATTAATAGTCAGTTCACCTAGAGAATCAACACTTGATACGTAGTGTGTCAGTAATTTATCTACTTTGATGTGCGTAGACATACTAGTGAACCCTTAAATCCCCCGAGTCCCGATCCTCCGTGTAGTAGGCCCCTGAACGCCAGAAAAGTACAGTTAGCCCCATTACCCTTTATACATGGAGGTCCCAGCTTCTTGTGTGCCGAGAAGACTAGACTTGCTCAAGCAATATCTACCTCTGATATTAACGCCTCCCATTGAAGAACTCTGAACATCATGTCTGGCTCAGGCCCCCTCACATATCTCCCTTATCTCCTCGACGCTGCCACTTGCGCCATCGGCTCTCTCCTGATCTATTCGGGGGTGAAAGGGACCTTTGTTGACCCTCTTTCCTGTAAGTAGCCTCACGCCGTCTTTGCATCATCTGCCCGCCTCTCAAACCTCCGACTGATGCGTCTGCTTTCAACAGGGGCCAAGGGTTTCGGACTTCCTATGGCAACTTCAGAGAATGTAGTCCTTTTCCCCAGCGCGACAGGCCGAAACCTCGGTGCGGGCTTTTTTGTCTGGGCCATGATTTTACTCCGCGAGAGGAAGGTGCTGGGCATTTTCCTGATGTGCTGGTCTTGGGCGGGCGTCGCTGATACCAAGGTTCTGTACGCCCATCCGAAGGGAACGAATCAAGCCATGCATATCAGGAACACCCTGATCGTATTGACTTTGGGACCTCTCTTAATCCAATCATCCTGGTCTTGATTTCCATCTCCGCCTGTTGATTTGAAAGCGTTTGAAAGGATATTAGAAGGGGACAGAAGAAACTTGATTGCCTCATTGTTGAGTCTTTGCCGTCAGAACCCGCCTACAGATATAGTAGATATTAGATCCAACTTGAGAATTCAGGACGCGTTCTATATATTTAATTTTTACTTCTACCACACGTTAGCCATTACGTCAAGCGAGGTTTTCTCGTAACAAGAGTCTTACACGTCAAGAGGCCAAACAAGCTGATCACGAAAAACCGAGACGAGTTAAGCTGACCAGCCTAGTTCGCAACCTTGCTAAACAAAAAGCAACTCTGAAAGTTACAAATAGGGAAACAATTATACAATGTGGTCTATCAGTAACTTGGCAGCCCTCCATGTTTCTGTACATAAGAATGTATTCACATGTTTGGAACCGTATTCGCTCCAATTGATTAGAAGGAATCGAGATTTGTAAGATTTCAATAACCACTCTGACACCTACAACAAACACCTTCTTTTTGATCGATTGATCCGGGTTTCCATTGCCGCTCACTCCGCTTACTGTGCCCATCCCCCGTACATGGAATCGAACATTGAAATACACTGATGACCCGGGCCAATGGTGGATTTTTAATACAGGAACAGCCTAAGAAGGTAAGGAGGTCTTTGTAGCCCTCAAAGTACAAGCGATATGAGCGTTTGGAGTTCACCGCTTCGCATGATATAGTATCTTTGCACCGAGCGCCAAATACCCCGATGGATGCTTGTACCCCAATTAAGACTGTCGGCCCATTGCCAGTGTTCCCGATCTTTCGGTGCCTGTTTTGGATGACCAGCTCCCCCGGGACCGCTAGGGTATCCTAATGGATGTTTCTTTTGGAATCTGCTAATTGACTTAATTCTATGTCCCGCTATACCAACTCATCCGCTTGCAATTTCAAAGTGTAGAAGCACTAGAAAAATGTCGCAACACCAATTCATTGTCGCTGGTGATCCGCATGATTATGATCCGGAAAAGTGGACAAGCGTCCCTAATGCGCTTCCAAGACGTGCCCCAGAAACACATGTCAACGTGCTGATCGTTGGTGCGGGCTTTGGCGGATTGATGACTGCCTTGGAGTGTTGGAGAAAGGGGCATAATGTGGTGGGGATCCTCGAACGAAGCCATGGCCCCAATTATAGCGGTTGGTTACGCCCGTATACATAGCTAGTTCGACATGACCTCATATTGATAGTCGCATAGGGGACCTAATCATCATTCAGCCCTCGGCGGTTGCTGTGATGCGTCACTGGCCCGACATGTACCGCGAGCTGGAGGAAGACAAAGTTGAAGCGGCCAGCTACTATGTGAGGCACAACGGCCAGATCATCTACGGACCCTCTGCCCCCAGCTACAATGACCCCGAACACCTTGCCGAGCGGGAAGGCTATCCGTTCGTGGGGCCAGTTCAGATCCGCAAAAAGTTCTTCCAGATGCTCCTGCGGCAAGTGGCCAAAATAGGTCTCCGGGTGGATTATGGTCGACGGGTCGATCGCTATTTCGAAGATGAGACCGCTGGGCTTGGTGGCGTGGTGCTGGACGACGGCTCAGTCCGGATTGCGCATCTCGTGGTTGCAGCTGACGCTTTCCGGTCTCGTTCGGAGCTGCTCGTTGCCGGCGAGCATATGCCCACGCGGCCTAGCGGTATGTCAGTGTACCGTAGTGTCTACCCACGCGAGTTGACACTGGAAGATGAGGTGGTGCAGAAGCGCTGGCCCAGAGGCGTCTCCACAAAGGAGTACTGGCTGGGACCAGGAATGCACATGGGTCTCTTCATTTCGCCTGAGCTGGTGGCTTTCGGGCTCACGCCACGGGATAGCTTCTTGTTGGAGGGCAGCACCCCACCAGTTGAATCATGGGACCCCGACGTGAACCCAGAGGACGTAATTAAGGTGCTACAGCGGGTGTCTGACTGGGACCCGGCCATAGAGGCCTTGGTTAACCGGGCTCCCCGAGGCACCGTCATTCATTGGCCGCTGCTCTGGCGCAACCTGCGCCCCAAATGGACATCTACGAGCGGACGCGTCGTTCAACTTGGGGATGCCGCTCATTCCAGTGTGCCGGCCTCCGCTGCTGGGGCCACCTTGGCCATCGAGGACGCTATCACGCTTGCTTCGTGCCTGCAACTCGCCACCACGGTGGGAGGCTCGGCGGGTGCCCCTTTGGGTGCGAGGATCTACAATTTGCTGCGGTACCAACGCGTCAGCTGCACCCAAAAGATGGCATTCATCAACTCACAGCTTCTGAATGCTTACACCACAGATTGGGATGCCATTCAGAAGGACCCAAAGCAGGTACGCCTGCGATTCCCCAAGTGGATGTTTCGGCATGATCCTGAGGCTTATGCCTACGAAAAGTACGGACAGGCTTTTGCACATTTGATTTCTGGTGCAGAATTTCAAAACACCAATTTCCCCTCGGGACATAGGTTCGTGCCCTGGACAATTGAAGAGATCCATCAGCAAATTGCTGAAGGGAAACGAGTGGAGGACTTGCTAGATGGCGACTGGTCGTAGTGCTACATGATTACTAGTATAACACCATAATTATATCACTTCCAAACATGTGGCCTGGTTTTATATTCTTCTAGCTTATTCTGAGACTACTTGGCTACTAAAAATTAGCCAAGCCTTTCCTATTCGAATCCCTTTGAAACTAAAGAGTCAGAAATCTCACCCAGGACCGGTCGATGGCAGATAATCATGCAAAAAGGGGAAAAAATGACTGATAAGTCCCATAAGAATACACATTGGAGTGCCAGTAGGAAACTTTGCCCGCCCATTTGTATTTACCACACTGACGTTCTGCATATCGTAGCGGCCGTCCGGGTCGTCAACCGCTTCCACCATAGCCGCGGCGAGATCGAGGTACGAAAGCGGGCTCCCCTCCTCCGTCAGACTCAAAGCATGGCCTCGCTGCTTGTCCACTGACAACGCACCCGGCTTCATGTAGATTGTGGTCAACCAATGACTCTCTGCTCGGAGAAGCCTCTCGGTCTCCAGTAGATCGTTGTAGACGTACGAGGCCGAGCGACGCAGGATTTGCCTTAAGACGAATGGAACGTGGCGAGAAAAGTGGTCGTCAATTGTAGCCGACGAAAGAAGGATCAGCCTGGGGGCTTGCTTGATATTCTGGAGTATCTGAATGACGCTGATAGCCGTGTCTTGGGCGAGACGACACCCCGGGAGGTTATCATTTGTCGAGACAACGAGGAAGGCGGCACGGCAGTCCCGGAGACAGGCCGATAGAACCTCCTGGTCTTGGATACTGCCCTCGAAGATTTTCACCTGCTTGTTGAACTGGACCTCAGGAGAGGAGCCGCAGCAGCTTGGTCTTACTGCGGCAATATGCATTGATGTTGGTGTCGGGGCGCTGGAGAAGATTTTGAATGATTGCAGTGCCACAGTTCCCAGTGGCACCTAAGACCGCGTAAGTGGCCATTTGCTGCAAAGTCGTCACTTCAAGCATTCGTGTCTCGGCTGGGAAGTCTCAATGTCTAGAAGAGTGTGAGTTCATGCGGTCATATAGAATCATAGATCCATAGATCGATAGATCGGGATGGCACTTGCAGATTCTTGCGGGCACCGATGCTCAAGAAATTGTCCGTGGTGAATATTCGGGCACAAGGAAAAGGACCTCCTGCACTGCAGTGAGGATTCTTACAACTGTGTTTCCATGAAATAGCCTGAATTTCATTCCTTGAACAAAATGTTCGGCCGAATGTGATCCTGCAAGGCCAGGATCCCTCACTGGACTAGATAATCGATATCCGATGCTCACGGCCAATTAAAAAACCGGTATATTTCTGCCCGTGATAATGTCCCGATGCGTGCCCAAATCTGTTGGCAAAATCAATGCGGCAACCTTGGAAGTCCCCAATATATTTCGATATTCCAAATTAAGACTCGGAGTTAATTTAGTCTACATGTCCCCCGCCCTCAAACCTTTCATAACGTCACGGTATTCACTACAGGGTACGACTGATGAAACAAGTCAAGCAACCAGATGCTGGCATTTATATTTCCTAGTATCCAACAGCTATAGATCACCACAGAGTGAGTGGGAAGACCTATTTTAGGTTTTAGACGCAGCCTTGTTTATGGTACTTCCATTCCTTAGCCTTTTCACTTTCCCGTTTGTCTCTCAGTGTCTCTATGAGCCAAGTAGCACTCAACATATCCTTATATATTTGGGCTAGTGCCCCCTTGTTGCTATCCGTTAGACCATAGCAATCCATGGATAGAGATTTTGACGAGAAGTTAGTTGCTTTGAAATTCCCAATAATGCCAGGAAATAATTGTTGTATGGATATTGAATGTTTGGAATATCTTGTGTAACAACAATGAGAGAACCCAAGTTCTATGAGAACTAAGGCATGATCTCTCAACGTTTGGTTGCTAGTACTATCTTCGCAGGCCAACAGCCTCTAACTAATCTCCCATCCCCGAGCAGATTGTCTAGCTCCACAAAGAGGTCTGTGAAGGCGTCCAGATTCTCAGATACAAACGGAAATGAGCAGATATGCTCTTTGACACCATTCAGGTCTTTCTCAAAACTCCATCCCTTTTCGTCCTCAAACAAGATCTCATCATCAGCTCCTGTATGATTTGGCTCGATGTTTAGATGCGCATTTTCAGGTGGCAGGAGTCCAACAATCCCCCCATTGGCCATATTCAGGTGCACGCGCTTCGCCCCCGGTGCAAAAAACCGTGTATCCAGAGGAGCAATATTGGCATCATCCTCTGTTCTGGCCATAACATTAATGAGCTGCATGGGGTGTTCCGACTTTTTGAGAAGCTCCCGACCACCCTGGTAGCTGATTCGCTGCCACAAATCCTGTAGTTGCGTATTCTCGAAACGAGCGGGTCCAAAGGTTGCACAGGCAAAGGTGCCGCCAGGTTTCAGCTGCTTCACTATGGCAGCCATCCCCATCTCCTGATCGGGGAAATGCATCACATTCGTTGCAAAGACCATATCAACGCTTCCGGCAGGGATATCATCCGCTTCCTCCAACTTCGCTATGCGGTAGCTGAATCCATAGGTCCCAAGGCGATCCTGAGCCAAATCAATGTTTTTGGCTACGATATCTGACACTATGACATGTTCAAATCTGGAGCGTAGTGTCTCGGAATAAGGACCATTGCCGGCGCCGACGTCATGGACTCTGCCAAATTTTCCTCCGTGGGCCTGATGGTAGTTTAAAATGCGTGTGAAGAAAGAGTCAGGTGCCTGGGGTCGACCTTTCAAGTAATTATTCCAGAAAGCCTTGTCTTGCTTGAAAATTGTACCGTTGTGGTTCATGTTGGCTGACCTGAATCCACCAGGAAGAGGCTTGGAAGGGTCGCAGTAAACGGTGAAAGAAGAAAAGGACAGATAAAAAGGTAATATGCTCAAATGCCCCGCTCAAAAATTGCGTTTTAAAAAGCAAGTGATGACTTGGGAGCTTTTACATCTACTCTCAATCTACCTAGGTATACAGTTGTGATTTGAATGTCGGTGGTCAATAATTGGAATGTCTAAATGTTCCGCATAGAAGGCCGACCAGGGTGGTGCCTTGAACAACAATATATCACGCTTGGTACGAGCATCACTTAACAAAAACGGAAACTTCAAGTTGCATTAAAAACCTTGGAAGGATCCTTCCGAGTATGATTGCGGAAGTCGGTATTAGGAAAAGCCTTTTACCCGATCCAAAAGTGCTTATACATGCTCCTAGTCTCCTTATAGGCCGAGCTCCCGCAAAATCCCCCGAAAGCCAACGAGGACACCGACAAGCGGGAATATGCAGCGGAAAATATGCAACCATGACCATTTAACAACAATCTCCTGCACGGAAGCCAAGATTTCCACTGGCGTTGATACCGTTGCCGATTTATCTAGTTTAAAGAGAATATTGTTTGTGGGCGCCATGAAAATCCACGTGAACGGCACCATAGCGATCGTGGTCGCCCCAGCCACGGCGTAAAGGAGCCAACCCCCATTGTTCCGATACTTATGCAGCGCGATATACTGATAGAGCCCAAAAGTGCCGAGGCACAGCGTTGGCATATAGATATGGCCGTAATGGTAGACGCGAACCCATTGGCGAAGGAGGTGGGCGGAATCCGTGTCTGTGTCGAGAAAGACAGGAATTACTACACCCGACAGGCAGGCCATGGCACCTAAAATGTCACATCAATATACCAGTCATTAATGCTGCTACAAGAAGCAACGGTTTGAGTTCTCGCCTGTGAGAAAAGAGCCACCGATCACAGCAGCTGCCTGCGGTCCAACTCTTGGCACTGAATCAGTTGTAAACGACATTCTTGCTTAAAATATTTTAAAGACCTTGATTTTAGTTTTTCATCTCTTTCATGAAAGAATCCCGTAAGTTGAGTTATAGCTTTGAAAGGTTCGATTTATTGGCCCGAGCCTGTTCGGATACATTATCGGAATATTTATTTAACGGGCTGAAACATCTACCCGAATGCCAGACTATTTCCTTCTTCCTCCTTCCTCCATGATTAGGCTATTGACAGATCTGATATTCTCAAAATTGAAGAGTTCAATAGAGCGTCGTGAATAATGGCACATCGTAGCGACCCTGAGACCAAGAAGCAGACAGAGTCGGCGGAGAATAAGTATCTCTGCCTGACTATTTGTGGTTACCGCAAGCCAGGTATGAGTGAAGAAGATTACCGTGATCATATGGTCAACATATCTGCACCGATGACCAAGGAACTCATGGTCAAGTACAATGTCAAACGATGGACCCAGGTGCGCCGTACAATCCGTGATTCTGTCCGTTTCTTCTTGGTTGACTAGCAAAATAAAATAGATTCACAACCAAACTGCGACGAGGGCCATGATGGTACAGCTTTTTGACCACCAGATGGTCAATGTGGCTGACTTTGACTGTTTCAGTCAGGTATTTTTCAAGAGTGTCGAGGACTACAAGCACATGAAGCAAGATCCGTGGTACAAGGAACATCTGGCGGGGGATCATGAGAACTTTGCCGATACAAAGAAAAGCATGTATGTGTCTCTTTCGTTTACTGCCAATGAAGTTTTCCCAGGTTTGCTAACTCGTTGCAGGATGACAATCGGGTGGGTCGAAGAGTACATTCGAGAGGGTGAGGTTGTGAACGGCTTCGAAGATTGTTAGTTATAGATCTACGAATAAGACATTGCATACATGTTCTTCCCGTCTTTCTTCTCAGGCAGTGCAGATGAATTAAAGCAATAACTATCTCTTATTTCACATATCTCTGAATATACCTCTAGATTCACTTAGCCACATATCATTTTTATTGGATAAGGATGTCATGTCTCTTTATAGCTTTAGCCTCCAAATGAGATCGAATTCAGCAATCGGTGCCAAATTGTAGCTCTTCAAATACTGGCTATCTGGTGGCTGGATTCACAACACTAGAGGCTGTGTTGGGGCTTTGGGAAACCTGAACCAACCGCTCGGGCTCTACTCAGATCGCTTTGACATGGTCACTTCTTGTACCCCAAATCAAGTCTTGTAATCACTGTTGCTAAGATAAACCAGCAAATTCCTAATCTCCATAGACTGGGGAGCTCATATCTCACCGTGCTTTCTTTGTTGATACGTTCGGAGAGTCACACCCACAGCGTACCGTAATCGTAGCCCATATCTCGCAGAAATAAAAGGAACCAAGCCCCGTGGTACAAAATTACCAACGTTAATTGCACATTGATCTTACATGGCAAGTTTGTAGTGAAATGCCCCGAAACAAGAAGTCTAGTCCCATACCTTTCGGAGACCCCAGCCCTCGGGGATCGGCAAAGAGTGCGGTGTATAAGACATACTAGCCCCATTATTAAGCCCGACATAACCTAGACTGGCTTATGATATCTCTAGGTATAAATCTTCTTGATTTCCGATTGTGCGATGGTGCAGGCGATTAGGTACTTTCATAATTTAACAGATACAATCCCTGATCATGAGACATAGCACTACTGTCCCCAGCAAGATGAAGCTCATCTACTTCAGTAATGAGTTCCCCCAGGACGACCTGCAAACCAGTTTCCGAGAACTCCATAACCACAGCAAGGATAGAAGACACCCAGCTCTTGCCCAATTTCTAGAGGAGGCCACCATCGCTATTCGGGAAGAATTGCGGCAATTGCCCACGGCTCTAAGAAAGCTGGTCCCTCCCTTTGACACAATTTTGAACTTTGCGGGTTTTGCCGACCTACGAAGTGGCCCCCTTTCTGGAGCTATAGATGGTATCCTCCTCTGTGTCATCGAGGTGGGAACTCTCATTGGGTAAGTGAAACACAACAAGATCACATGTTTTCCAAAAGCAGATATACTGACTGGATTTTGCAGATACTATGAGACCTACCCAGATGCTTTCGACAATTCCAGTGCCAACACAGCTTTGGCCGGCCTGGGGATCGGACTTCTGGCTACCGCTGCCGTCTCCTTGGCCTCTTCGATAGCAGAAATTTCGATTACGGGTGCTCAGGTTGTTCGACAGGCCTTCCGTCTCGGCGTCCTTGTCAACGAGGTTTCCCAGAACCTGGAGACTCGCGACTTGACGGATACTAACTCACCGGATACTTGGGCCTATGTTCTGGCCAACGTGTCTGCCGAGGAAGTTCAAAAGGAGCTTGACTTGCTCCAAGCTAAGGAGGTGAGTTGTGCTCCAAACATATATTCTTGGGCCATTCAAGCTCTAAACGGAGATACAGAGGGTTCATGAGACGGCCAAGGTCTTTATCAGCGCTTTGAGTGCCACATCGGTAACTATCAGTGGTCCACCGGCAAGACTGAAGGCCATGTTCCGTACGGCTCAATTCTTCCACAATCACAAGTGCATTCCCCTGCCGGTATACGGAGGCTTGTGCCATGCAAAGCACATATACACCCCTGAGAACGCGAAAGAGATTGTACACACAGGCTCGATGAAGATGGTGAGCTCTCGCTTCTTGCCACGGTTACCCATCTACTCCACCAGCACTGGCCAACCGTTTCCCGCCGACAATGCGATCCAAATATTCGAGGGAATTATCACAGAGATTCTCACCCAGACCATCCAATGGGACAAGGTCACCCAGGGAGTGACTCAGCTGGCCAAGAATCTTAGAGTGACTGAGTGCACAGTCGTCGTATTTCGGATTTCACTTCCTATCCATGATCTTTCTGAAACATTGAAAAGATCCCCTGGCTTAGAAATTTCAACCGAGGAGATCATGCCATGGGTGCACAACAACATGCGTCACGACAACGGTGGACCATCACGGCCCCAGCAATCGAAGATCGCCATCGTTGGCATGTCCTGCAGGATGCCGGGTGGTGCAGCAGACACGGAGAAATTCTGGGGTCTGCTCGAAAAGGGCTTGGATGTCCACAGGAAAATTCCATCCGATCGTTTCGATGTTGATTCCCACTACGACCCTGCCGGAAAGAGAATTAACGCCAGCCATACCCCTTACGGCTGTTTCATCGACGAGCCAGGTCTCTTTGACGCGGCTTTCTTCAACATGTCGCCACGAGAAGCAGAGCAAACCGACCCTATGCAGCGACTTGCTCTTGTCACTGCATACGAGGCACTTGAACGAGCTGGTTATATTGCAAACCGGACCGCCGCCACAGATTTACGCCGCATTGGAACATTTTACGGCCAGGCGAGTGACGATTACAGAGAAGTCAACACAGGGCAGCATATCAGCACTTATTTTATTCCTGGTGGATGCCGTGCATTCGGTCCGGGTCGAATCAATTATTTCTTCAAGTTCTCCGGGCCGAGTTACAGCATTGACACCGCATGCTCTTCCAGCTTAGCAACTATCCAGGTAGGTTCCAGGTCCGAGTCCAGGTGATTAACATGAAGAATAATATTGACAACCATCTAAAGTCAGCCTGCACCGCGTTGTGGAACGGCGAGCTAGACACCGCGGTGGCTGGTGGAACAAATGTCTTGACTAACTCAGACGCCTTTGCCGGTCTCAGTCATGGCCACTTCCTATCCAAAACGCCAAATGCATGCAAGACATGGGACAGCGAGGCGGACGGTTATGTCCGAGCGGATGCCGTCGGCTCCGTGGTCATGAAGCGTCTTGAGGATGCCGTGGCCGATAACGACAAAATTCTCGGGGTTATTATAGGCGCGGCCACCAATCATTCCGCCGAAGCGATCTCTATCACCCACCCTCACGCGGGTCACCAAGCGTACCTAGGCAAGCTTGTTGCCAGCCAAGCTGGCGTGGACCCCCTTGATGTCGGCTTCGTCGAGATGCATGGTACCGGTACCCAGGCGGGGGACGCCGAAGAGATCCAGTCTGTGACTACGGTCTACGCACCTAATACCAAGCGCCGCAACTCCAAAAATCCACTCTACATTGGCGCAGTCAAGGCAAATGTCGGGCATAGTGAAGCGGGTGCTGGAATTACGGCTCTATTGAAAGTCCTCCTGATGCTGCAGAAGAGTGCTATTCCACCACATGTTGGTATCAAGAATAAGCTAAACCCCATTTTCCCCAAGGATTTGGACCAGCGACAAGTTCGCATCCCATATAAAAGGACTGAGTGGCCTAGACTGCCAGGGAAGAAGCGAATGGCTGCCATCAATAACTTCAGTGCGGCTGGAGGTAACACCAGCCTTCTCCTGGAAGATGCCCCCGAGAAGCAGGAGGCCGCAGAGCCAGACCCTCGATCTACTCACGCAATTGCCGTGTCAGCCAAAAGCAAGGTGTCTCTCCGTGGGAATATCGAAAGGATGCTTGCATATCTGGAGGGAAGCCCTGAGCTCTCCCTGGCGCATCTCTCCTACACCACCACCGCCCGCCGATACCACCACAATCACCGTGTGGCCTTTGCCGCGTCCAGTATATCTCAGGTTCAGAAGCATTTAAATGCCGCCCTTGGATCGGTAGAATCTCATAAGCCCATTCCAGGCACTGGAGTGCCTCCGGTAGCGTTTGCTTTCACCGGACAGGGGGCGATGTATAAGTCCTCCAATTTCGAGTTGTTCCATCACTCGCCGTACTTCCGGTCCCAAATCCTACACTTGGACACCATTGCCCAAGGCCAGGGATTCCCCTCCTTTGTTCCTGTGCTTGACGGAAGTCATGAAAAAGACTACCAGCACTCGCAAGTCCAAACACAACTAGCGTTGGTCTGCACAGAAATTGCTCTGGCTAAGTACTGGGACACTTTAGGTGTGCGGCCTGACGTTGTTATTGGACACAGCTTAGGGGAATACGCGGCTTTACATATTGCGGGAGTTCTTTCAGCTAGCGATGTCATCTTCCTCGTTGGGCAGCGAGCCGCACTACTTCAACAGCAATGTCAAGCGGGTGATCACAAGATGGTGGCTGTACGAGCGTCTGTTACCCAAATCAAAGAGACCGCCAAGGAGAAAGCGTATGAGATTGCTTGCATTAACGGCCCGAAGGAAACGGTCCTCAGCGGCCCAATCCAAGATATGGATGCCATCATCCCTATCCTAGAGGCCGAGGGGTATAAATGCTTCAGTTTGGACGTCGCATTTGCATTCCATTCTGCCCAGACCGATCCGGTTCTAGACGAGTTCGAAGCACTCGCTAGTGGCGTTGTCTTCCAGACACCTCATATCCCCGTCATCTCTCCTTTGCTCTGCAAGGTGGTCTTTGATAATAAGAGCATCAATGCTAACTACCTGCGCCGTGCCACTCGCGAGACTGTTAACTTCCCAACAGCTCTGGAAGTGGCACAAAAGATTGGCATCGTGAATTATGAGACTGTCTGGATTGAAATTGGACCCCATCCCGTTAGCGTCGCCTTTATCAAGTCCACTCTCTCGCCCATTAATGTGGCCGTCCCATCGCTCCGCCGTGGCGAGGATAACTGGACCACTCTAGCCCAGAGCCTGCCATCTCTACATCTAGCCGGGGTGGCTGTCGATTGGAATGCGTTCCATAAACCATTTGAAAAAGGCCTGCGACTCTTGGACCTCCCAACATACTCGTGGAATGAGAAGCGCTACTGGATCCAATACGAGGGCGACTGGTCCCTCACCAAAGGCAATACTTCCTACGACAAAGAAAAGGGTCTGGGTCCTGTCCCACCCGCCAAGTCCGGTCTCAGCACGTCGACCGTTCACCGCATTATCGATCAAAGCTTCGACGCGACATCTGGTACAGTTGTCATGCAGTCTGACCTGATGCAGTCCGACTTCCGCGCTGCTGCTTGGGGCCATGAGATGAACGGTTGTGGAGTAGTTACATCGGTACGTCCCCTCCAAGGTTTGATAACTATCGTCGCCAACGGAACTAACTTCACATGCAGTCTATCCACGCCGATATTTCATTCACCCTGGGTGAATACATTTACAAGAAACTCAGGCCGAAGGCCAAGGAGGTTCACATGAATATTACCAACCTAGATGTTCGCAAGGGACTCGTTGCTAACAAAAACCCTGAATCCCAGCAGCTCATCCAAGTCGCGGCTACTAGTCACATTGACACCAACAGAGCAGAGCTGACGTGGTTTAACGTACAGGCCGGTGGTACCTTGGATGAGCCTTTTGCTACCGCAACCCTTCTCTACGGGGATTCAGAGGAATGGCTTGCTTCTTGGGTTCCTATCACCCATCTGATTCAAGGCCGCATCGAAGACCTTGAAAGACTTGCGATCTCCGGCACCGCAAACCGCTTCAATCACGCGATGGCCTATCTTCTCTTCGCAAAGAGCCTGGTGAACTACGCCAATAAATACCGGGGAATGCAGTCGGTGGTCCTACATGAATACGAGGCGTTCGCCGACATCGAGCTCTCTAGCGAGAGAGGCGGCAGCTGGACAGTACCTCCATATTTCATTGATAGCGTCGCTCATCTTGCTGGGTTTGTCATGAACGTAACGGATGCCGGGGATACAACGAACAACTTTTGTGTCACGCCAGGCTGGCGCTCGATGCGATTCGCTAAACCTCTCGTGGCGGGAGGCAAGTACCGGTCGTACGTCAAGATGATTCCAACCGCCGATGACCCGAGTGTGTATCTTGGCGACGTCTACATTCTCCAAGACGGAATCATCGTCGGCGTGGTCGGTGGCATGGAATTCCGCCGGTATCCGCGGATCCTGCTCAGTCGCTTCTTCTCTGCGCCCGACGACGCCAATGCGCCCCCTGTGGCAATGGCGTCTTCCTCTTCCAAGCCCTCCGTAATGACAGTAGAGCCACCCGTCGTTAACGGCGCGAAAGCTACACCCGCCGTCAAAGAAATCGATAGCACCAATGGTGCAGAGTCGGTTGACATGAACTCAGATACCACGACTGCCAAGGCGCTCCTCATCATCGCCTCGGAGTCCGGACAGGATCTGGCGGATCTCACCGATGACGCCAGCTTTGCGGACCTAGGTGTCGATTCCCTGATGAGTTTGGTGATTGCAGAAAAGTTGCGGACGGACCTTGGGGTAGTAGTGGGAGGAAGTCTATTCCTGGAGTACCCCACGATTAGAGACTTGCGGAGTTGGTTAGAGGAGTATTACAGCTAGATTGTTTCCTCGGGTAGATGTTGGTATACGATATTTGTCACTAAAGTCCGAAGCACGCAAAATACGCGGCCTTTTTGTTGAGTATCACGGTGGCTGAACCTTATGGCAGGGGTTGGGAACTCGAAGAAATATAAATGAGGCATCTCACCTGTGCATGTCATTAAAAGATAACTCCTGAAGTCAATCAATACTAGTAACTAGTGGCAGTGATGAGGGGAGTGCTCGTTGGCGTCGCGCTTTCTGACGTGAAGGTCAATTCAGCTGGGGAAGCAACTCGAACAAAGCAGAGAGAGGTTTCCGAAGATTCAATCTCTTTCATCTTGGAGGATGGATATCAGGAAATGGTGCAGGCATGCAAATATCTGTAGATGAGAGGAGTGGGCCGCGGAGGCAAGGTAAAAGCGACGAGTGCTACCTGAGGCAAGCCAACATTTCACAAAGGGGACAATGCCATAGTAAATTGTATGAACCTACTAACTAGTGCCTAAAAAAGAGAAATCAAACCCGCCATGATCTTTGTGACAATCTTGGAACGGCCTCCGGACCTATTATGACGACTGCTCCCCACTACGCTAGATAATAGATATACTCGGATCCCGACCAACCAGTGATCACTGATGCCTACCTCTGTCATTTAGATACAACGTTAACAAAAGAGATACAGCACCTTATGCTGAGGCCTGTATGCATCGCCCTATGCCGTATGAAGTAGTACCAAAATGCCATAAACATGGTATTTTACTACTACAATTTACTACTACAGTGGCGTTCCAAAAGTTTAAAACGCCACTGTACCTACGGTCTACCAGTCATCGCATGGTAATTACTAGTGCAGCAGGGGGCCTCACGGCCCCTGACTCAGCTACAGTAAGTTATGCATAGACAACACATCTTCAATCCACTCCCCTGCACATTTATTGTTTGCAGATACTAGTGCTTACAGTATTATTGATTTAAATTATTATCACCCTCCACCCGGGAGAGGCTCAGACTATATTCAGAATCGACATATGCCCAGGTGTACGAACTAGTTACAGCCCGGGCGCTAAAAGCTTAGAACAACTTGTTAGAGATGAGACTCGGGTTCTGGCTGCAAAGCACAACCTTTTCTACTTAGAAGTACGAAATACGCGATGACAGTCCTAGCAGAACTCGAGTCCCAAAGCAAGGAGCTTTCCTCTGCAATTGAGAACCTCGTAACACATTGCCAGAGAGCACAACTTTACGCCGATGGTACAGTACTTGGGAAGCCACCACAGATTATTCCACACGAAGCTCCAGCAGAGGTTCATCGAGCTCGAGAGTCGGTTTTGGCGAGTATCAGCAGACTTCAAGTCATGCTGGCTGGCCCAAACGACTTCTTGAAGCAACTGGCCAGTCAGGTTAGCCGACAATTTTCTCTTCCCCCTTTCTCGCGGCCTATCATCATTCCAAGATGTATCCAAGGAACACGACCAGCTAGCTGATCGAGTTATAATAGACCCAGATTCTCGCATGTGTGCAATGGCTGGGAGAATTTCAGGTCCCCGCGTGCATTCCGCTGGACGGCAGTGCCATGATCAAAGACGTATCAGACCTCATAGGCATTCCTGAGAGTCAACTCACTCGAGTGATACGAATGGTGGTGACTGCTGGATTTTTACAAGAACTTCAGCCAGGCTATGTAGCCCACAGTACTCTATCAGCATCTTTTGTCATCCAACCATCTTACCTGGATGCCACGATATTCCTAGCCGAACGGGTGGCTCCAGCCGCGTTGAGGATGGCAGTAGCGACAAAGCAGTGCTCAATGTCATCGAAGGAATTGACTCAGGGATCCCATCATATCGGCTCTAATACATCTAATGGGACCGACTTTGCCGTGGCAGACGAGGTCCGTCTTCCCCGGCTGCAGCGTCAATGGCATGCATATCTCCGACATGGAACGGGACATCTGTGCGACACGGTGACGGACGTTCTAACCTGCCTCGAGCGCTTTCGGATGGCCAATGCGACCGTCGTGGAGGTATTACTTCCTTCCTGTTGCCATAATGAGCTCCTCACATTATTTCTAACCAATTCTTTTACACATGCAGGTCGGGGCGCGATCCACCGGGCGAGCGATCGCTCTTGCGAGTCAATACCCTACACTGTGCTTCACGGTTCAAGTGAACCAGATAGGCGATTCGTCCTCTGCCAGAAATGGGAGTATACCTTCATACCTCGACAAGACGCGACAACTGCGCCCGACTCCCCGCGTGGCCGTCCAGCAGCGGGTCCTCGGGTCCGATCAAACCGTCTTCGACGCCGCTATCTACATCGTCAACTTACCCTTACCGGTACTGGGAATGGAATCCCCCTCCTTGGCGACGCAAACTAGTGTCGAGCTCAAGGCCCACTTGAATGTACTTCGAATTAATCGGTCAGCCACCATGGTTCTCATCGTCCCTTTCCTACCCGAAAGCAATAATGAGAGCACGGAAGCGGTGGCCCTGATGCGGATCCGAGATCTGTCGTTATTGCAGTTAGTCAATGATCAGGAACTAGAGATCTCGAAGGTAGTCAATCTCTTGAGTGGGGTGAGCGACAGCGAGGGGAGGCTAGTCCTGGTGAATCGGGTCAAGTCGCCGGGGAAGCATGGCACCGTCGCGCTGGAGATCAAGTATCAGGCATATACGGACCATGAGTAAGTAGAAGGATGCAAATTTTCCAATAGATATTTTGAAGCATTGATGAAGAAATTATAACATTGAAATCGAATTACAATTATTGATGCCAATTACATTCTATCTTTTTTTCCGTTCGGAAGGTATGCGTATTCAAGAGGCTGAGCAATAAAGTAGCCAATCAAAGATACTACGCGAAAACAATACAAACGCTGAAATTGAGGGATTCTGTTGGTATTGGATGCCTAGGGTATCAGGCCCCACTAGCTGCTGAGTCAGGGGCACAACTGGTTGATGTATGTAGAGAGCGCACCTAGATAGCTTCATCTGATCACCATCTATTGCACTATCACGAACATCCGATCTTTGTCGGTATGGTAGCACCCGTCCCATACCTCCAGTAGATTCTAACAGGTTTCTTATCCCTTCATAGTTATATCCATCATTATACCCATTATTACCTACTAGTATGCATATGGACTTCGGGATATTAGATAGCTAAGCAACACCGGGTCGCCCCGAGGCTCCAGGCCCACCAACGGGAGGCCCCGAGGCCCCCAGCCTCCCGGTGTTGGTGGGCTTGGCATGGCTGTGTAATTCCAAATTCAAATAGTCTAGAACTGCAGCAGGCTATGTAACTTATCAATTACTGAGAAGTAGGCGGTTTCCAATTGGTAGTGAAGAATGAAATCCCTCTCTAAAAGCTACCTAGGCACTTAAATAGGAAGTAGGCTGGATTGATGGCATACACGAGCCAAGTACTAAACAAACGTGTATTGGTGATCTACATCAAGTACGAGGCAAATGTGCATTAGCTATCTGTATCTCGAATATTACGGTAGCATCTAGTAGGCCGGGAGGGAACTATCTACGAATCACGTAAGATTTCATGTATGTCTGTCTATCAGTAATTCATTTTTGTTCGCCCCAATCATGGAGGCCTCCTGGGCTCCTGTCACCAAAATACTGCAACTCTACCTCTGTTAGCTCCTTGACGATACTTCTCCAAGGGCCTTGGCTCCGAGATAACCCAGATCAATCTTACATGTGTTGTCCTGTCATGAACTCGAATCTTGTTCTACTTGGTCTACTTGCTCCATAATTCAGCAGGGACCCAAGCTCACATCCCTGCTTTTCTCAATATTGGTAGTGTCGGGGCTGTGAGATTATTACGATGATGACGACCTCATGAGGCTGACAATCATAAATCCAGAAGTACCATGAATGAGTGTTTTATCTCAATTGCTGGCGGCCCGCTCCCTCATGCCTGTGATTTTGGGGGCGAAGCAACACCCTAGCAAGGAAGAGACTCACTTGTTCGTGTTAGCTTTTACTCGAATCTTCGCAACAGGCCCCCGCCGGTCGTCATTTTTCCGAAGAGGATTGCACCCTTGCTAGCGCAATCAGAAGCCTCGAGAAGCCACGAGCTCGCTGACCGACCGTGGCACCCATTTTCGAGCTCTCAACATGCCGCCGTTTGGTTCAGGTGATTTGTGCCTTCATCAGGAGACTTTTCAGATCAGGATTTCGAAATGGATACAACACGATCCCCACGCGCTCCTTGTCGCACTAGCGTTGAGCCAACCGGTCTCAAACTGCGGGATAGCTGCAACCGCTGTGCCGCATCGAAGATCAAATGCAGCAAGGAAAAGCCGACCTGTTCTCGCTGCTCAAAGCAAGGCAGGCCATGTGAATACTTTGCTACCAAACGTGCAGGCCGCAAGCCCGGTAGACGAGTATCCTACCCCACCTCGCTGCCAGTGACCCGGGATCAGGATGTACCGACTACTATACCAACGACCATGGCAGCATTGACAGCGAGCGCGACGACGATGGCAGCGGCGGCATCCATTTGGACAACCGATCTATCGGAGCCGGATATGATGCAACTGTCGCCAGTATCACCGTCGGGGGGCTTTCCAGACATTTTTTCGGGGCTTTCTTCCTTAGAAGATTCATTGGGAGATCCGACGATCTCGACTCCGGCCACCTTGGATTTCAATTTGACCAATTTTTCCACCTCCGGCGTTGCATATTCGATGAATAATCTCATAGAATCGTCCCATTTTCGTCATTCGTACGGAGCAAACAATTTATCCGATTGGGGTCGGGCTACCACAATGCCTCCACACTTGTCCTCCGTTGATGCGGCCGTCGCTCCAAACGTTTCTCCGCCGCAAAATCCGACAGACATCCGACCTGTTTCGGTCGACGGGCTAAACTCGGGGCAGATTTGCAGCTTTGCTCGTGCCCTGGCACTTCTCAAAGATCCTCCCTCCCCCGCCTCCTTGTTAAACCAAGTGCCAGTTGAAAGCCATGCCGGACTCCGCCCCGTACGGACCATCCGATCCGTCATGACCGAGAACGAGCAGACGGTACAGGTGATTAGCGATATCTTACAAGAGAGACCAACGGAAGATGGGTGTCTACTGGCGGTACTATCAGTCATCATTTTGAAAGTGCTGACTCGGTATGCCGCGGTGTTGCGCCAAACACCCGGATTTGATGGCGACGGTTCCGATCAGAATTCCCCAGCCTCAGAGCAGATGGAATTGCTGGGAGACACCTCTTGCACTGATAGCGAGGGTCAAAGCCGGAAAGTCGCGCAGCAGGTTCTTGGCCAGCTCCACCGCGTGCAGCATGTGGTGAACATCCTCTCCCAATGCTTCCAAGCCGACGGCGGACGTGCGGAAGCCCGGAATCTCCCCAGCCCAGGCGGCTCGGACAATTCATTGTACATGGAGAGCTTGTTCCCTTTTCCTCATTATATATTAGAGCAGTTTGAGAACGATTTACGCAAGCGTCTCCGTACCCTATCGGCAGATATTGTGGGCAGGCTTCGCTAGGATAAAAAATGGCCAATTTACGTCGCTTGCGCATTTCATTGTCATAACAGAATGAATAAAGTGTCTGACCTCCCTGAATCTAGATAGTTCTGTTGTATTTGAGTTTGAAGATCACAAAAGCCAGGCGGATTCTATATTAGAATTTTATAAATCTAGCTCCATAATTTACCAGTCTAGAGCAAATCAGATGTGTCCAGTCTCAAGCCATTCGAGATCCATATAATCAACCTAATTATTGGCAAAGCACTATAAAATACTAGTGGCGGAAGTAGAAGGTTACGTAAATCTCTCTATCTTGCAGCTGTTGGCTTTGTTATTTCACTCTTAATAGGCCCGTCTAGATATTGGGCAAATTTGGGGCCAAAGTCTTGCATAAAGGCTGAACCCACCATCTCTTCCAGGGCCTCCGCCTTATCACCCGCTTCTGAGAGCTTAATAAACACCAAGCACTCTAGCTGCCAGGGCCCCCCATGGAAGGGAACCCTTTGAAAAGGCGTACACTGCGGCTTTCTAGAGTTGATCATAAAGATTTTTAGCCACCCGAGGTTTGCTGAGGAAGCCACAGCTATATTTATATGATATAAATAAGAAATGTGAAACCCCTTTGCACCTTGCCGCTCGATTTGGCCACCCTTCAATTATCTCGGCTCTACCATTACACGTCAGAACATTGGTCAATGCAAAGAATCAGAATGAAGGGACCCGTGGGCTCCACTGCACGAAGCTACAGGGTCAGGTTACACTTCAGCGGTCTATGGAAGTACTTCGGTATGATAGCAACTCGATTGATGAAGAGAATAGCTCTGGGGCTGAATCTTTACACTTTGCAGTTCTCTATTACGTTTAGCTATTGTATAGCTACTTTTGAACAAAGATTTAGATAACCGATTACCCATTTCTAGGTCTGCAGCCATTGGGTTCATACTAAAAGTGTTCCCGCCTTTTCAACGGGTTAAATCGGAGAATTAGCATGCTCCAGCAAAGCCCTCTGGTTACATAGTGATCACCGGTTGCTTATGTTGGTCAGGGCCGTGCTCAATTCTACTCAGGAAGCAAAATCGGCGAGGAGGTGAGCACTAGAATGGAAAGGGAAAGCCAAACTGTCAAATATTATCCGGTACGATGCACGTGATCTCAGCCTCATTATTATCTCGGCAACCGGGATCTTAACTGCCGTTCGTAAGGCCGGCCGGATCGCCTTCCAGCAGCAACAAACTAGATATACCTTTGACCAACGAGCTACTAACCCGGATATTCACTGTCAACCGTCAAGCCAGCTCTCCCAGGAGCTCGCGAACCAACTCTCCCCCCACACAGACCCATGATAATACTACTGGCTAACGTCGGGAGGGGCGGCCCTGCCCATGACCTACTTCTATCATACGAAGCAGACGTCATCCTAGTCCAGGAGCCCTGGACTGACAAGGCAACTCAGGAAGACTCACCCACGCTACCAGCTATTTGGCCCTACCACCCGCTGGGAAGCTAGGTTTAGAGCTCTGACATACGTACGCAGGGATCTCCCTGCGTCCCCCTCCCACATCCCGACTCGCCCGATATCGCAACAGTATGCGTATCCGGACTCACAATAATCAACAGCTATCGCCCCCCCCCCCACGACATCAAAAGTCCTTCCTGCAAGATCCCAGAGAAAGAACCTTCTAGAAGTCACCTTGATCAACTTGGATGCGTTACGGGCTTGTCTAACGATCAATCTTTCAATGACAGCGACCGAATTCATATGCGCGAATAGAGTCGCTTCTCATATTGGCTTGGCCGCAGAGCCCGAGATTTTTTACATACATGAGCTCAATACTACTTATATGATTTAATTATGCCGCTCCCTTCTTGATCTGCATCAGCGTCGTATCGCAGGATCTCAACTTTGATTACGTGGCACTCTAACCAGGGGTAAATCTTTAAGAGTAGACATCACATAAGCCAGTCTGGTACTTCTTTCTTGTACCGTTAAAACAATAACATTCGCCCTGGGGGGTTGTATTGAGCTCTCCCATCTTGATGATACACACTGGCTCCCGCCCGGACCATAGTGATACGGTAGCGGCCTAGGACCGAGATAAAGTAGCAGCTGAGACAAGAGGGCTACTAGACGTTACGCTTGTCTATGTGCCGCCGGGTTGACTAGTATCCTGGCCCGAGAGACTAGAAGAGGTTTTTATGATATCCCCACTAGATATAGATATAGGTTGTACCGCTTTGTTTGTCGTTGATGTGGCTTGTACCACGCAAAGTAATTATCAGAGCTTTGAACAGTCAAAGGTCTTGGTTGCCTGGGCTTGTTCATTCGTCGCCGTTCGTGATATAGAGCATCCCAGGAGAAGTTAAATAATATATACTCTTTTGGAGAATCTACAAGACCTATTAAGATCCTCTGTTAGTCCTATACATCGGGCGGTGGGATAGATTTAGAGCCCTTACAAAATAAGATTACTTTTTTGAGCCGGCTTTCACAATCCAAATTAAGCGAGACTCTATTTATTTCACCTTAAAGAGTATAGCCCACGGATTAGTCTATGTGGGAAATAAGCGTCCACTGACTACAGAGATCGTAGGTGTTCTGATAAAGTACCTTAAGGTCATCTTTTTTATAGGCTATAGTGACCATGGCTACTATCAGAAGTTTAAACAGTATTTTGAAAAGTATTTTTTATCTACTATATCCCGAAGAGAATAGTGTTAGTATTTCCGCAAACAGTGAGAGAATAGCAAGGACTCACGCTGTATATTTCCTTTCTGTCTGTTTCAGTAATCTCTATACCGGTAGTCTCTTTAAACCCACCGAAGAGTCGCTCCGCCTACGCCTTGGCTGTTCTCACTATCGGTTTCCCACTCTTGCAGAGCCGGCCATAGGTAGAGTTCGCATACTAGCGAATAAACTCTTTTACCATTTCATGGCTTGGAGGCAAGCAACCTGGTGCAGTTTTATAGTCTTCAAATCCGTTTTCAGGGTCACAAGTGAAGCTAAGAAAATAAGCTTTGCCATTGATGAATCTTTCTGTTCCGAATTTTCAAACTTACTCAAGCCACAGATTCAAGGTTTTTTGCTGTCTTTTGGTCCTTGGAAGTTTTCTGTCTTTGTTTCAAACAGCGTCTTCCCTCTTGTAGGCTGCAGGGATATAGCAATTCCTCTGCCGTAAAAGACGACGCCTTTCTTTAGCCTTCTCATCACACTTGGAGAAAAAGGCTTTTCGGCCCATAGCTGGATATTGATCGTGAGCTCGAAGGGGAAGAGGCAGACTCAGAGGAGTAGTTGATTGTGATACAAATAATGAAATCTATGTTGCTTTTAATGGGGCCGTGGAGGGGAAAAATTCTTCTTTAATATTTTGGGTCACAGGATACATGACAGTGCAAAGGTCTTTTTAAACTGCATAATATTGAACAGGATAGGTCCACATCGCTTTTGTCGTTCGGGCCAGTTTTGATCAGGACCTCTAGAATGGGAGGGCCTCAAAAGTACCATTGACGCACTAGGTATCACAGAATAGATGGCCCTGTGGGACATGTCCTTTTTGGATATAGTCTGACTCGGGCTGTGGAAAAGAATTACCGCTCGCTGGTTGGATGAGAAGTCCTAGTAAGTAAGCAATGGCTGAGTGATCACTGAGCCACCACTGAGCACCCATCGATGATCACTGATCCACCGCCAAGCGAACACTGAGCAATGATGATTGGTCACTGAGCGATTACATTACTGCACTGATCAGATCACTGAGCATGAGCGCGTGCTGACATTTACTCACTGAGCCTGAGCCTGATCGCCCTCATTAAAGCGGCGGCAGCCTGGGCAGACAGGAAAACCCCACCCGGCGAACAAAATCCGGTGTATATAGGTGCATATATCATGAAGCCGTATTCCCGGGGCTAGAAGGGCCTTTCTCAAATTGACTACTATCCCGCGTCAGCTTTGATGACGTTGGAAATGATTTGATTTGTTCAAAATATACTACTAGTAGTAACGAGATCAAAACTTCATGGGAATAAAACACAACATTTATAATTCGCACATATCTGTCAAGTTTCGATCCTGATAAAAAACTCTTTTTCGCCTTCGTTTGGCTTCACGGCCGCTCGTTGAACCATCTCATCCCCTACAGCCAATCTCAACTTCTCCGCCGTGCTCGGCGCGTTAAAAATCAGCGGGGCAGTGACGTTGTTCATCTCACGAGCAGCTTTCACTGCCTCCCTCAAAGCGAAAAATACCGTAGATCCCAAGAAGAGTGGGGGCTCTCCTGTGCCTTTACTGCTCTGGATAGAGCGCAACTTGTCCCAAGATATCGGGTTGCCTTCAGAGTCATGCTGCAAGGTTGAAATGTTGAATACTTGAGGTATGTCGGAGAAGCCTGGAAAAGTCAGTAATCATAAAGTCGCGAGAACTCGATTTTATCCCACCAGGTATCTTGTAAGTTCCAGGGCCTTTGGTAAATAACTCTCCTGTCTTGGTCCATAATGATTCTTCCATAGTGAATAACCCTTGGCCTTGCACAAATGCCCCTTCAATCTGGCCATAATCAAGGGCTGGGTTGATAGAACGCCCAATGTCCATCATCAGATCAGTTCTGAGAACTGTCGAGTCCCCAGTCAAGGTATCCAGCTCCACTTCAGAAATCGCACTATCGCGCAAGGTCAGCATTCCATTTCCTAGGCCTTCAAGTTTCACACCCCTTCTTGAATCGGATAACTTACACCCCTTGAGTCCAGTAGTAATACCTAAGAATACCCGTTAGTTTCATTGCTAACAGGAGGGATCAAATAAAATTGAGATCTCACATAGGCAGCGGATCCTTCCAATTACCCCATTCATACCCAATTCGAGGCATTTTCCAGAATCCATTCGCTGCTAGGTTGACTCTGTCGCGGTACGCAGCATGCACAAGTTTGGACAAGGGCGCGTCCATGCCATACTTCTCTCGGTACGGCGCTAAACGCTCATTTAACTGGTCGCATGCATTTTTGACAGCTTGTCCGTTGAGGTCGCTTCCCGACGATGCCGCGGTCGGCGAGGGGTTGGCGATCTGGTCAGATTGTGACTCCTTGTTGTAAATGTCATCAATGCTGACACGCAGCTCCTCTGCGGCAACTTGACACATCTTGGTGTAGAGCCCCTGTCCCATTTCGGTTCCTCCGTGATGAAGTTGGACAGAGCCATCTTCGTATATCTTCACATATGCTCCAGCTTGGTTTAAATGCAAAGCTGTTGCAAAGCTGTGAAGCAAGTCAGCTCGAACAGGGGTAAGAAGGAGGGGGTTTGAGACGGGAAGGGGTTCTAGCACGCACCTCAGACCAAACTTGCACGGAATTTTTGATATTCCTCGCTTCTTGAAGCGATTCTTTGAATTGAAGACCTTGATCGCAGCCTTTCGCTTCTCAAAGTCGGAGTTGGTGGTTAATTGCTCCAACATAGTGGCAACATGGAAGTCGTCGGTGATCTCTTGCAAGAAAGGAGTCCTTTGGCCGACTTTGTAGAGATTACGAAGGCGTAGCTCATCGACATCAATCTCCAGACTTTCAGCAATCTTGTAGATTATGCTTTCGGCAATGTACATGCCCTGGGGACCGCCAAAGCCGCGGTATGCCGTATTGCTGACGGTATTCGTCTTGCAAAGCCATCCGCGAACCCAAGCATTGGGAATGTTATAGCAATTGTCGACGTGGGTACAAGCGCGGTCCCTGATCAACTTTTGTCAGTCCTTCTTTTATTTCACGGGGTAGAGCCGTAATCAGCTAGGACAGACTTACATGACCGCTCCAGTCATGTCAAGCGAATAGCCTCCGTTGTTATACATGTCGATCTCAAGAACCTGGATCTTTCCCTGAATATCAACACCAACCTTCCAACGGGCCTGGAAAGGATGTCTTTGACCACTGATAGCAATGTCTTCGTCGCGATTAAGCATCATGCGAACAGGTCGAGACGACTTTCGTGCTGCGACTGCCATATACATAGCAATGGGCGTGCTTCTAGATTCCTTCCCACCGTAAGCTCCGCCCATGCGACGTACTCTCATATTGACGCGGCTCATGGGAACGCCTAATACCTGAGCCACAAAGACTTGGTTTTCCATGAGATTCTGCGTTGAGCAGTATACATCCATGGAGCCATCCTCAACATGTGGGATAGCAAGAGCCGCATTTGTCTCCAGATAGAAGTGCTCTTGGCCACCCATTTTTGTAGTGCCTTGCAAGATGTGATCGCACCGGGACCAGGCCTCATCAAGATTCCCTTCTACCGCGTCACCTGTTCGGAGCTCCTTGCCATGTTTGAAAAAGCTATTTGATTTGATGGCTTCATCGATCGTGAATATCGCAGGTAGATCCGTGTAGGTGACTTCAACGCGATTTGCGGCCTCTCGGGCCTGAAGAGCAGTTTCCGCATACACCATTCCAATTACTTGGCCGTAGTAATGAACAATGCCGTCGGCGAACAGAGGTTCATCGGGTATAACAGGCCCCCACATGTTAGTTCCGGCCGGTACGCTGTCCTTGTCAATGTATCCCATAACCCCAGGCATCTTCAACGCAGGTGCATAGTCAATGCTGTCCAATGTGGCGTGGGCTCTTTTGGCCATCACCAAGGCACCGAATAGTTCATTATGTTGTCGTGGCATGTCTTCCACGTATTCGGCCTCACCAGTGCAATGTTTCAGTGCCGATAAGTGAGGAATCGGCCTCCCCACTGTTCGAGTTCCTCTGTTTAACATCGAGGCAGTAAAATTATCACGATTGCCAGAGGAAATGTCGCGGTGAATCTCTTGAATCAGATCGGCGTCGACATCAGCAAGGCCTAACTCGTGAACAACCTCATGCCAAAATCGAAAGAACATAGAAATGGTCAACACTATTTAACGCGTTAGTTGGGTCGCACGAATTGAAGATGGGCTACTAGTAGGAAAAAGGACTAACCGCGTCGATATTGTGCCATTCCACCAGGCACGCCAAAACCTAAGTCAAATTGATCTAGGAGCGCATTCGTTGCATTTTCCAGTGTTTCTGCTTCAGCCCATCTCTTGCCAGCAACTGCTTCTTGCGCCTTCGTGGCCATTACTGTTGTCGGGGCCATGCCACCAAATGCAAACCCGCAGTCTTCAACAACGCCTTCTTCATTCAGTCGCACTCTGAACCCAGCCGTCACAATAGCAATGTCATCATCTTTTCTCTTAGCTTGCTTGTATGCCTTTGTTACTTCAAGAATTCCCTCCGACGGCAAGGGAATGACAATTTGAGTGATGATGCCATCCTCTGGTAGGGCGGTTGTCCGGTAGCGAAGAAACCAAGAAGTGATTGGGATATTGAATGTTCCTTTTGACTGGGACCGAATGGTTATCCTCGCTCCTACTGCTAAGAGTAGGGGGGCCGAATCAGAAATAGGACTCGCTGTGGCTAGGCTGCCAGCAAGACTTGCGACATTCCGAATCTGTCGCCCCGCAAAATAACGAAGTTGTTTCCGAAGTGCCTCGAGTACAAAAGCACGGCGCCCAAGCTTTTGATAGAGATCCTTGCACATATACTCTAGCTTGGTCAATGGTAAATTTCCCGGAATACAGATCTCAGATAAATTATCAAGCTCCGCCAAAGTCGGTTTCTCTTGACTTTTGTATGTGTTGAGCTCAGGAAGATCTGCTGCAAAGATAGAAACTCGATACTCCAGCTTCTTGAAGCGGATCTCGATTTGGGTCTCACTTGCCCCGCCGACAATCTTGGCCGAGGGATAAACGGACTTTAACTCGACAAGCTGTAATAAGTTTGTCGGCTTGAACCACAATTTTCGCTCATTGCCGTAGCAGATCGGTTGTGCTTCGTACCTCCGAAGTGATGGCGGAAAGACGGGTTCGGCGGCAGGCTCGTATGGTTCGAATACGTCTTTCGCTACTACCTCCCTTGGGTGTTCCGACGTGGCTTGTGTATTGTTAAGTTTCGGCGCTGATACTGGAGTTTCTAACAATTCGGAAGCCGATTCTGTTCCAGAGGTGGAACCACACCCGGATGTCTTGGGATTATCGCGACAACAGCCACCTGGACGACCACAAGAGCCGGAAATGTTGATATTACGCAAAAGTGTTTCGTTGTCCTCCTCATCATCTGACGGCGGTGGGCTTAGAAGATCACTTTGCCTTGCGCCATCTCCTTCGACGAGAACTCCTCTAAGATCCTCGACGACAAATGTTCGTGCTGCTTCAAAAATTGGCTTGTATCCGGTCTGGATACGATCAGGAAATTATGGACGACAAGTATGCGCACTCTTGCGTAAGGAAAGTGAATGAACTTACACATCTGCAAAGGTTTCCATCGAGGTGACCCTCAAGCTCCAGGTCGGAACGTGTTAGGTAAAATTTGCCGTTTCGATACGAGTTTCTGATCAGAGCGTACAGGCTCATAACGATGCCAGGGGTACAGAACCCGCATTGCGAGCCGCTAGAATTTGTGAGTATTCAGGTTTAAAAAGTTTCTATATCGATGGCAAAATGAACACCGAGCTATCTCAATCTTTGACATACTGCATCTTTGCAATTCTCTCCTGCAATGGGTGCGGACGATTGACCGTTCCAAGCCCTTCAATGGTGATGAGGCTTTTACCATCAACTCCGATCAGCGGATATAGGCAGGCATTAACGGCCAGGTGGTTGACCTTCTTGTCTGGCTCGATGGTTTGCAAAACAACGGTACATGCGCCGCAACCACCTTCGCCGCATCCCAGCTTCGTGCCTTTTAAATCATCTTGTGAACGGAGCCAATCGAGAAGGACCCATTCGGGGTTGGGGTTCTTCACTATAGCGGGACGCCCGTTGACGAAGAAGTTAATGTCGGAGGTTCGGTAGGTTGATGAAATCAAATCAGCAAGAGCTTCGACGGGGCTTTTCAGTGGGCTCGCGCTATTGGTATCGGACAGAGGCGGCGAAGGTAAGCGCTCTGATGAGGGTATTATTTGCATTTTTTTGAAATCGTTGGCACGACTGGCCCCGGGTCAATTATCGATCAGAAAGAACGGTCCCTAGCAGAAGAGAGAGCGAGGGGGGTACTGGCAAGAAAAACGACAGTCCAAAAGTTAGCGTAAATAGTATTATCGAGTGATAATCAAAGTTTGGATGATCATGGTAGACAACTTGAAGAAGCAAGGATTTATGTATTTACAAATTACAGCGCAACCTATTTATGTGAGAGCCTGGTCAAATGATATCTTCGATAGTAGCTTTCCCCTCGATAATACTCCAGAACTATTATGTACAAATTACCATATAAGAAGCTCGGAATACGACGTCTAAAGCGGGGTTGAATCGAGCATGGAAGCAAATGTTTTTACTACTGCGTAACCATCCCCCCACTCTTGTAAAAAGCACAAATTTCAATTACGGACGAGTCGAATAAATTTCTCAGCCAAGGCTTTCAGACGAATCGAAATCAAATGAATAATTTTGAATGAGGCTGATCCAGCACTGCGGTATCAAAAAAAACACTCATGGTGTGTACGATATGGTGGAGCACGGAGGAAATCAATGGAGGAGATATACTATAGGACCAATCTGCTTAAATACACCTGGGCATTTTTGAATTCTCCGTCTAGTACTGATTTGTGACTGAGTAGGACATATGCTATTTATGAAGCCTCAAAGGTGGGATGGTTGCCTCGAAGTTGCCGGTTGATATATAGATCGAAGAGTGGAGGTTCGAGTATCCCCACCTTGGAGTGGGGGTGCATGTGCGCATAGGACGCATTGTTCCCCTTATGGAATGCGTATCTGTCGTCTTCCAACTCTCATGTAATTTGCTGCCGAGGGCATCGTACCTTTGTAGGTACCTGATGGTAGCAGACTCCCGATTCCACCTTTGGGCTATGAACCCTCTAGCGCTGTGGCGCCACTTTTGAGCCTGGACGGATATCCGAGCATGCATTTAGTGCAGTGATATCAATTATCAATGGGCTGATTGATTGGCAGCCTTTCCATGGAACATGGCTCAACCGGCGTTTGTCTTGATATGGCTTCAGTTGGACCAGACAAGGGTAGCAGTATTTGTTATAGTATAGTCGGATCAGCGAAATTCCCAGTCATACGAGGAGTTGTTTTATAATGTTGGACCTCATGGCGATGGCAATTGAGGGTTGTCAAGGTCATGGGATAGCGAGTTCAACCAAAAACGCGAACAGTTCCTAGGTAACTCAGTAATTATTCGGAATATGGCTTAGCCATGGGCAAGGGTAACATACCATCAGGACACCCACCGGCCCAGTATCCTCTCTCGTTCCACGCAACACAACTAACGACCTTCCCCCTCGGCCCCATCGGAACCGTCGCAACGTTCTCCCCAGTCAGAACATCCCAGGCAAAAACGGCAGCACCAAGACCAGAGATATCATCCTTGGGTGCTTCGCTTCCACTCAAGACCACTCCATCACCCTGAGCAAAAACAGAGCGAACACGCAGCTCTGTATTTCGATAAGCATGTCGAGGCCGACTGAGACCACCAAGTGGAGCCTGATCTTCCTTCTGAGCCGGTCCCCCAAAGGCCGCGAGGAGTTTCCCATCCGTGCGATCTAGCATTCGAATATAACTATCCAGCGTGGAAGTGAGCAGCGCATTACCATCCGCCGAGCAGCGGACGCTCGTGACAGGGTGTGCCAAAACATCAACGGTTGTTTGTCCCATGCGCACATCATAGACGCGCACATGACCATCGTAACTGCCGCTCGCAATTGAATAAGTAGGCATATGAACGTGTAGACACGAGACGGTATCAGTGGCTTCGGTCAGAGTCTGGATGGGCTTGTGGCCATTCGAGCGCGTATCCCAGAGATTGATCGTTGTATCGGCACTCCCTGTTATTTCCCAAGAATTTGTTAGATTAGCCGATACATAAGAGAGGGGTGTCACAGAGAGACGGGAGATTTAGTCCTTACCAGAGACAACGACAGAATCTCCATCGCCAGCAAACTGAACTGCCTCGACCTTGCTGTTATGCCCGCCCCATCGCCGAGTTGTAATACCCTGCTCGACATCCCAAAGGAAGACCTGGCGGTCACCGCCTACACTGGCGAAGCGCGCATTGTCCGAAGTAACGGCCACATCGAGGACGCTGTAGCCATGCGCTTCGTATCGCTGAATGGGCGTGGTGGTCTCTACCGCGGTATTTGAATTTTCAGCATTATTTGGAACTGCTCGCGAGAGGTGGATTGCACGGTCGGAGGAGCCTGTGAGAATATATGTCCCCGGGGAGCTGGAGAATGTGACCGCATTGACCGGAGCTGCGGCGATAAATTGTTAGTTTTTGCCTGTCTGAGGACGTCACAAGCTCTTGGACTTACCATTATGGGTCTTTAGGGTATGGATGTGTCTCGTAGGAAATTTTTTCGGGGCCATAGGTGCAGAGAAGGCCCCGGGCGAATGCGAGTGGGGGTCGGGGTTGAAGTTGGAGGTTGAAGCTGGAAATGAAATGGGGAGGACGGCGCGGGTCTGGGGATCGGCGGAACTACGCCCGAAGGGAGAGCTCCGAACTATTTCAAGTGCAACAAGTATGAATACATCAGAAGCTACGAGAAACCACCGGGGATAGACTTATCGAGAAACATTTCCCAAACGAAATAAGGATTAACTCTGTATTTTCCACGCTACAGAATACAGGAGGGTTATTATCAAGGATGTAGACACCATCGCTAGCTACCAGCGGTAAATGGATATAACAGAACAAAATGAACCAGCCCCTCCCCTCAGGAGAAGGTGCGCCCTCCCAAGCGCGTGAGCGGCAAGACATAGGGTACTCAAGAGAAGAAAACAATGAGGAAGCTTGCGTGGCCTGGACTACCCCCTTTTTGAAGAACCCGGGCCGCTTCCCGGACGAAAAACTTAACGACGACCATGGCTGCGAGTGCCGGAGCCCTGCAGGCCCTCGATTTCCTGCTCGAGCGATTTGATCCTGTAGTCCAAGAAATGTTAGATTAGTCTTGGTGGGGTCAAAAATAGTGTGGTTGGGTGATACTGAAACGTACGCAGCGTGAGTAGCCTCCAGATCCTTGTTGAGTCTGTCGCGCTCTGAGATGAGCTTCTGCTCCCACTGGCGGAAGCGCTGCTCCTCGACCTTGACCTGCTCGGTGAAGCGCTTGCGCAGGTTCTCCTCCTCCTCCTTGAACTTGGGGTTGTCCAGTTTGCGCGGCCGGGCCTCGCCGAACTTGCGGGTCTCCATCTGCTGGGCACGGTAGGCCTCGTAGTGAGACTCTTCGGTGGTGTGAATGAGGTCAAGCATGTGGGTGCGGATCAGGATCGAACGGAGCTTCTTAAAGTCGCAGTGGTCCTCGTTCTCGACTTCGGCAACACCCCAAGCGTACTGGCGACCCTTGACAACACGGCCATCGTTGGCCTTGACGTCCTTCTCGGAACCGATGACGGCGAAAGGCATAGCAGCCATCAAGCTGCGGGCGTGGGTAGCGGCGTGCTCGTCGTCCTCCTCGACGGGAGGGTTGTAAATCTTGATGCCCTGGGCTTCGATAACGCGACGAATCTAGGTCAAACATTAGCCTCACCCGCCCAATCGGTATTTCCTTCACACATAGTTCCAACTCACTCTGTCCTTGTAGCGGACCAGATCGGCGTGGCTCAGAGTATCGGCCTTGGCAACAACGGGAATCAGGTTAACGCGGGAGCTGAGGCGCTTCATCACCTCAATGTCGAGAGGCTTGAGGGTGTGTCCGGTGGGTCGGATGAAGTACAAGCAGGCGTGCACACGCATGTCGATCTTGTCGGTACGGCGGGGCTGCTGCTCCTGGAGCATGTAGGATTCGTGCTGGTCATCCAGGAACTCAATGATGGGTTGCCAGGAATCACGGTTGTTGACGTAGTCACCGAAGCCGGGGGTATCAATAACGGTCAGGCGAACTGCAAAAAAAGAGTGTTGTCAGCATTTCCAAACCGACGAGATCATGGTTCCTCAATTCGATGTCCGCTTCCTTGATCGAGGTAGGCTGTGGTGCGGCTCACCCTTGAAAAACTTCTCCTCCAGCTCGGCCTTAGTGATCTCGATCTCGACGGTGCGGTCTACCTGTTTCTGGTGGCGGCGCTTGTGGTCGGCATAGTTCTTTATGGTGGTGGAGAAGAGAGTGTTGATGAAGGTAGTCTTTCCCAATCCTGACTCTCCAGCAACCTATAATAGACAGGACCGTTAGCGTCGAGGGTCCAAGGCGGGACAATTCAATCTCAAACGAACCATAATCGTGAAAGCCGCGCCCCGCTTCGCAACAATCTTGTGTCTAGAGGAATTCAATTAGTCCCTCCGATCGACCCCAAAAGACCAATGCTTCGTAGGAAGTACACACCGCTGGTTGGGGAGCTAGAGGTAGAAATCGCGAGTTAGTACAGTAATTGGACATCCAATAGAGCCGGAATCCGATCAGACTTACATTGGCAATGCCAATAGGCGTGGCGGTCTCGGTAGTCGACATTGTGAAAAAGGGGAGGGGGGGGGTGGTGTGAGAGTTGGAAGAAGAGAAACCAGAAGAGAAACGAGCGACTCCCTCAAGAGAAGAACGGAAGTGGGAGATCAGATGAGTCTCTTTTGGGGAATAGGGGAAAGAGCTGTCCGATTGCTCCTTCCCCCCCTGAATCTCCTTTCGTTTTCTGGAGTATAGCTGGCCCTTGCCTATCTGGGACTAGCCCTATACACCATCCCTGATTGGGAACGGAACCGGATTATCCTACTGATCCGCCTTTCTTATCATTCCTTCTGCTCAGGAATTTTTGACGGGAAGTTTGTCGCAAAGGGAAAAAATATAGGAAACAAAAGATGAAGACGGACTTCAAGGTGTGTGACTCCGCGGAATGACATTGCATGAATTCCATTGATCATGTACTAACCTATTTGACAGTTCTCAAATCTGTTGGGGACGGTCTACCGTCAGGGTAACCTGCTCTTCACTCCCGATGGTACTTGCTTGCTTTCGCCAGTAGGCAATCGAGTCACTGTCTTCGATCTTGTGCAGTATGTTTCCAATGAATTTCAGCTTTCTTCATTTCCTTGGCCCCTCTAGATCGTGATCGTTCTGACATCTTATGCCCCTCAGAAATACTTCTTATACCCTTCCCTTCGCCCACCGCACGAACATCGACCGACTCGATCTATCCCCCAGAGGCAATCTACTTTTGACTGTCGATGAAACTGGTCGTGCGATCTTGACCAACTTTCACCGTCGCATTGCCATCCACCACTTTTCCTTCAAGTCGCGCGTGTCCGCTCTCAAGTTCTCTCCATCTGGCCGACATTTCGCTGTGGGTGTAGGAAGACGCGTGCAAATCTGGCAGACTCCCTCTACTCCCGGGACTGAGACAAATGGCGAGATTGAGTTCGCCCCGTTTGTTCTACACCGTGATTCCGCCGCCCACTTCGACACTGTTCAGAGCATTGAGTGGTCCAGCGATTCGCGCTTCTTGCTCTCGGCCTCCCGTGATCTCACAGCGCGCGTATGGAGTTTGGACAAGGAGGATGGGTTTGAACCCACCACTTTGGCTGGCCACCGCCAGGGCGTCGTGGGTGCATACTTCGACGCAGCGCAAGAATCGGTAAGAAATATCGCCACTACATTATACTCGTCTCTTTCTAATGTGTTCATAGATCTACACAGTCAGCCAAGATGGTGCCCTGTTCCGCTGGGAATACACAGCAAAGATGGACCCCGAAACTGATGAGGAAATCGGCGAACCCCAATGGAGAATTGCTAAGAAGGATTTCTTCATGCAAAACGATGCCAAAGTCAACTGCGCCGCATTCCACTCCCCGTCTAGTCTGCTTGTGGTCGGCTTTTCCAACGGTCTCTTCGGACTTTACGATCTTCCCGAATTCAACATGATCCATCAACTCAGGTATGCGGACAGCTTCAAATCGATGTATACAATAATATACTAATTGGCCCCAACAGTGTCTCCCAGAGCAACATTGATGTCGTTACTATCAACAAATCTGGCGAGTGGCTTGCATTTGGATCTTCCAAGCACGGTCAACTTTTGGTGTGGGAGTGGCAATCAGAGTCATACATCTTGAAGCAACAGGGCCATTTGGATTCTATGAACTCCCTGGTCTATTCCCCAGACGGACAAAAGATCGTTACCACTGCCGATGATGGAAAGGTCAAGGTTTGGGACGTCAAATCAGGCTTCTGCATTGTGACTTTCACTGAACACACCAGCGGTGTTTCCGCTTGTCAATTCGCTAAGAAGGGAAGTGTCCTTTTCACTGCGTCATTGGACGGATCTGTGCGCGCCTGGGATCTTATCCGATACCGTAACTTCCGCACTTTCACAGCCCCTTCGCGAATGTCATTTTCTTCCCTTGCGGTGGATCCTAGCGGTGAGGTGGTATGTGCCGGTTCGCCCGACTCTTTTGATATCCACGTGTGGTCCGTGCAAACCGGCCAACTGCTGGATCAACTTTCTGGCCACGAGGGTCCTGTTTCTAGCTTGGCATTCGCCGGTGATGGTAACCATCTGGTCAGCGGTAGTTGGGATCGCACTGTTCGCATCTGGAGCGTCTTCGGCCGTGCGCAGACTAGCGAGCCTCTTCAGCTCGTGTCAGATGTCTTGAGCGTCTCTTTCCGACCCGACGGACAACAAGTTGCCGCTTCTACACTCGACGGACAACTTTCTTTCTGGAATGTCACGGATGCTGTTCAGGAGGGTAACGTGGATGGTCGCCGCGATGTTTCTGGCGGCCGTAAGGTGTCCGACCGTACCACCGCCGCTAATGCTGCTGGAACCAAATCGTTCAACCGCATAACCTACAGCGCTGATGGCAGCTGCATTCTCGCTGCTGGAAACAGCAAGTACATCTGCTTGTATGACGTGAACACCGGATCTATGATCAAGAAGTTCACAGTTTCAGTGAATTTGTCACTGGACGGCACCCAAGAGTTCCTGAACAGCCGCAACCTCACCGAGGCTGGACCTCGTGGGCTCATTGACGAAACTGGAGAGGCATCTGATAAAGAAGACCGCATTGATCGTACCCTCCCAGGCGCTAAGCGTGGAGATGCCGGAGCTCGTACTACTCGTCCCGAAGTCCGAGTCACATGTGTTGACTTCGCACCCACGGGTCGCGCATTCTGCGCTGCCTCAACTGAGGGTCTTCTTGTCTACAGTCTCGATACGGACTTCGTCTTTGATCCCGTCGATCTGGATATCACCATCACCCCGTCCACCATTCTCGCCACACTGGATGCTGCTAAGGCCGCCGCCGAAGCCAACACCGTTGATGACGACAACACCTTCCTGAAGGCTCTCATCATGGCTTTCCGATTGAACGAGTCTAAGCTCATCCGTGCTGTCTACGAAGCTATCCCCCCTTCAGATATCTCCCATGCAGTCCGATCCGTGCCCACGGTCTATCTGCCTCGACTCCTCCGTTTTGTCGCACATGCTGCTGAAGAAACCCCCCCCATCTTGAATTCAACCTGTTGTGGTTCGAGTCCCTCTTCAACTGCCATGGTAGATACTTCAAAGAAAACTCAGGAACATTTGCCCCTGAGCTGCGCATTGTCCAGCGCGCAATTGATGACATTCGGGAGAACCTTAAGCGGATGACGGAGAAGAACCTCTATGATCTGAACTATCTGCTGTCCAAGCCTGTCCTCGCGGATAAGAAGCCCGCCAGTGCCTTATTGCCCATCGCCGACGATGATGTTGAGGGTGGTGATGATCAAATGGAAGATGCTGAAGGCTCGGATGGCGAGTGGATTGGTCTTGAATGATTCCCCATATAATGTCTATTTGCATTTGCGCAGGCGTTTGTATATTAGGTACCCCCTCAAAAGTGTATAGATGAACCCAATATTTAGAAGTTCAAATTCGCAAGCGCACTCGGTTGGCCCAAGTAGGAGTGAATATTTCAAGTGTTGTCTTGAATACTGGTAGGTTCAAGTTGAAGATCACCTCGCTTCTCAACATGCAATCCATAGACGAGGGGTTCATTACCCCAACTTTCTCTTTGCTAGCACCATTCCAAGACAGAGCTACTTACTACTGGCATCGGGATAGCACCGCGGGCGTGACGGATATTCCCCGGCGCAGCAATCACCACGGTAAGCCCACAGGCTTTCATACAACGCTACAGGACCTCTTAAGGTAGTCCTAGGAGAAAATTTGGTATATACTCCACTTTATTAGCTAACACCAGAACTTGTCTCTTTATAGAAACTAACAGGATTCGTTAATTTCCTTGCGTATCCGGCTCTAAGATCTCTAGCTGTCGTATGATATAACTATCCCATGCATTGATTCGTTTCTTCGGGATAAGTCCGCCTGGGCAGATTAATGCCGGCGTAGGTCCGATGAGTCTTGGAGCTTGGCGTGGCCAAACCCCTTCCTGGGGTACCCCATATACAAAAAAATTCATCCCAAAAACGCGGGGTATGGAGATGAACAGTCTATTTCTCAAAGAAGGAGTGGCAGTGCTTTCGGCAGCTTCCTGCCACCACACCTGAACTTGAAGGTCGATTTTCTCCGAGGGACTATGCAAAAGTTAGTATAAATCGAGGCACCCCCCTTGCTATTTCATACCACATTTCTCCAGCACTGTAAATCATCACAAGCATCGTGATATTGATTCTCAGTACGAGATAATGCCTTTCTCGCTTAACTCAAAACGCAAGTCTCTTGACATGAAAGATGATGTGGAACACTCAGAGATCGCACTCGAGAGGGACCTCATTCTTGAACGATATGAAATCATACGAGACAAATCGGCCGAAGAGCGACGACAAATTGAAAAGTCACTTGTTCGAAAACTAGACTTTAAATTCTTGCCTATGGTTACAGCAATGCTCATGATGAAGTAAGCAATCTACTCCATTCAATACGATTCGCCACTAAATTTCCCCCAGCTATCTTGATCGTATCAATGTCTCAAATGCACGGTTGGCGGGCATGCAAGAGGATCTGGGTATGAGTGATACTCAGTGGTCCGCTGGAATTTCGATGTTTTATGTCGGATACATCATCTCTCAAATCCCTGCCAATGTTATCATAGCCAAAGGAAGCCCTCGTCTTCTTCTCCCTCTTTGCATGCTAGCCTGGTCTGTAGTCACCATATGCATGCCTGCTGTGACAGCGTCCTGGGCGTTTATCTTTTGCCGTTTTCTTATTGGTCTCGTTGAGGGGCCTTTTGTTCCTGCTGTCTCATTGCTGACTTCGTCCTGGTATACAAAACACGAGTCTCCTCTTCGGATGAGTATATGGCACGCCGGTAACACTATCTCCCAGGCGTTGTCGGGTCTTCTCGCGGCTGGGATCCTCTCCAATATGGAAGGAGTCGGGAATATTAGAGCGTGGAAATGGTTTCTTCTTCTTGAGGGCAAGTGTTCACAAAATTCGACTTTGAAGGACCAGGTCTAACTTGAACTGTGTGATGCAGGTATTGTCAGCATAATCGTTGCTATCATCAGCTTCTGGTTCATCCCGAACTTCCCCGATTCGACCGGTCTATATTTTATCACTGAAGAGGAGTCGGCCATGGCTCAGTATCGGCAGTCGGTTTCTGCTGGTGGGTTATCTGAGGATGATTTAGGTGGACACTGGGATGGATTCTGGAAAGCCATGAAGGACCCTTTCTCGCATCTCTTTGCAGCTATTCACTTTTCCTTGATTATTGCGCAGTCATATAAGGACTTCTTCCCTTCGGTAAGATTCACCCTTAAGCTCTGGCGCTGTCCCTTAAGCTTACAAACTTTCCCAGATTGTGAAAACCCTTGGCTTTAGCAATAACATCACATACCTTATTCAAGCACCTCCGCCAGTCATCGCTTTTTTAGTGACTTTGGGAATCTCCTGGTCATCCGGACGCAGATTGGAGCATGGCTATCACATCATCGGGCCGATTTTAGCGACTCTCGTTGGCGCTGTGGTGATGATCACAACCCTCAACGTGGGTGCTCGTTACTTTGCCATGATCCTCCTTGTCGTGGGTCCGTTTGCTGGTCTTAGTGTAAGTCACTTCACTCAATTAGGGGCAATTTCATAAATCATGTGCTGATCTGCAGTTCATTAGGTCCAAATTTCATGGGAAACAACTGTCGTTCCTCGCCCTCGCACGAAACGTGCTGCTCTTATTGCTTATGCCAACTGTGTCTCTTCCGTGTCTCATTGGTTCACTCCATACTTCTTTCTAACCAATCAAGAGCCTTATTACCAGACTGGTGGAGGTGCTATCATTGCTGGCTGTGGTCTTACTACTATTTTTGCTCTCATGACCAAATGGTATTGTTCCAAAAAAAACAAAGCTCTAAAAGTAGCTGAAGACGCTGCTGGTGAGCCGCAAGGGTGGAGATATGCTAGTTAAATAGTACTAGGAAGAGACCTGAGCAGACCGAAATTCAATACAAATATTGGTCCCTCAATTTTTTTTCATCCCATGGTTGGGCCGTTTTATCCACCAATTACACTAGTGATTGTAACCACCATAATTCAGCATCTTTTACCGAGCTTCGCTTGTATTGGCCCCCAATTCATTATACGCTAAGCTTTTAGTACGGCTAAAATAGGAAAACCCGGATATTTCGGGAGCCGCCTGGGTTCAATCGCTTGTCCTGCTGCTTGAGGAAATTTCCCCTTTATTTAAGTTCATCTCCCGTTCAGAGCCTCAGAGTGGGCAAGGCTTGATCTCAACTTTCAACCCCACATTCTTTTATAGCGAGACACTTAAATCTGCAACGATGCACCGCAATTCACTCATTCAATTGGCCTTTGGCCTGACTTCTGCGGCTCTGGTATCTGCTACGAACGCTACTAATTATAACCCTTCGCTGAACTTCCGACCGGATAATGTCACTTCTAATGGGCTGTATGACTGGGTTGGATCGTGAGTATCACCAGCGAACTTCTCTCTACAATTCAACAAGCTGATTGATCAGGTACTACAATGGAACTACTACCATCAGCGTGAAGCCTTTTTCAGGCGTCTCGAAACAGGAAATTGAAACAGATCAGAGCACCTCGTGCCCAAACCTGGAAGGCAAGGAGATCAAGGCTCATTATGATTCCGTTCTGGCTCTCACCGAGCGAAGTAGCCAAAACGCTGGCAATAACCCCGTGAATGTCTTTCACACCCTCTGGGACGAAGGCTTCGATTTCTCAACCCTGAAAAGCAATGAGACTATTGCTGACTATCCCTGGGGCTGGGGATTGTTTTCTTCTAAGTGAGTCGAGCTACTAATCATTGTCTCAGACCTAGAGAATATGTGCTAATTACCGGAATGTCTCCAGCCCTGCGATCGCTCACAACGAGACAAATATTCAAGATTCGTTTAATTTGACCCTGGAGAAGACTCAAGAAGCACCATACAGCCTTTCAGGCGTACTTGGTGATTCCTATTACAATGGCTCGGACTTCAATGGCTTGAAAACCATAATTTACAACATGACGAGTTGTAATGGTACAAAGGACATCCCATGGGATGGAGTGCTTTTGACCAAGATGCTCTGGGCGGAGTACGACTCCAATGTTACCTACCCCAATCCCATTTTCGGACTAAAATTCGACGATACAACTGCCAATATCACTTTGACTGGGTACATCATGAGCTATCCATCATGTGGCAAAAAGGCTAGTTTCTGCGAGGTGGACGTGATTGTCTATGCTGCCATTGAAATCGCGTTTTCGGGAACTATTGATTATTATCATTCAGATGAACTGGAGACGGATGCCTCGACGGTCAAATGGGAGAAGACTGTTGGCTTTGGAAACAGCACCCATAGTAATAAGAGCAACGGATCGAGCCGCCAGGAACACCATGGTGCTCTCTCGCTTCTAGCGTCTGTGTTGGCGCTGTCGGTCGTTTCTCTTTGCGTTTAGTTTCTTTTGATACCAGGTTATTTAATAGTTAGAATTGTTACACATGTATTCAAATGCTCTAAGCTCACCGGGTCCCAAGGTTGATAATTACACTGATTCCCGTTCATTCCTCTTTTTATCCATTTATTGACATCCGTCAAGTTGGCTTGACCACTAGTTCCAAGGTTACCTACCCCAGGGCAGTTTCCATCCATCAATATCCTCTTTTGAACTCTATATATGTCATCACTATCTCCAGGTCTGTACCTGTGGCTGGACACGGCGTAATTGAAACAAAGATCTAGATGGCAGTGAATTTCACCAGACTGGCTTAAGAATAGCTGCATGGGTATTTGGTCAAATTGCCCGCAAATGCTCGCCTCGGGCTTTTTCACACGATTTAATAATTCGCCGACCTTTTCCCGTATTGAAAGGATTGAGAAATAAACCTTAGAAGACTCCAAGTATCACAGCAATGTTATTTGGAGAGTTTCTGACGGATAATAGTGGCTATAAACCGTCCGCTTCATAGTCGTCGTCACACTACCATGATATCAGATCGGAAAAGATTGGCCATGTGTTTGGAAAATTCAAAAACTCAAATTGTACATACATCTATTAAGAGGGCAAGCCTTTCTGACCCTTTCTCAAGGTTTCACAGCTAAGCAGTGCTTCTGTCTTGTTTAGATTCCCATTCTTGGTGCCACACAATACTATCCGATGCCCCTTTGTACCACTCTCCACACATACATTAAGATCTCCCCGATCCCTCCAAATACTACATACGTCCGCACTCGTTTCTCAATATGATTTCCTGGGTTGACACTTCTATGGCTGGAAACATTCAGTTGTCGCTACTTGGGCTTTTGCTGATAATCTACCTGTTTTGTAGGAAGTCAAATACCAGACTGAACCATATACCCATCGTCAAATTCAACGCATATCTACCTGACATCATCAACCGAATTCTTTACTATCCAAAAGCATGTTCAATGATCCAATGGGGATATGAGCAGGTCTGATGATCCTCTGACCTTTCTGCATAAACGTCATGTTTACAGCTTGCAGTACAAGGACACTCCATTTCGTATGCTCACTGGCGATGGTGAAGTCGTCGTGTTGCCGACCAAGTATCTAGAGGAGCTGAAACACCTCCCGCCATCTATCCTCAGTTCGTTTGAGGCACAATTTGAGGTACTGCTTCCAGTCAATTTCATGTTGAAGATATGTGCGCAGTTTCCTGACCAGCTTGAATTAGATTGCACTGGGCGACTATACAAATCTTTTGATAAGCAGTCACCTACCATCTCAAACAGTCAAACGATGTCTGACCCCTCGACTGCGTAGGTTTCCATGCTCTGCAGATCGTGTCAGTTGTCTAGGTGCTGATATGCGAATCATGAACAAGGTCGAGTTATACCATGGATTATAAATGAGCTTGGTGATGCATTCAATGCAGCGGTGCCAAAGTGCGATGGTAAGCATTGGTGTGGGTTATAAGATGCCATGTAATCTAGATTAAGAAAACATAGAGGTATGGGTTCCGCTTCGGCCACACGAAATGTTTGTGCACCTCATTACTCGAGCGACATCTCGTATTGCGGGTGGCGACACACTACGTCGCAACGAAGAATGGATGACCACAGCAGGCAGCTACTCGGCTAATGTAGGATTGACAATTCTTCTTCTCCGCCCGTTCCCAAATTTCCTTCGCCCCTTTGTCGCACAATTTCTCTCACCAGTGCGGCAGATGAAACGGCAGGTTGGGTGTGTCAAGAAACTCTTTGCACCGATGGTCGAACAACGCCGGGCAGCAGAGGCGCTCAACGACCCTAACTACAAGAAACCAGATGATTTTCTCCAATGGATGATGGATGGCGTAGAAGATGAAGAGGACTTTGATCCTGAGATACTTGCGCATCACATGCTTGTCTTGACGAGTATGGCGGTCATACATACGAGTTCAATCACACTGACCCAGGCTCTCTATGATTTGATCGCCAGGCCAGAATATCTCGAGCCTCTGCGCGAGGAGATCCAAGTGACGTTTCAAAATGGGTGGGAGAACGCAACAAAGGCATCATTAGATGCACAGCGGCGTCTGGATAGCTTCATGCGCGAGTCGCAGCGTTTCAGTTCGATAGGCGACTGTAAGAGAAACACCTTCTGACCCACAGCTATATGGCTGTTTTTAATTCTCCTCTCTTAGTGTCTATGCACCGTATAGTTAAGGAGCCTTTGACACTTTCAGATGGACTGATCATCCCAGAAGGCACGCACATCTGCTTTCCAGCGGGTCCAATGTCGAGAGATCCGTCTCTCGTCACCAATGCTTCTGCTTTCGACGGATTTCGGTGGTGTCAAGACACAAATGACCGCCGCAATGCTCTGAAGTCTGGCAAGCATAACACAGCCATGAATGGCATGGATGACGTAAACTCACAGGGCGCTCCGCTGACTTCGACAACATCAACCAGCTACATCTCTCTCAGCCCCAGTGCAATGCACTTCGGCTATGGGCGTCAGGCCTGTCCAGGTCGTTTCTTTGCATCATGTATGATCAAAGCGATTCTGAGTCGGATTTTGATGGACTACGACTTTAAGTTCGAGAATAGTCAGACTGGATGGAGGCCTGCTAACATCTATGTTGGGGAGCACATCCTTCCAAACATGCATCTGATGGTGTTGTTTCGGAAAAGGAAACTTGACCTTTGACCGTTGGTGGCGGAAGACTTGTCAAGTTAGCCTACAAAATCGCTTCTACGACCAGAACTAAAATATTTCAGAGCGATGAATCATCTACTACTTGATATACATTGGCTTTGGCATCAAATCCATTATACGTAACTCCTGATCAATCACTCCTAGCAGATCAAGGGGTATAATCCTGATCATAGTACAGTCCAAATGACCACCCAATTCTCAGAAAAGAACCCACAGATCCTCTATACATATGGATAGAAGAAACCAAAGCATCTTAACGCGGAGTTAAAAGCCCAATCAGACTGAACCCAAGGCACTACGAGCTTTCGGTGGCAGCACCTCGGCCACGTCCCCGACCACCGCGGGACCCGTTTCCACGACCGCGACCACGTCCCCGGCCACGGCCACGTTGCTGGTCAATTCCCTGTGGGGGCGGAACATTGGTGTAGTTTTGAGGGCGAAAATCGGGGTTGTGCTGGATGATGCCGTCAGAGGGGTCACTGTTATCGACCGAGACATAGCCGCCGTTATTATGCTGCTGTCCGCCGCGGCCACGGCCACGGGGACCGCGCGGAGGACCACCGTTGCCTCGGGGGTGGAAAGGAAGTTCAGAAGTCTGACCATTGCGCATACCGCCACGACCGCCAAGAGCACCACGGAAAGAACCTCTCAGGGGTGGAGGGACCGGGGCATTTTTCAGCTGGCCCTCTCCATTCGGTCCGAGGGGCATACCATATCCAGTTGTGGCCTGGGTCTGTTGGCCCTGCTGGCTAGTAGCGGCACGGGAGCTAGCGATGAGCTGACGGTAGGATAGGTTCAATACGGATGATGCGAGCACTGTCTGTCCGCGGAATGGCGAGCAGCGATCTCCCAGGGTGGTTCCGCTCATAAAGGAAACATCAAATACCACATCGAGAAGAAGTGTCCTCGGGGTTCTGGTAAGACCGACAACCGTGCCACGGGTTGCGATAGGCACCTTTCCGGAGTCTTGGGCGTACACAACACGGTCGCCAAGTTTGAAAGTCTGGTTGTTCAGGCGATGCTCTGCATCGGCAGGGCGAAGGAGAGCACTGCGAGGAACACCACGGACCTTCTTGGGGTTCATTGGAGCCTGTGACTGCGCCAGACCATCAGCATCACGTTCGATCAGCCCGACCATGTCCGAGTCCAGTTGCTCTGCGTCAAGAGGGACTCTCTCAAAGTTTTTGGCTTCGATCGACTTGAGCCAATCCCGGATCTCCTTCATTTTGAGGAGGGCATCTTCCTCCGAGTAGAAATCAGTTGGAGAATAACGGTCTTGTTGCGGGCGGCGCTGGATTCCGGCGATGAATTCAGGGAATTTCATCATGTACTGTTGCAGCAGATCGACTGCCTTTTGACTGAACTCCCAGCCGTTGTCGCCGCGACGCGAGTAGCCAAGAACTTTTTGTCCCCGGGCCTGGAACTTTAGGTTCAAGCCAAGATTCACACGTTGACCATCGATATCAACAGAGAACGAGGAGGTAATCTTGGCCAGGACCAGGGGGTTGAGGCGGAGATTGCGAGCAATCGCATACGAAGGCATGTAAGGGCAATAACGCTCCACTTCCCTAACACGCTCTTTTCCAAACTCAGGTTCGCGGCCTGGCACAGCCGCGATCAATCCATTGACCTTGCCATCTTCATGACCACTAATATGAACAGGGCGTCCGTAGTTAAAGTCACCCAAGAAGAAGGCACGAGAGTTTTGTGGGAACTCTTCCTCAATGGGCAAAGCTTCACGCTCAATGAAACGCTCATCGGGATGAATAACTTCATCAACGACGATTTGCAGAGCATAGTCGGTCTCCTGCCCAGGTATATCTGCAAATTCCTTGATCGTGGTGCCATCTTCGGTCTTATTCATGCCTTTCAGCAACTGAATGTGAACCAAGGATTCAACCTCACCAATGATCATTCCAAGGCGCTTGCTGTAAGTGCCTTCGATCTTGGTCGCCTTCTTTTTCCATTGCTCGATTTGTTGAGGGGTGTGGGGGATCGACACAACATGCTGCTCGCCTTCGGGCAGAATGTAGTCGAAAAGCTCATCCGAAACACGGATCACAAGAGCCTCTTGTAGAGTGGGATATCCGACATGGACACGTTTGCCAAGCTTTGTCTTGGCCAATTCAATATTGGAACGACTGCCAGGGTCAAGAAGAGTGACGACCTGGCTTTCATTGCGACTTTCTTGTTGGAACACAGTAACACCGTGGAAACCGAGTTGACCAACCTGTGGAAGCGTCTTGATGCTAGGAAAGCCAGCCAAAGCTGCCTTGCCCAGGTAAGCACCCTCCATCAGCCCGTTGTACGGCTCTAGGCCATCCATGACAGGAAGGTCGAAAACATTTTCGACACAGTGACAGTTTGGAAGGTCTGGGAACACGCCAGGCATCGAGGAGGGGTAGATGAAATTCAAGTCAGGCGAATATGTGAACTTGAGACTAACACCAAAAGTGTTTCGTGCCCTCTCCTCTGGAGCGAGGGCGTTCTCTTTGGTTTTCAATGCGTCCAATAGCCGTTTCTCATCGATAAAAGGGATTTTGACCACGGCCTCCCACTCCATCTTTTTTCCATTCATATCCAGGTCGAAATCTCTGGGATAGAAATCAATGATGGGAGAATCGGGGGATGTCATCAAATCCCAGTAAGCGGTGGGCACAATCTTTTTACTGCGATCGGGCAAGACGCCCATCAGCTGATCATATGGACGGAATGGCTGTCCAAGTCGGAAGTTCATGTCGACACCCAAGCCCATAACAATATCTACTCTGTTGTCAACTAGGCATCGAAGGGAAACTGTTAATTAAGCTCACTTACCGGAGATCATAGGAGCGTAATGATACTTGAAGAACCAGGGCCATGAGGCGATACCCCGATAATAGTAAAACAGGACCCATTGCAATCCTTGCACATAGTTTTCGGCCAGCTTTGTCAATTCTTCCTGGTTGTCGAGACCCCAACCAAATTTAGATCGGTAATAGTTGTCTTTCCACTCCTGGAACTTTGCATCATACTTCTCTTCTGCCTTCTGTTGTGCCTCCTCCGGGGTCATTTCCTGGATCTTGGCTTTCTCATACTTTCGGATGATACGATGGATAGCCATCGAGGCTTCTTCGTCGTCGTCGTCACTTTCGTCGTCGCCGTTTTGAGGTTGGGGTAGCTGAAGTCTCATGAAACGATCACCAGTCTCGGTCTCCGTGGTAGACCAAGGGACACGCAGTTCGTCCGCCAACCGTTCCACAAAAGCGCGGTCGCGGGCTGGAAGGGTGGGTGAGAAGTCCAAGGGCTTCAGCTCGGCAGTCTTCCCAGATCGATTCGACACGTACTGCTTGACCTTCTTGAGAATATCCTTTTGCGCAGAGGTGATTGTCAATTCTTTCGGCTTCTGCTGCAGCTCTAAGGAGCCATCATTGCCATTCTTCTTAGACTTGACCCACTGCGCATCTGAGTTCTCGGCTTGGAAAAATCGATGTTCGAAGACACTCATTGCTTCCACAAAGGTACCCAACCGTTTCAGGTTGATGACACCTTCTTCGTTGATATATCCACCCATCTTTCGCAGAACGTCCTGGTAGAGCGTAAACATGAGAGACAGCGCGCCCTCGTTGATGTGTAAGTTTGGCAAATTAGGTAAGAAATCGTTTCCAACGAAAAACGCCATGAGGATAAAATCATCGATCACATGTTCCATGTCGAATGGAAAGTTTAGAGCGCCAGGCTCTTTCAGTCCCTGGAATTCTAGCTCTAGGTATTCTCGAACCAAACTCAGATGTAACAGATAGAAATTCTGATGTTCGAGCTCTTTCGGTTTAGATTTTGTTTGACGGCCAAAGGTCACCTCTTCACGGAGCAAGGAGAAGTGAGGGTCATGACTGAGCAGACCCAACATGATCAAATCCGCGTCCAGTCCGTAAAGGCAGTGACGCACGTTCGGGGCATAGTCGGGTTGTGCTTTCGCATTTCGGATGTACTCCATGATCTTGTGCTCACCCTCACCGGGGACCTCATGGCCTGAAAGCACAATTTCCACACCTTGCCAGTCTGTGTCTTCGGAAATCTTCTTGTTGATGAAATATTTCAATTGCTGCGTCAATTTTTGCATGAACTCGGTGCCGGGGGTGATGCAATTGCTGTCAAAGGCATCTTCTTTCGGCATCTCCAGGCCTTGCTCGATGGCCTTGTTCTTTGCGTTCTCGGCATCTAAAGCCGTCCGAAAACGACGGGCACGTTGTTGATTCATCTTTGCACGTGGTGCCACACCGTCCACGGCCATGAAAAACAGCTTCTTAGGCTTGATTGTTCCAAACAAGTGCTCGATGTAGTTGAAAATCGCGATAAACATTTGCTCTTCAGTCATGCGGAACGTTGGAGAGTCACTATCTTTATGCGTGCAGTTGTGGATAATACCGTTCATGTCGAGATAAAGATTGTCGAACTCGGGGATGCGACTCTCTGCGATGAGCATCGAGATGGCGGGGTACCGCTCGCTGAGCCAGCGGAAAAACTTAGGAACACCCATGCTGAACAGTCGTATCTCGTCTAAATGTCAAAATAGATGGTCTCGTTGGGATGATTAAGGTCAAGACCGTTGGGGAAATTTTGCTCGGTTGGAAGAGAAGGAGGATCGTCGGGATGATAAGAATGGAACTTGCGACCAGAGCGAGAAGGAAACCATCCAAGGGAGGTCGGATGGTAGAAAGAGAAGGATCGCGAGAATCGCAAAGGTGAGAATTCTGTAAAGGCCCCAAGTGAAGAGAGGAGAGGGGGGGGGGGGTGGCAGGGAAAGGTAGAAGAGGGAGAGAGGTGGAAGCTGGGAAGCTTCAAGTGAGTCCACTGAGGTCAGTTTCAGGCTTGGCGGCAGCGAGTCATCGCCAAGCCCGTGATTTCCTAATCCGGTCTAGTGCCACCTGACGCCAATTAACGCGCGGGCGGTCGCCAGTCGCGTTGCTCGCTCTCCTTCCACCTTGAGCTTTCTCCAGTCCAACTTCGGTCTCTTTACACCTTTTTGCTCTAATTCTACGTCGCATTACACTCAATACCCAACAACTACAAATATGGAGCCTTATGAGGAAGATCCACGTGAGTTCCGAGACGTTTCGCAACCAAGGGAATTCTCGATCTAACGCAACACAGCTGCGCTGGAGGACCAGGACCAGGAAAATGAGCACAGTACCGAAAAGATTGTCAATGAAGGTCACTACCCCCCTTATATCAATCGCAATTCAAGGTGAACCCCATAGCTAACATTGAATATCTGTACAGAGTACAAGACATGGAAGAAGAACGCTCCATTTCTCTACGACATGATGCTCAGCACAGCTCTAGAATGGCCCACACTCACAACCCAATGGCTTCCGGACAAGCAAGAGTTTGTTGCTCCAACTACCTCGATATATACATCCTTTAGTCTAATGCCTTGCTCCACTATAGAGTTCCCGACAAGCCTTATTCGACCCATCGCCTATTAATCGGTACCCACACAGCCGGCGATGCTCAAAATTATCTTCAAATTGCTCATGTGCAGCTTCCCAACCCCAATGCTGCCAACCCAGACGACTACGATGAGGAAAGGGGTGAAATTGGTGGATATGGCGGTGGCTCCAAGAAGCCCCAAATGGAGATCAAGTTCAACATTGCCCAGAAAATTGACCATAAGGGAGAAGTGAACAAGGCACGATATCAGCCACAAAACCCCAACATCATTGCGACCATGTGCACGGATGGTCGGGTCATGATCTGGGATCGTTCTAAGCACCCCAGTCAACCGACTGGAACTGTAAACCCGCAGATGGAGCTCCTGGGCCATGAAGCGGAGGGTTTCGGCCTCAGCTGGAATCCTCACGAAGCTGGTCACCTTGCCACGGGTAGCGAGGACAAGACTGTTCGCCTCTGGTATGTTATTTGATTTCAAGGGCAATGCTGCAGGCGAAGAAAAGCTCATTTTAGTCTACAGGGATTTGACGACATACACAAAGGGCAATAAGGCCCTTCGCCCAACCCGCACCTATACCCACCACTCCTCGATCGTGAACGATGTTCAGCACCATCCTCTCCACTCATCTCTTATCGGAACTGTGTCCGATGATATCACCCTCCAGATTATTGATGTTCGTGCGGCCGATACCACCCGCGCTGCTGCATGTGGCGAGGGCCAGCACCGTGATGCGATCAACTCAATCTCTTTCAACCCCGCGGCTGAAACTATCCTGGCAACTGGATCCGCAGACAAGACCATCGGATTGTGGGATCTGCGAAACCTCAAGACGAAACTCCACTCACTTGAGGGCCACACCGATTCTGTTCAGTCAGTCTCTTGGCATCCGTTTGAGGAGTCTGTTCTGGCCAGTTCCAGTTACGACCGTAAGATTATGTTCTGGGATCTCAGCCGAGCGGGCGAGGAGCAAACTCCGGATGATGCGCAAGATGGCCCTCCTGAACTGTATGTCCATCAATCTTTTCGCTTATTCCTGCTGTCACTAACTCATAAACTAGTCTCTTTATGCACGGTGGCCACACCAACCGTATTTCCGACTTCAGCTGGAACCTCAGCGACCCCTGGGTTCTGTGCTCAGCTGCCGAGGACAATCTGTTGCAAGTTTGGAAGGTCGCCGATGCGATTGTCGGCAAGGATCTGGAGGACGTCCCTACTGAAGAACTGGAAGCATGATCTACTGCATCTCTATCAACACCCTCCTCAGTTACGCCTAGTTATTCGCAATGTTGGTCTTGATTTTTTCCAGATATGGTTCATGGCGAATCATAATGAGACACAATTCGAAAATACCATTTTGAAATTCAACAAATCAAAGCAATAATCCAATAGTCACAAAATTTGTACTTGTCTAACAAGGTGGTAACTCCATCTCCACAAATCGAACCTTCTCTCCGGCATACTCCGTCAATCTCAACATTGACATCTCGGTCTCGGTCTCAAACGAAATTTCCGCTTCCCGCGCAGCGAGAAAGAGGAAATTCCTTCTTCGTGCACATGGTAATAGCACCACTAACCCATTTCACCCCCGCGTAGGATCCATCTTCAAGAGAATCAGCAGAGAAAGTCCCGCTCTCAGTCTGCGAACCAAGACAACCCTTCAGAACCCGACCAGTCTTCCGGGTCTTGATAGGCTTGGTGATCATAACGCCAGAGTAGCCGTCCGCAACAGTTCCCTTGACGGTGACTGCAGTCTGGGTCGTCCATGTGTGGGTGTAATCAATGCCTAACGATCCACCCAATTTATCCTTGATCAGGCTTATATCGAGACCGCTGCTGACACTGACCGAGTTGCTAACTGTATAGCCTGACATGACAGAGACGTCCATACCGGTGGTACCACTGCCAATGACCACTGGTGACATCTGAACGTCCCAGTCAACGAATGTCTGTGTCTTATCGGTAATCACCGCGGTCGTGAGGTCACAGTCATCCCGGGCGTGAATCGATCTGTCGTACTTGGCAGATTCGACAGGAAGGTTTTCAGTTTCTGGCGCGCTAAGTAAATGCCCCTGGGCGGCCATGAGGTTATGATAGACGCTTTCGTGAACCACCTCCACTAGAATGAATCCATTAGCTGTCTATATCGAGGTGTTGGATAATTTGAAGTATCTCCGATACTTACTTCGGCCATCACCAAAAAGAATGACTTCGCCTGGCTGGAGGATATGTTCAGGAGTCCACTTGGTGCTATTCAGGCGATGTTCGATGACTGGTACTGCGCTGACAGCTGTGGCCAGCACAAGGCCCAAGATATTGACAGCAAGCATGTTGATAGATAAAAAGGCTATGAGGAAGAAATGAGAAGAATGATGAAAGACTGTAAGATGCACGGCGTAATTCTTGATCTACTGGAAGAATTTATAAAAATTCAATCGGCCATGAATTGCTCACTCTAATCCCAAGCTCTGCAATGAATTCGCACCCAAACCCTTGGTGTTCAGGACTGTGGATCTGACGAGTTGGGCCAGGCTGCTGTTTACGGGCACGATGGACATGTGTTTGCTTCCTCAACCCGAGAATCAGGAAAATACCTCATGAACATCCTCTACAAAGTACCCTGCAGGACCAAAGTCAAAACGAAGAATAAGCTAATGTCTCAGCTATAGTCGAAAGTCGACCCGACAGCTTGTTCAATATCATATGACCCAAGGGTACTCTTCAGCAGTTCGAGAAACCTCTGACCTAACAACGAATGGAAATGGCACGAAGTCACCGATAGCCTGGTGATCGCTCTCTTGGCAAAAGTCAGAGGGGTATAACCCCAATCCTGCAGATAAGTAAACGTCGATCTAATACCCCATCAGGGACTATGCTGATTTGATTGAAATGAGAGTGACACATTGTCTCATTTTTGGTAAAGTGAGATATATGAGGCTTAGATGTATCTTCAGCTGCCGAGGTTTTGCCAATCTGTAATGTTGCAGTGAGCCAGTGATTCTCCCGAGATTTTCCCGGATCTACAACCCCGATGTGCCGGATCGGGCGGCGTCGAGCACTTAAAGTTTGAATCTGAGAGACATGAAACGGTTGGATGCATTTAAGCGATTACCGGGGCGTACGGAAGGTTTACTTGAAGTGGATCGCATTATGTTCCAGTGGCTTGGCTCCTCTATCGACGTATGCATGAGGTTTGTTCAATTTATCTGAATGAGAAGGGACCAAGGCTCACGGTTTGAATACTAAAACCCAGCGGCAACCTAGTTTCAATTCCAAGGATCTATCAAATAATTATTCTCGGATTTTCATCTTCATCGTTTTATCATGCAGCTCACGAAAGCTTCGGTCTTGTCCATTCTTGTTGGATGGTATGCATATCCATGATATTAGTACTTCTTGAAAAAAAGCCCTGGAAGCAGAATTTGACATTGCTTGCTTTGAATATAGCACCTTCGCCAAGTTGCATAACGTGGCAGTCTGTGTCACCAACAGGAAGTATTCTGAGATTGGAGGTACCCCCTTCAGTCCTAGTTATACATGGTCGAAGGACTACGAGATTTTGCCCGACGCGACCAAGTGTGCTTGTGACCTCTACAAACAACGCAACACCGGTGACAAGCAATGGGATCAGTGTCCTGATTGTACTTTTGTATGTTTTATCTCATGTTAACTGACCAGTAGTAGCCTGGCTCATGGTATTTCCTAGGACGGCAACTACTGCAATTCTGCCGATTGGCATATTGGGGGTGATGAGGTTAGTTCAATCTGAGTACAAATTGAGCACTTCTAACACTTACAGATGACGTACTACTGCGAGAAAATGTGCCATGCCCAAGGTGCCGAGGGTAATTAGGTTCGAGGGGTATTCGAGTTTGAGAATAAAGTAGCTATCGACAGGAAGTCCCTACAGACAATTGGTGTTAAATCTCAAGTACTCCATGATGCTATATTGAAATTTCCTTTGAATCTCCAAGATGATACCAGCGGGAACAACGAGGGATGATTCAACCAGCCTTGGAAGGTACTAAGGATGTTCAAATTTTAAACAGTTTCTTGGATGAGTCAACCTAAAGTTCCTAGGTTAAATACTTACCTAGGCACTAGTAGGTATATTCCCGCTCGGAGGTCAGGTCAGGTTCAAATTATCGCCAGGTCGGAGGAATCTGCTCGCATATGCCCCATTTGGTAAAGCCAAGCCCTCGCGGTGGTGGATAGCACATATGGAGGAATGCACAAATCTGGCACAGAAGCTAGGAAAGTACACACTAGACAATTATTCCATTGACTGCCGGCATTGAGCCATACGAAGCTGCAAGTACCAGTATCTCTGAAGTGGGCGCGGTATAGTCCAACAATAACTCGACAAAATGGTCACGATGTGCTAGGGATCTATCAGAGACCGCAATCTTCCAAATCTTCTCAAAATTACCTCTTCCCGACACCATTTCGAGAACAAGCTCCAGTATGTTTACTTTACCAGTTGACCAGATACCAGAACAGGTTATTGCAATAACATCCATTATGTTTGCGTGGTGAGAAAGGAGAACCCTGACAATCTCTCAATGGCCCTTGGTGGACGCTTCTTCCAAGGCTGTGGGAGAAATAGACCAGTTGTCGGGGTGTGATAGTCGGCCCTCCAAAGATCGATTAGGAACGGCGGATGTCTGGTCTGGGTTTGCACCATTGCCAAGTAAAGCCTTGACCACTTCGAGATGTCCCTTACTCACAGCGATCACGAGTGGCACACCAAGTGTATCCTTGATCGTCAAATTTGGATCGGCATCATATTTTAGTAGCGTCTGCACGATAGCTAGGTAACCATGTAGGCAACACAGCCCATCAGGCTGGCACTCTGTAATGGGCAGCCAAAGCGCCCCTCCTTCGGATCCGCACCAATGCTGAATAAATATTCGACCATAGCCAGGTGGGAGGAGAGCGCGGCGATAGATATGCAATCCTTGGGCAGTGATTTTATAATAGGTGGTCTTTTTCAAGGAGGGATTTCAGGACAGACACCTGGCCTTGCTTGATTGCCGTTCTGGCAAGTCCCTCCTGAGCATTAAGAGTCAGGTTTGGTATATCCCAGAGTGCCCGGTGAAGTTAGCCAGTCTACCAAAGTGCGAAGACCTGCATCGATAGCATGCTCTAGTATGCTATCGTGTTAGGTCCACGGAGCGTCCTGTTGTGCACCTTTTCGCAAGCAAAAGCGCAATATCTGCATAGCCAACAAGGCAGGCAGCTGTCTATGCACGGGATAAAGAGTCGGGAGATTTTAGTTCATCGATACGCTCCAGGAAGCTTTGGACCACATTCAGGTGACATCTGAAACATGCAACTCGTGCGAGGGTGCCAAAAAAACCGCATTCTAACTCGGTGTCCACGTTGTTGTCGAGTAACAGATCCACCACCTCCTTGTGGCCGTATGGGCATGCCAGATATATTCCGGTATGGCCACTATTACTTCGCTCGTTGATATCCGCGTTTGGTAGTGCTTCCAAGATGTACGCCAGTAATGCACGTAGCCCAAATACACAGCCCACGAATACAGGTGACAGAGAATCACTAAGGGTGAGTTCGAGAAGGTTCTGCGTACGATAGTTAATATGGTGACAGATCACGATAGACCTACCCTATCTAGTCCATCCAAGTGATGAATGCTGGACTGAAGAAGTCGTCATGCCGACCTGCCACGAATGATGCCACTTGTGTTCCAAACTCATCTTGATCCAGACCTGCGGCTTCATAGTGGTAGAAGTCTCGCACGGGAGACTCATTGCCGAGATAGAGGGAAGTGCTCGGTCCCGAAGTGCATTCTCGCAGACAGAGACCAAAAAAAAAGTTCATGAGCCGCATTTGCGGAAAACATGTCTTGCTGAATCATATAAGCGCGAACGGACGGGTGGCAGAATTGAGCCATGCCTTGCTGCACATCCAGAAGCACCAAGTTGCAGCAAAGGTTCTCGAGCTCCACGGCACCAATTCCATTAATGGTCGGATTGATCGCAAGGTTATGTTTCAAAGCCGCATAATGTAACGTTCTCTTTGCGTACAAGAGGAATGAGAAGATCTGGACAACGGCAATGGCAGCGACTGGATCTAGATTATGAAAATGATGTAGTTTTCGACCATATATCTGGTCGAGATTTGTCGTCAAGCCGGTCCCAAGCATGGTCATAATACCCTGCTCTGTCTTTTTACGACAGATGAAGTCCAGCTGAAGAGTCACCCACAAGAAACTGTAACATCAAGAGGCATTAGCTATCCCTTCTTTATTATCTCAACATAGGAACAAGGAAGTGAACAAGACTCACATCTCCCCAGCTCCGTTTATCAGCTATTCCTTTATTTCACCCACCAACGTGGCAGTTGCAGCTCCATTCAGGATACGCCTTCTCTTGTTTGCTTCCTGCACCTGTTGAGTCGCAAATTCTCTAACGTCTTTGCGAACAATGTCGGGGAGAACACGTAGTTTGGTAGCCCCAGTTAGCAGCACGTCGACATGTGCGTTATCGGAGCTGGGTAGGAACACTTTAAAGATGTTAGCTGACTGATCTACGAGTTTTTGCAGCGTGTCAATCAGAGCAGCTCGTTTGTCATTCCGAGTCTGGTCTATCGCGTCAATCAAAATGTATGCTGGATTGATGGCTGTGAGATCTAGGAGTAGGGTGAGGCATTCTGTGGCGCTTAGCTTTACTATATCAACTCTGGTTTGTTTGGCCGCTTTGAGCCTTTTCTCGTACAAAGAGAGTACCGTGGTATCAATTTTGCCATTGATAGAGTCCACTGTGAGTTGTCTCACAACGCTTCGGAGAATACTATCACACAGCCCCCGATCCGGCTCCGCATTGGAGGTATCGCAGAAGAAATGTGCACCGGGCACTGCAGATGCACCCGGCTGAACCGAGGGTAGTTGGAAGTGGTCGACGACCAGTGAGGCGACCGTTGACTTCCCGCACCCTCGCACACCACGTAGCAGAAAAATGGCAGATGAGCTAGAATTGTGCTAAACAAGGAAGTCCTTCTGGTTCAACAGCCATCCACCAGAGCCTGGTAGTCTTCTTGTAGCTATCCCCTGCAGATTTTGAGCGGTGGGTACCATGGATAACCACAGAAGAACCTTGGAAAGCTTCTTTTCATCCAGTGAATGATGGATTGCCAGGCTGGTGTCAGTCAGACGAGGTAGATCAGCATTCAAGCGCCTGGCCATTGTGGTAAGCTTTTGGGTGATGGAAACAGCCTCGGTATTTTTGGCCTGGGACAGCTCCGACTCGGCCAACGATGACCACTTCAAGACTTATTGTTCTTGATTCTTGAGCGTAAACGGCCGTCATGTCCGCGAAGTTATGGTCGGATCGAGCAGCACTCGAGAGCATTCGTTCTAGATAATTCAATTTCCTGTTCTACTTCTGAGCCCTTGTTCCCGAGATCATACCGCCAGTGCTTCGTTTAAAGTAGTTGACTAGCTTTGCAAGCGCTCCCATGACATCGACATACTCTGAACCACGGCTTGTTCAAGATGAGAGACCATTCTGAAAGTACGCTTGAGATGCACGTTCTCTACTACTTCACATCGGTAGAGTAGTCGTGAAAGGGTTTCCAGATTCACGAGCATGCCTCCTCATGCCTGAACATCACTGACTGCGACATTCAACAGAAAGCAGAAGGCTGCCCATGGAAGCGCAGCATGAATGGGGTCATACTGGATAATGGTATCCCCGACCACAACAAAGCAATCAACCCATCCTGCAATCTTCTCCAACACGTCACGCAGAACAACGACCTTCCCGCTAGATACCTTGAGCTTCCATTGTTTCGCGATGCAGATCTTCCGCTTCTCATCGGCTGCCTTGACGAGGTGAAGGATGTCGATTTTTCGGGTTGCAACACCGCCAGAGAAGCTCGGACATCGGGATCGAGCCGATTGATTGCTTTCTCCCAACGCGTCGTAGATGTCGTTGTTTTGGATACTGAGATGGTAGCAGGCAGAGTGGCCATGATTTCTTCTCCTAATTTTACTAATTTAACGGAGACGGAACCAATGAAAACTTTGTATCACACAAGGTCAAGCACCATCTTGATTCACGGGTAATCGTAAGCCACCGACTTTCAGCTGCAGTGCTCCCATACCGAGCCTCAACGGGAACAGTAGTTTTTCCCCCCGCGCCAGCTGTCAGGCTCCATGTGCAAGGCGCCCATTTCGGATGCCAAGAGACGCTTGGGAAGATAGAGGGGAACCCGGGCGAGGATTAATCTCGGCTTGCGGGATTGGTGGCAACGAGGAGGGTGATGACTGCAGGTTCCTAAATCTGGGATACTTGCGTAGGCCATCAGCATCGGGCCTGCAATGCTCTGCATGCAAACTCCAGCCTCCGCGGAGAAATGAAGACCAGCTCCTTGCAAGTGTTTTATTCGCTCTAAATGTCACGCCCGAAATGGCAAGGATTTTCGCTCAAGTCAATCAATAGCGTGACGGAAAGCGAGGCTTTTCTACATGAACACTGAGCGAAAAGTGAAGCGAACACTACGATTTCATGGAAGTAGCCAGTGACATGAGTGGTTCAGATAAAACGTACGTGAAGTAATGCTTCACATATCCAGAACAAGCACAATGCTATTCGTGAAGTCTCTCGGACAAACGATCGACCTGATAACATACTGCCCTATGGACTCGGGTAGAGAAGTTTTGGAGAAAACTGGGTTCCCTGTGCCGGTCAACTGGGGCGACGCAAGAGACCTTAATTGGTACGAGTGAGTCTTCTTTCTCGAAGTCACCAGATCGTCCCCACTTCTTGATTCCTGGACAAATGACAATGCTAATAGACAGACCATCAGTACCCGGCGCCTCTCCATCCGCGAGCTGCATCCTTTGGGCATCATAATCTACTTCTGGTCCGGGGAAGTCCCACTCAAACTGGGCGAGTTGTTGGCAGAGCTCCTCATCCAGTGCGATCGCCTCGTTCAAGATTTCGCGAATGGCGTTCATCAAGCCCCCTCGTGTCGAGGTACGGTATTGTTGGATTGCGCCATGAATCTCCTTCACCAACGTCTCCAATTTCCTCTCAGGGCTTCCACTTGATAGCGGTCCGTTGCGCTTCTGTGACTCGAGGATCAACTTGGTCGTCGTAGCAGACCACGTTTGGAAGCTCTGAATATCAGCTGTCGACTGGAAGCCTAGGTGTCATCACACGGTTAGCGGGCGCTGTATTGAGCCCTGAGATGGGGTATACCTGGGTTATTACTTTGTTTCATAACTCTATGAAGTCTGCTCATGGACTTGCCGACACTACCTGCCCACCAGAATCTGTTGAAAATTTCGGCAACCATAAGCCTCCACAGGAATGCCTCCATAATCGCTGGCCGCCAATCAGGAAGTTCAAGGTAGTATTCAAGATCCATGTCGCTTCTCATGTTGAATTCCGTGTAGTCACTTAGCAAAGGGTCCAACAAAGATTTTCCGCGCGAGACGACCCCTCCGTAGTGATGAAGGCCGAAGTTCCAGATCTTCACCCGTAGACCCTCCACCTGCTGTATCAAATAGCTATCATCCAGCTGCGAGAAACCTTGGTCTTGAGATTTGAGCTTGGTCAATTCCGTCGCGAGCGCCTGATACCTGGCTTTGTAGACATCGCGTTGCTGCGTTCGTTTGCGCAAGATCTGCTCTAAGTTCTGGTAATGGGCCTGGAGCTCCTGAGACTGGCCCGCCGCAAGAAAATGTAACTGGGCTGAATTTTCTTGTTTCTCTGTGTCTTGAGATGCAGTTGGTTCAAGTTGCGAGTCCTCCTGAGTCGGCAAGCTTTCGTTAATCAGAGATTTCTCTTTCGCGTCCATTACTATTAATTTTGAATAGCGCAGTAAACAATTTTGTTGACAGTGGAAATTAGGGCTAGAGGGAGCAGGAAGAGCGCTAATCGCATGCAACCGCACATGTAGATGGCTGTTGAATAGGTAGGCAAACTTTCCAATAGCATTACTCCCTAGGGGTCCGAAAATCCGACTGACTCGGACAATGCGAGGGAAGAAAATTATCACAAATAATATGACGCACAGCCGACACAGCCAAGAAAAAGGCAACGGGACATGCAGGTCGCCCGGGCGTGCATCCAGATACATTGAGGCACCTGGGCAAGCCACCACGACCCTGGTTGGTTTATGTTGGAGAACGGTATGATACACAGGTTTGCAAATTTTCGAAAATCTCGTGCCGAAGTGAACTTGTAAGAGCCTCACCGGAGGGATTGCTCATTTGACCTTCGGTGAGAGGAATAAGTACCGATGTAGGTACACATATTTGTTTGCATGTAATTTATTCAGAGGACTCTCACGTACAGAAGGACAAATTCAAACAACATCTAGTTATCGGAACTTTCCAAGTAACACGCCTGATACATCGACAGAATGGGACCGATTGAGATGAACGTAAATAAAGTCAACGCGCATCATAACCATTGGGAAGATGACGAGACCGATTCGGACTTTGATCCATCACTGGAAGGAATAAATCTGACGGGAAAAGACGACGTGCTTGTTGTTGGGATTGACTTCGGAACCACGTATGTCACTACCCCCTTTCCATGTACACATGGCTGACCATGTCTGCCGGGGTCCCCCAGGTTTTCCGGCGTCGCATACGCAACAGCGAGTGAGTTTCTCAAAGGAAACATCAGCACCATTGGCGAATGGCCAGGCTGCGGTGCAGATGAAGGCAAAGTACCGACGGAGCTGGATTATGATAATGGGACCACCTCTTGGGGCTATGATATACATTCAGATGCCGACCCAGCCCGCTGGTTCAAGCTTCTTCTTTTGAACAACGAAGATCTCCAGGAAGATGTCAAATCCTCCGAATTTTTCCTTCTTGCCAAGGAAAAGGTCAGAATGGAGGGCTTGCGGCCGATCGATCTAGTAGCCGATTACCTACGGCTCCTATGGGCGCATACCATGAAGATGATCGAAAAGTCCCGGGGAGCCCAATTCCTGCCTGCTCTCAGATTTCATATTGTGATTTCTGTGCCCGCAATCTGGAAAGGATACGCGAGACAAAGTATGGAGGAGGCAGCGAAAATGGCAGGGCTTTTGGCTCCTCGAGAAATCGGTAAGACAAGGCTAAGCTTTGTTCTGGAACCCGAAGCGGCTGGAATGGCGACCCTTGCTGAGCCAGAGCACTGCGATTTGGTCCAAGCTGGCGATGTGTGGCTCATCTTGGATGCTGGAGGTGGAACGGTGGTAAGTGTAGACGCACATAGCACTGTATCAGAAGACCCCGACGTTGATATAAATTTCATAGGATCTCATCAGCTACAAAATCACATCGATAAACCCTATCACGATGGGTGAGGCCGTGGAGGGGACAGGTAAAACTTTTTATCTACTTGTACATCGAGCCTGAACGAGTCTGACATAAACCAGGGGCTTTATGCGGTGCAGTATTAATTGATAACGCCTTCCAGGGGCTGTGTAGGAACCGCCTAGGCAGACGTTGGACGCTTCTCAGTCCGATTGGCTTGAAAGAGATTATGAAGGACAAGTGGGAGCGAACATACAAGCGCCAATTCGTTCCAAAGCCAGACTCGCAAGAGGAATACGTCGTTCCCATCCCCGCCGAGGCTTTTGTGAACACCGGGCAAGACGATTTGTCCCAGCTTCCTCATATCAAGAAGGCACGAATATACTTTCGACAGTAAGATTCACCAAATAAGATTCACTCTAGGTCTCCAGTGCTTTGAGTTAATAGCTCCCCATAAACAGATGCGATATCTTGAAGGCCTTCACGGAGTCATTTACCCGAATTGACGAATTGGTGGAGGAGCAAATGATGAATATTAAACAGAAGGGTCTCATACTCAAGGTATTTACTATTCCGACCGAGGCACATCCACCCACCTTGAATGGGAGTGTGGAAACTCAATTTGTATAGGGAATCATTCTCGTTGGTGGTCTGGGATCGAGTCCTTATCTGTATCAGCATCTGAAAGACCAACATATGAAGGCCGGACTAACGATCATCCAATCCTTGGGAACGAAACCGTAAGTGAACAGAAGATAGACCATACGCCGCGAATCTGTCCCTGATAAATTATACAGACGGACAGCAATATGTCGTGGTGCAGTCTACAAGGGGTTTGCTGAAGACCAACTTATGGGCACAGAGGGCGAGGATGACGACGAGGACTCAATAGGCATGAAAACTTCCTACGTCCCTGCGCCCATTCGGGTGACTTCGACTATTTCTCGCTACAGTATCGGAACGACACACTACGATGTATTCGATCCCTCCAGACATAGTCGCTCTGATCCAGACTACGTCTGGTCTGCTGATGAAGGCGATTATGTGATTACTAATCAAATGCGCTGGTATATTCGCAAGGTACGAAGGCTTTCGCATCATGAGATGAAACAATAATCAACTAACACCCGCGATGTGATAGGGAGAAAACATGTCCAAACTCGACCCCGTGCGACATCCATGGTGTCGTTACGTGAAAAGCAACTTCAAGGGGAGTTTTACCGATGGGCTTTATCAGTGTGCGAGCAGTAACCCTCCCTCCCGAATCGATGATACCGTTAAGCACTTGTGTGGTCTCAAGTGGATGCCTGATGTTGATACATCCAGCCTGGACGATTTTACCAGCGCAGATGGAAAGAGAGAACTCAAGGTGCTTAATTACGAGCTAGAGATGGTCCCTTCCGGCGCTTCTATGGACTTCACTTTCTACATCAACGATCGCAAGCAGGCGTCCCACAGCGTCAAGGCTGAATATGAATAGGTAGGGGGCTAATTAGTCAGGTAAGTTTTACCTAGGTACCTTGCAGAGGCAGCTTAATCTACGAGCACAATGTGGTGCAAATCTACCTTATGATTTTGCGAATCATGTACTTGCAGCGTAACATAAATTGACTAGAGGTCGTATCTACTCGGTTAGGACCTCTAGAGCTAGAACCTCGCCAATTTAAAATACGATAATTGGATCTGTATTACTACTGGTAACAGTTTTGCTGCTTTTTCTTTTCGAAATTTTACCATTCTTGGGTTGTGCTTCTCGAGCTGTAGGCTATCTCTTCACCCGGGTGAGAAAACCTCCATGCGCCAAGTCCAGCTAAAGAGAAGGTAATGAGGATGCGAGGCAGCATGGAAGAGATTGGAGCAAACGAAACGCAGCCGTCACCTCTATCCTGCATAATGGTAGTCCCCGAAGAGGTCCGACCGGTCCATGTTGACAATGAATGAGAGAGAACGGTCCCCGGGGCCGCCTGGGCGGGATTCGGTGCTTCGTAAGCGGGGCAGCTCCCGACCCCAAGGGGATATTTACCTTGTGATGGACACCTATACATGATAAAAGCGCTTCCATCGGACATGGTGCAATTAATCTCGTGTTCCTTACCAATAGCATAGATAGGTCCCTCTCGTGTAGCGTCGCAGCCTCCTTGATTTTCCTAATCCAGATGACCGAAGGCGGACTTTTCCAAGGCCCCCAGGTCCTAGCCACACGCATTAATCTACTTTCTCTGTCGCCCTGAATTTTACTTTTGGTGGGCATACTACCAAACCAGACCAGACAGTGTAAATCATCGAAAGCACGAGGCTCCACCCCCACAACATTTCCCAGTCATAAAACACAAATGGATTACTAAGACTACCAAACGCCGTAGCTGATCATTAATCTCACTGGCATTATGTAATTGACTTTATAATCCGTGAATTGGAGACTTCTATACTTAATTGAAGTACAGTAGACTGCCTTACTACGGCCAATATGAGATGTTCAAACAAATCCAGCTTCAGGTCTCGTGAAAGACATGGTAAACTGTGGATATGTAGCTCAATTCAAAACCACGAGTACACCGTTATTGGGCTTCCTGTGCATGTGTACTTCACTCGAAATAGGTCGATGTTGCTATATCATGGTCACCAGATAGCTTTGATTGGCAATTCCATGGTGAGTTGTCTGCTTTATAGTGCATGGACAGGTATGTATAGCATAAGTGACTGCCAATATTACAAAGAAAATTCCAAGTAATTCACGACATCCACATGTGGACCCCCCCCTAGGAAATTCACTTTGTGTGCTTTTTCCCTAAGGTCTTAATATACTGGCGAAACCCAGAACCACTGCTCTGCGACAGAGGCTTATACTTGATTTCCACCTCCATCTTGACGTGAACTTCATTTATCAAGAATTCATCACCGGAGGATGTGCCTTGCTTCATGAGGGCAGGGGCCATGGCCAGCTGGACTTCATGATTGTTTCCCTCTAGATCTTTATGCTCTGATCTATCCATGGTTGCATCGTCAAATACGCAAGGAATATCACTGGGAAGGTGCCAAGTCCACCGTGCAACTTGCTGGCTGAACACTTGGTCGAGCGCCAAACTTTCCTCCAGAAGCCTTGACAGTGGGCCCATCAGCTCCCGGGTGCTGCATGAGACTAAAGGACTGAGGAAACTAGCAAGGATCTCTGCTTTTTCCGAGAGGAACTCAAGATGATTGTCGTGCATCACGTTCGTACTTCTGTTCCTCATCTCTAGAACCAAGCTGATGGTATGAGCCCTCCACATCTTTCGCCTGCGTTCTACCTCTTCGTTCAACTCAGATGGTTCTCTGGCCGATGGCTCTTGAATCGTGTTAGCTCTCAAGGCGAATACTTCGTTCTTAGACTGTTGTGTGAAATACCTATAAAGTCACAAAGGGAGCGCATGCCTTGTCCCACGTCTTCTGGTACCCATCTGAATTGTCGAAAAACTTTATCATGGAGATAAGCCCACAGGAAAGCGCGGATAATGGATGAACGGGATGAAGGAGAGTCCAAATAGTTGTTTAGGATGTTTGTAGGCACTTGAAGATATTTTTCGAGTATGGAGTATGAGGCGGGGGAAACATGAATGCCACTCTCGTTGGTTTCGGCGTATCGTAAGGCAAAGTCGCGAATATCCACGCGGAGGCGCTTCGCTTGCGCCGTAATTTCGGAGTCTTCTAGTTGATGGTAAATCTGCTGATTGTTCGCTGCGCTTTCCATCTCGCGGTTGGCATCTTGCAACAGGCGATGCCAGTGGGAGGCGTCCCGCTTCTTCCGCTCCAATATGCGATTTGTTTGGTCATGCTGCCGGGTCTCATCTTCCAGCTTATTCTCAACTTGCGAACACTTTTTACGCCATTCAAGTATCTTGTCTTTGAGCCACTGGTTGGTATCCTGGAGCTGGCTTAATTTGTCGCGCTCAGCAGTCAGTTCTTGTTGGAGTTGTGCATATTGTAGGTTTCGGTGCTCAACCTCGCTGGAGATACTAGCAAAACCCGAGAGAGGTGGCTTCTCCCGCCTTGCATGCTCCTCCAGACCTGGACTTGCTTGTTGGGCCCCCCTCTAGAGGACCTGAGACAAGCGATAACGCCGGGCTCCCGCGAGTGCTGCTCCCCGTCTCAGAATTTTTAATATACTCATCAATGGTTATCGCGACTGACCCCTCGGTTCCTATGGAGGCGGGGCTCCGTTGTATAATTGTTGGTTGCTGCTGCGATTCGACCATGACTGAGATGTCAATGGAAGATAAACCCTTTGTGATAAAGTATTCGACGCTTGAGTTTCGGCCAGAACGCAAGCAACCGGGTAGTTTGGCTATGAAGAGGGGGGGCAGTGTTAAGTCAAATCGGTTGTTGTCTGATGCTGTTGTTCTTACTAGTATTTTTCATTGTTGTGTATAATGAAGAAATACCACGTCATATCTGTATTGATCAAGACTACTAATTCGCATACCGTTAGGTATCTGCGGTAGGGTTAGAAAATAACATGCGCCGTGCCAAGAGGTTAGGTTGCAAACTTCAGCCGCATGACGTGGCTCGTAAGATTGACAGGGGGTTGTATCTCGCGCAGTCTTAGCACATTAGTATATGCACCTGTTTCTTTGCAGCGACCAACATGGAGCTAATATATGCCATGTGCCATGTAACAGTGCCGCACAGCCGTTGCCTCGCGAGGCTGTCCCAAGAGGCTTAGTCTATCCGAGCTCGAGACAAACAGACGGGCCGATTGCGGCTGTCATGAACATTATCTGAGCCATTGAACTCAGGAAGTTTGGACAGTGGATGCTATTGTTGAAGTTGGGCTTCGGGCAGGCTTCCCCCCGCGAGGAGTAGGTAAAGTCAGTTTTCTGTAGTCTAGTCTCTCTCCTTATTTCTTTCTGTCTTTCTTTCTTCCTTTCTTCCTTCCTCTCCGAATCCCTTTGCCTTTTTTTTCTGACATCCTGTATCCTGTCCAGTTTCTTTATCAGACGCTCACTTGACACGCGCGTGCCTCCGTATCAGCGAACAATATCAACAGCCTCTTATTTCCTTGTCATCGTATCCCTACTTCAAGTTGAATTTACATCTTAAGACCACAAACCACGATGTCGAGGACCTACGCAGATGGCTACTTGAGGAAAACCTCAGAAGTACCCAAAGATCGTTTGAAATCTTTCGTTGGCAGGTTGAATAAGTCAAAGCAGGCTGCTCTGCACAATTGCTTGATAATTGGTATCGATTTCGGAACTACGTCAGTCTTCTCTCCAAACATGATTTAGGAATTCCCATGCTGATGCTGCTTCCAAGGGCAGGTATTCCGGTATCTCATGGGTAACATTGGCGGACTTCAAACAGGAGAATATCAACATCATAACACAATGGCCTGGGATGCGCGGTGATCATGCTAAAGTGCCCACCAAGCTGTACTACGAGTTTGGACCCGCGACCGATACCCCCTTGTGGGGATTTGAGATCCCGGACGATATAGAAGCGCTTGAATGGTTCAAGCTTCTTTTGCTGCGGGAAGATGACATGTGGAAGGATCTCCAAGAGTCGGTGCATATTGGTCGTGCCAAAATGCTACTGCGTGAAAGTGAAAAAACGGCCGAGGATTGCATTGCAGATTACCTTCGTGCAATTTGGAAACATACACTCAAGACCATTCTCAAAGCTCGTCCCAGCTACCTTGTTGAGTCTCTCCAGTTCCATGTGATTCTAACTGTACCTGCCATTTGGAAAGATTATGCCCGCAGTGCCATGACGGAGGCCGCTAAGAAGGCGGGGATTCTTGATTATCGCCCTGCCGGCCCGACCTCCCTAACTTTTGCTCCCGAGCCCGAGGCAGCCGGATTGGCAGCACTCATTGAGCGTGGCAGCGACACCAAGCCAGATGATGTGTTCGTCATTTGCGATGCCGGAGGCGGGACCGTAGTAAGTCGCACTCGAGCCCGTGGTAAGAGTATTGTCTGATACAACACCCACTAACTGCCTTTTTCACATTATTAGGACGTCATAACCTATACAGTTGGTCACAAGCAGCCACTTCAATTACACGAATCGGTTGAGGGCGACGGTGAGTTGATGAGACACTCTCTTTGTTCTGACAAAGCGAGAGATGTGTTAGCTAACGTGACGATGTGCAGGCAGTGTGTGTGGCGGTATCTTTATTGACGAAGACTTTATAGTACAATGCAGGAATCGTATTGGCCGAAAGTGGTCTGGCTTTAGCCCGGCGGATCGAAAAGCCATTTTAACAAATGAATGGGAGTACTCCATCAAGCCCCGGTTTGGAGAAGCAAATGGCTGGGATACGTATCCAGTGTCGATTAAACAAGGGCCATTAACGGCCGCAGAGTTAAATGACCATTCCCGCAAGCCCTATATCAAGGATGGCCATATCTGGTTTTCTGGGTAGGTCTCTTTATCGACCCCACCGATTATTCTTGACTGATCAGAGGTCCAGCTCGGACATTCGCGACGCGTTTCACAAGAGAGCTGTGCCTGGCCTCTTGAGACTGGTGGAGAACCAGGTGACTAAAGCCGAAAGTAAAGGGCTACGTGTGACAGTAAGTAGGGCTCTGTGCTATTGGTTCCAGGATGCTGATGCTCTATCAAGGGAATTGTTCTTGTTGGGGGGCTTGGCTCGAGCCCCTATATATATCAATGTCTTGAGGCCAAGTACATCAACCAGGGAATTGAGATTTGTCAATCTAGCGTTATCAGGAGGTAGGCCCCATCTCCGTGATAATTGTTGACGGAGCATAATTACTAACATCTGATTTAAAAGACGAACTGCTATCTGCCGTGGCGCTATCCTAAAGGGGCTCATGGATGCTCCAATCACTACACATGTGCCTAATGCTCCTGAGATATTGTCGAGAATCTCGAGAACATGCATCGGTACCACATGCAACGCAAAATTTATTGAAGGAGTCCATCGCAAGAAAGAGAGATACATTTGTGAGCATGAGGGCTTTTATAAGGTGCGGGGGATGATGGATTGGTACATTACCAAAGTATGCGCTCTTGAATATGTCCGCACAACCTAGCATTCTTATAAGTATTATAGGGCGAAGATGTTGCAAAATCACATGCAATTCGAAAGGACTACTACGAAACCTTCATCAACAGGAAAGACTTCCCACCGTCTTCCTTTACAATACAGATGTACAAGAGTGAAGCCGAAAGGCCGCCGGCTCGATCTAGCGATGCTAGTGTGACGGAGCATTCCACACTTGAATTCGACCTCAGTGACTATAATTACGACGATCTTGAAGATTTCAAGGGGCTTAATGGTCAAAGGGGCAAGAAATTCAATTACACAATTGAGATGGTGCCATCGGGTGCTTCCACGGAATTTTCAATATATTTTCAGGACAAGAAGGTGGGATCGGACTATGTGTCAATAATGGTAGACTAGCGGCTTTGGGTGGAACTCATGATTGGGGGCTGCCTAAGTAGGTGGTTTTACTACAGATGGATTCCTGTAATTTCCAAAGTTCCACAGTTCTCTATAGACTGTGGGGGACAAGCAGCGTCTCCACACATGCTACTCGAACTAGATATAGATATCATGATATTTGCACTCCAGGGCTCTAGACAAGCAAGTCAAAAATTTAGACTAAGGCAGTTCGCCTGGTAGGTAGCCGAAGCTTGTACCCCCAAATTCCAACATGTATTGATAGAAACGCCCCGTATAAGATGTCTACCTTACTTACCTACCTAAGTAGGTCTACGGATTGACCCGCCTTGCGACCTTGGAATCGGCTAAAGTCTATCTTTCCCTCCTAAAAATATTTCTCACCAACATCGGCTTCGCCCTTTCGCAATCATGTCCAGCGCTTCCGCTTAAAATACAAAGCAGTAGAGCCCCTACAAAGATGCTTTAAGCTATGGGTGAAATACGAAATTCGATTTTACCCAGGCACAGGTAGAGTTAAGACTCTGGTAATTAATATTTTATAATCGAATAATTATTAACAAAATTATTTTTTCGCCAAGTAATACTGTAAACAAGGCTACTACCAAACTCCTTGAATCATTGCGCTCTTAATCGCTTTGATCAACACGGCAGAGGCTTTGTAGCAGGGACTGTCGTTCTTGACCCTCGCTTCACCTTCTGGACGACCCCTCGGCAGATATCTTACGTTACAGCATTTTCGAAATAAGCGTGTCACATGCTGCTATTGGCCTACTGAGTCAAATATGCGAGTAAGATTTGCGGCCTTTATCGATCCTTATGCCGGCAGTCGTGTAAAACCGTCATCTAAGCATTAATTAGCCTTCGTCAGCACCGGTCTAACAGGGAAACAGATATGCCAGCGCCTGAGTGACAATTCGAAGGCTTTGCGACGGTAACGAAGAGGAATTCTGTCAAGTGTAGGTCAATATTCTCCATCCCAAAACTGGCGGACGAGGCAGGGATCTCTATACCTCACAGAATATCTTTTTATGAGGATTTTCCCCAAATAACGTGTCGACAGATTAAACGAAGGCCACTTTAGAAGATAACACGATTTAATACAGAGGTCGTATATATGTACATTTACAGCGTAAGCCAAGAGTTCAGTGATCTAGGTGAATCTAGGAACATTGCTATAAGCCTCCTAGTTGCAGCTTGACCTGTCGTACGCATAGACTAGATAACTAGAGGTCGATAAGACGGCGACAAAGAAAATGATTTTGAAAATAAGCTCGACCTGCCACTAACGGCCAGCAAAAACTACCAGGACTAGGCCTGGACCTTCTATTCTAAATACAAGCAGGTATGCTTACTTCTCAAGTTAGCTTTGTGAGGTACGTTGCATTGAGCATTGACCTTCACAACTACGTTAATAGGGCACTAGCTTGCTTGTCAGTTTCCTAAAGCACAACTATTGGCCTATGGTAGAATCTAAGACAATAAGTACAACTTATCAATAATAGAGGGTTACTGTTCAACTTTATCGCTCAATGTTCAATGCATTGGATACTATGTAAATGCTCTTTTGAGAGCAGTCTATCATCAACAGTCGTTAAAGATGAATATGTACAAATCAGGTGTAGAAAAGAAACAACAGAAGTAACAAGATCTCCAGCCCCATTACAGACGGTGCTGAACAGGGGAAGAAGGCTCTGGAGCAGGAGTAAAAGTGAAGCTCTTCTGCTCTGTGCCCTCAAAGTTAAATAATTCAGCAGCCTTGTTATAGGAGTCAATACCACGACGTGCATGGTCAGCGGGGGTAAATGGGTCGGGGTTGGCAAGGGTGCGGCTAAAAAGCTCGAGCGAGACCCAGCCCTTGAAACCGAGGTCCTCGAAGAATACGCGGGCAACGTCGGTAATAGGTAGATATCCGCCACGAGACTCTTCGAAGGGGAAGAGACGGGCGTTGCGAGACCAGTTCATGCGGACAGGCTGGTTAGGGACGTGGAAGGGGTGCTTCTCGTCAAGAGGAGCGGTCAAACGCTCACCATCGACGAGTTGGACGTAAAAGATCTTGGCGGGATCGATTTTCGCGTTGCGTAGACGATCAAGGGAAGCAGCAAGGTCAGCGGCAGCGTTAGGGGTGCAACCGGTAGGGCAAGCAGGGTCGGCATATACACGACCGGCAATGTTAAACGAGTCCAAGCAGAGACCAAAGTTAGGACGGTCAACATCGCGAACGATCTCCCAAGAAGCCTCCCAGGTATCGACATGATCGCCCCAGCACAGAGCCTCATAGACGAATCGGAAGCCAGCACCAGCGCCCAAGTCTGCAAGACGCTGCAGGTCACGCACGATGACGGCGCGGTCGCCCGTTGTCCGGGGTGCGCCAGTTTCGGGGTCGGGGCCGAGGAAGTTGGAGGGAACCTGGATCATATCGGTTCCAAGAGCCCGCGCCAGTGTGAACCACTTGGGCAGCTTATCATTGAGCATACGGTCGGACTCGGCCCGGTCCAGCAGGCCTTCGTACATGGAGAATGGCTGCAGACAGATGATAGTCATGCCAAGGCGCTCACACATGCGGCGCACTGTGCGGGCAGCCTCGTGGTGGTCGCCGTTAAATGTGCGCTGGGCGTAGCAGTCTAGATCGTCGAAGAAAAGCTCCATGCCCTCGAAGCCGTGGGCAGCGGCTTGCATCAGCTTGCCGGGGAGGTCGTGAATCCATGGCCGGCCCAGGGACATGGAGGCAATACCAGGGCGGTTGAATGCCATTATGAATAAATGTCGGAGATGGATATATGAGAATAAGGAGAAGGTGAGGTAGAGATAAGGGTATATTTCAGTCTTTGAATACCTAGGATGTACCTGTGGCAGTGGCAACAAAGAGAATCAAGTCGATAGGGATGGGATCGAACAAGAGGAGGAAGTGTAATGGAATACAAAACAAGGTGGAAGTAAATGCTTACAACAGGAACTACACGGGTGATTTTTCTTCATTCTCCTCTTTTCTCCTCTTTTCCTCGTCGGAAATAAAACATTATCCCCAACAGATTGGAGCTGCGTTCTCCCACGTTGCAATCAATGCAGTCTGGTCACGTGACCGGGTAAGCGTTCCACGGTCCCGCAAAATGAGAAAATCGTTTACCCGCCGTCTGATTTTGCCTTCGGTCAAAAGGGACGCCCCTCGCCCGTCGCGAGAAGGATTTCCCCAGTTTTGCTCGACTAATACTGCCCCAGAACTCCTCCAATCGGATATGTCAAGGCCGCTTTTACACCTTTGGCACTGCCAAGCCCATCAATTCAATGCCGACAAGCCCACCATGTCGACCATAATAACCCCGTCATCTTCTCCCCGGCTATACCTACGCCTCTCATCGTGAAATTCACTGTATCGGAATAATTTGAACCGCATCAATTGAAACCTTTTACTTCCCCAAAATGTCACTCAAAATCGCAATCATCGGTGCCGGTCTGATCGGACCCCGTCATGCCAAGTCCGTCATCGGCAATCCCGCTACGGAACTAGTAGCCCTAGTCGACCCAATGCCGACCGGCTCGACAATTGCCTCAGAGCTAGGAACAAACTACTACCCAACAGTCGCAGAGTTATTAAACTCGCCCGACCGCCCAGACGCCGCAATCGTCTGCACGCCCAATCACACCCACGTCCCCGTGGCAAAGGAGCTTCTAAATGGCAACGTTCACGTCCTCCTGGAAAAGCCAATCAGTGACACCCTGGAAACCGGCCGGTCACTGTTAGAACTGGCGCATGCCCCCGAAAACGCACATCTGAAGCTATTGGTCGGTCATCATAGACGTTTCAACCCCTACGTGCGAGCCACCAAGTCGATTCTTGAAAGCGGATCACTTGGTCGTCCGATCGCGATCAATGGCCTGTGGACTCTATACAAGCCCGAGTCCTATTTCGGCGGGAACGGATCGTGGCGCGCATCTAGCGAACGGGGTGGCGGTGTAATCCCGATCAATCTAGTCCACGACATCGATCTAATGCACCACTTCTTCGGCCCGATCGTCCGCGTCCAAGCCGAGAAGATTCTCCCCCAGCGTCCTGCCCCACCGCACGATGCAGACGAAGGCGCAGCGTTGACATTCCGCTTCGCGTCTGGAGTCGTTGGCTCATTTATGGTCTGCGATGCGACTCCTTCCCCGCACAATTTCGAGACTGGTACTGGGGAGAACCCCATGATTCCCAGGTCAACTGCGACGAATGGGGATGCCGGGGACGGGTCTGACTTTTACCGGATCTTCGGGTCTGATGCTTCGCTTAGTGTGCCTGATTTGACCCGGTGGAGTTATGATGGGTTTGCCGAGAAGAGTTGGTCTAACCCGTTGAAGGTTGAGAAAATTGAGTTGCCGGACCGTGCTGCGCCTTTTGATTTGCAGCTGGCGCATTTTGTGGAGGTTATTCGTGGTGAGGCGTTGCCGAGCTGTTCGGGCGAGGAAGGCTTACGCGCTTTGATTGTTTGTGAGGCTGTTCAGCGGGCTATGCGGACTGGACAGCCCGTTGAGATTGAAGTTGATCTTCTTGCGCAGGTGAAGGCGTAATTACTCTGATGATGACTTTGAATCCTTGCTTATTACATCTCTTCGTGTACGAAATAACAGATCCGACAGTCAAATCTACAGCTTCTACATTCGTCCTTTGCACAATGGAAAGGCCAGACAAAATCTGCTACGATAAATGGCGGAAGATTTGTTTTTGAGGAAATCATCAAATTTCTCATATCGATCTCTATCATATAGGGATTGGACCGTCGACATTATCCAACATTATCCATCATTATCCAAGTCCCAGACTGGATTATACACTCGAAGCTCCGACACCTGCACAGCAAGGAAAAGGGAAAACACCATTTAAACGCAACACTTAGGCAAACTTGGCTTGCTCGGTGGAAGCATCTTCAACCTGCTGAGCATCAAGCTTAGCCGCAGCAGCACCATTCTCCTCAACATCGTGGCGGAACTGCTGTTCCTCCTCGCGGAGGCGAGCGACCATGGTGGGGTGCGCACGCCAAACGGGCTTGATCTCGAAGAGAGCATCCATGCTCTCCAGTGGGATACCCTTGGTCTCGGGGACGAGGAAATAGACAAAGACGATGGAAAGCAGCATCAGCGAAGCAAAGAAGAAGAACACGCCGTACTCCATCTTGGCAAACATCTGCGGGGTGAAGCGCGAGATGAGGAAGTTCCAAAGCCAGTTGGATGCAGCGGCGCAAGCTTGTGCGAGAGAACGCATGTTGGGATCGAACATTTCCTACAAAGATTCCGTTAGCTTCGACGTCTTCTTGAAATCTCCCGCATCTCTTGCGGGTTCTCTGCCAAGGACCATGTGACTCACCGAGTTCAGGACCCACGGGGTGCCGTTCCAGGTTGGGGTATAGAAGACGGTCCAGAGGTAGAAGAAGAACATGGCCATGATACCACCGCCATCCATGTGCGGCTTGGGGTTATTCGATGGGTCTGCAATCTTGATGTACGCGCCGACGATCCACATGCAAATCGAGCCACCCAGGGCACCGATCAGGAGTAAGTTGCGGCGACCGACACGATCGATAAGGTACAGCAGCCAGACGAAGGTGACTACCGTCTTTACTACGCCGAAAATACCAGTGGTGAACAGACTGTTGTTTCCTTGAACACCAATAGCCTAGGGGTATTGTTAGCAACGTGTTACTTCTCCTCAGGAATGAGTTCCAACTTGCCTTGAAAACGGTTGGTGAGTAGTAGTTGATGGCATTGATACCTGAGCCGTTCTGCCAGAAGAACAGCATCGAACCCAGGAACAGACGCCACATGACCTTCTTATTGGAACCAGCAGCCTTGAAGGGCTTCCAGAAACCAATGCCAATGGTGGAGCGCTGTTCCTCAAGAGCCTGGTCGATAGCAGCAACCTCCTCAATCATATAGATATCGTTCTGGTCCAGTTGGCGGATCCAGCAGAGATTGTTCATAGCCTCATCACGGCGGCCGCGTGAGAACAACCAACGTGGAGATTCGCGAACGAAAACACCGCCAATGAGCATGAGACCAGCAGGAATCAACTGCACTCCGAACGGGATGATCCATTGCTTGTGGCTGGGGGCCATTGTTTGTTCGACACCATACTACAAAAAGAAAGACGTGTTAGATGATGGGATTCGGCAAAGAAGCGAACAAGAACCTTGGAAGAGAGAGTAAAAAACGTACGTTAATCCAAAATCCTACGAGGCCACCAATCTGCCAGCCAAGTTCATAGACACCGACCAGTCGACCTCGAATAGCGGGAGGCGCCAACTCGGAAATGTAAATAGGGGTGATGTTGGAACCTGCGCCAACACCGAGACCCGCAAAGACACGTCCAACGTAGAGAAGAGTAAGACCTCGATCGCCATTGGCACCCAGCATGAGACCAGCACCAAAAAGGAAAACCAAAGCAGAAGCCAGGAGACCAATTCGTCGACCCCAGAAGTGACCAATGGGGTATGCAAAGAACGAACCGAAGAAGGCACCAGCCTGGTAGGTGGAGACGATGTTGGCACTGAGTAGATTCCGTTCGCTGTCGCCCATGGCGTCGAAGTTGAATTCATCCTTGAAGGATTGCAAAGACAGGGTAGTTCCGATGAAAGCACTGTCATAACCAATCATGCACGACGTGCAAGATGCAACAGCGGCAAGAAGGTAGATCCTCCAGTTGTAAACAGACTTGGGCGTAGGCCGGTCCTCAACAAGAGCTAGGATCCCCATGATTGCGATTCAATATAAGGTATAGAAAGAAAATAAATGGGACCCAAAAGTGTTTCACGACTGGCTACGTGATACACTCGATCTTCCCTGTAACGTGCAGAGCAGAAACAGAGATTTCCCTTGAGACAGGAATAGGCACCGTGTGTGTGACGAGAAGGTGCAGGTGAGTGCAGGTGGGAGAGAGTAGGAAGTAGGAGAGAGGTATGGGAGAAAGGAGAAAATAAAGATAGATCTTGCCACAAAGAATCCGGGGGATAGCCGCGATCTAAATAGCCACGAGGTTCCCCAGAGAGATTTGCGTTTGTGCGGTTAGGGAAAGAGAAGAAATCCGGGGAGGCGAGTTAGGGGGGGCGAGGGAATGGTGGAAACGTGGAGGCGGAGAAAGGTATATCGCAGATTAGACCTCAACAGACCTTGTAGAGGGCCAAGTCCCGGGAAAACGATATCCAACGGCAATGTATTTAGATCAGAGAGTTTGAAGAGAAGGGGGCTGTGCGCAGGAAGAATAAAAGCCAAGGGGTGAGCCCAAGAGGAAGTTTTGGGGGCAAGGCAAGGATTTCTGAGAAAATCTGGGCGAGGGCATCTTGGCCGCCTCTGTGGCTTGAGTGTAAACACGCGAGATCCTCTGCTGGTTGGTTCGAGTGAGTCTGAATTATGGGGAAACCTCCGAGGCCGCTTAAAAAGTGGAGTACTATATCGGCCGGGGATGAGGTTCTGGACATCTCCATGCCCGAACTCCAGAATGGGGTAGCCCGGGGTAGTCATGTGCACGCTCCATTTTAGAGGGGTATGGAATGGCGAAAAATGATCAGTATGATTGGCAGAGCCGAATGGATCCAAGAAGTTTGCCGAGTGGCCAAGGGCCAATGATGAAGCATACGATGGAGGTGGCGGGGAAAAGCGATCCCCCGGCGGCGATGGCGCTAGAGTTAAAAGTTGATGGCCGTGCTCGGTTCGGAGACGAGCGGACGCGAGACATAGTCAAACCCGTCCTGCAGTATTGCATAATTCAAGGGGCCTCGTAACGCCCATGGTGCTATTGGCTGCTGCCAGGACATACGTGCATACCGTTGATGGCCAAGGCAATTCCCCATGGGGGAGTGGTCAGGTGGCAAAGCATTCTGCCCCGGCCCAATGGATATCAACCTGATAGATGACAAGCAGGAGAGAGAGAAAGGATTATTCAATATTCTTGTAAATTAAATAAGACGAAGGTAATTGTTAATTTAACACCTTTCAATACACTAATCAAGAGGAGTGAGTGAGTAATGTGATGGTGGTGGGGAGAGGAAAGTGTTACGCAGGGTTACGCAGTGGCCGAGAAGAAAGCGTTTCTCCGCCCCGCGGCTCTTTCTTTACGACCGTGGGGTTTTGCACAATTCAACCTCAACTCGGTTTCCTTCCGGATCCGCTCTTTTAATTACCCCTCCTCCCTTCAAAACTCCTCTGATCTCCGTAAATTTAATTCTCATACCGCCCCTCTCCCCTCTATCTCTCTCATACACACATCACAATGGCCGCGCCCGCAACTACAATCGCAAGCCAACCCCCGGCGGAGGAGCCCATCTCCATCCCCGACAACCGCGATGGCGTCGCCTATCTGTACGGTCACCCGCTACTCAATTCCCTTTCACCACCCCTCCACCAGACCGTCTACAACAAGCTCGGTCTGAACTGGACACAAATCCCCCCTGTCCAGCGTGACAGGCACATCCGCCACTTATCCACCACCCTACACCAAGTCCCCTTCCATTGAGAAGTTCCTGGCCTCGATCAAGTCCAACCCCAAATTCGTCGGCTCGTCAGTCACAATGCCGCACAAGGTCGCCATCATGCCTCACTTGGACGATCTCACTGAGCACGCCCGCCAAGCCGGTGCCTGCAACACCATCTTCCTCCGCACTGACCCAACCACCGGCGTCAAGCAATACGTCGGCACCAACACCGACTGCGACGGCATCCGCGAGGCGCTCGTCAAGAACGCCCCCGACGCCTCTCGCTTCCGCGGCCGGCCCGCGCTGATCATCGGTGGTGGCGGTACTGCCCGTACAGCCGTCTATGTGATGCGCCGCTGGTTGGGCTCCAGCAAGATCTACATCGTCAACCGTGACGCGGCCGAGGTCGAGTCCATCCTCGCCGAGGACCGCGCGCGGAACCCAGACGTCAACGCACAGGCTCCTCTCATCCCAGTCAGCGACCCCGAGGAGGCTGCTCGTCTCGAGGCGCCGGCCGCCATCGTCTCCGGTATTCCCAACTACCCTCCCAAGACGGCCGAGGAGCTTAACACCCGCGCCGTGATCCAGACTTTCCTGGGCACTGCTGCCGATGCGGAGAAGCAGCAGGGTGTCATACTGGAGATGTGCTACCACCCTGTTCCCTGGACGGATATTGCCAACCTTGCTTCTGCCGGTGGCTGGAAGGTGATTCTTGGTTCGGAGGCATTGATCTGGCAGGGTCTTGAGCAGGCTCGTCTCTGGACCGGTGTGGATATTGTTGGAACTCCCGGTCTGGTGCAAGATGTCAAGGATCTTGTTGATAAGACTGTTGCCGAGCGTGCTAACAAGTCCAGTCTGTAAGAGACAGCTGGGTCTAGCGTCGCACTTTCCTTTCCTTTTTAATGTCCCCTTTTTCCCCAAAACTTTGACACGATTGTATAGAGATCAAGATTCTTGCATTATAGATGGCTGGCGTCTGTTGTGAATACATAACTATACTTAAAATCACCCCTGGCATGACACCCTAAAGACATAGACGAGATGGCGTGCTAAATACGAGCTCCCTGTACTTGTAGTATATAGTGATGTCCGAAGACATTCTAGTATTGCGATGACCTAGAATACTTCCCAGATGATATAAACTATCGGTCTAAGCACCAGGTCGAGTATATTCCAAGTTACGAACGCGACGCCAGACTTCGCGCACGGTACGCTCTTGAGACTCCCGGCCTGTCTCAGTAGCCGAAGGGCCAGCAGGTCTGCAATAAACCGATTAGTATGTGCCTGTATCTACATGCCCATGTTCGGGGAGAGTTGGTAGTCAGTACTCACCTAATGGCAAGATACAACCGGCTTCCTAGTCGCACGTCTTGAATTGGGTCTGTATCAGGGTTCTCCGGGGGGTTGGCAGTAGTCACCAAGCCGCCCGCTTCAAGAAGGATAGCAATACCAGCAGCGACGTCCCTAATTCGAGCAAAAAAGTCAGCAAATCAACCCAACCAAGAAACCACACACCAAATGCTTGAAAGGGTGCGCATTGCAGTATATTCTGAGTTTTGTAACATACCATTCCCAACAACCCCCTTCCCACCAAATATCAAAAGAACCCATAGCAACATATGCAAGGTCAAGCGTGGCACTCCCCAAACTCCTCATTCCGTGTACCATACCGCCCTTACCACCACGTCCGGTGCGTTCGGCAGCCATATTCACAAAACTCTCAATCTTGCGATGCATGTTGCCGTCGGGAATATCGCGGCGGTCTTTGCCCCACTCGCAGGAGAAGACGCATTGGGACGGGGCGTTGGGTGGCATGGGTGGGATGGTGGGTTTCTGGATGAGTGGGAGACGGCGTTTTTCGTTTAGCCAAGCGCCGCGGTTGAGGCAGGAGGAGAAGAGTTGGTCTGTGAAGGGGGCGTAGATCACTCCGATGATGGGCTTGTGCTCGACTATGAATCCGATTGAGACGCAGAACATTGGGAAAATGTGCGTGTAATTGACGGTTCCTGTGAGCGTATTAGTGATTTATAAATGGGGGGGAGATTTGATTGCAATGCACATCATACCGTCTAATGGGTCGATACACCATGTTGGCTGCTCGTCAATCAGATAGTCGCGCGAGTCGCCCTTGGCATATGTTTCCTCGCCGAGGAACCTGGGTCTTGTTAGCGAGGTCGATGCGGAGCTGACTGGGCTGTGCTGGGGAGCTTCATGGCGAGTTGGACTAACTTGTGTGATGGGTATCTTTCCTGCAATGCGCTGCGAATGAACACTTCCACGTCTGGGGTAATTGTGTCAGCTTGGATGTGCCAGTGGAGCTACCTCGGCCTAAACTCCGATCAACCAACCTTCGTCAGTCTGGGTGACAATATCCACGGCGTTCTCCTTCTCCTCGAAGTCCTGCGAGTTGCCCTCTCCGCCGTCCATGCGTAGCTCTACACGCGACATGAGCAGATCACCAGCCTTGCGGCTAAGGTCTATGGCAAAGGCATATATCTCGTCGAGCTCATCCTGCGAGAAGGGTCCAGCGGCCATGGCGGGAATATGAAGTGCGGTGAAGGAGCGTTCGGTGACTTCTGATGTAGGTATGTAGTCGGAGATGAATAGGATGACAAGTTCAGGAGACTTGATTAAAGGTGAGATGCAGTGGCATTGAGTCACTCTCGGTGAAAAATGGTCGTCACCGCCGCTAGCCGATTTGCCTTATCGGTCTACCCCACTGTGGGGCGGTGATGAGGGGAGAGAGGCAGCCCCGGGAGGAGGGTCTAGAGATGCCTGGCGAGATAGTAGATACTAGTGTATGTGAATTGTACATTTCGATCATTAAAGTTGATGCTTGATAGCAGGATTGGATGAGTTGACCAGGTATTTGGGAATATAGAGGGTTACCAAAGTGGTAAGACCACTAAAAGATACCATTTTCTATCCATGGATGCAACATAAAACGCATTCTCCGAGCAATATACCAGTACTAGTATGACACGACACTCATTTAAAAGTCTCTCGCATACTAGTATTTCAGGTAACTATTGTTCTCTAGAAAATATCCTGAAAGGGGTAGGTCTTCCAGTAAGGGCGCATATAATAGTCAAATGGTTCCTGTTACGTAGATTGCGGCACGTAACTCATGAAATTCATATATTTCTAGGTACATTCAACAAATCAAATTGTGGTGATTCAAATTATGTGAGATGAATGAGCATGACGATGGTGGATATGCAGGACTCATCGGCGATGTATACCGCATCGTAACGTTGAACAAATTTCTGGTGCTCTTTGTCTCGCATCAGTCTGAGTCATTCCAGAGAGCGATTGTGCATGCCAAAGTAGTTGTACAAAATAATAGGCTTCTCTTCAAATAGCTTGGTCCTCAGGAAGGCAGTAAGCTGTAGTTTTTCGAATGTAGCGGGTGTTAGACCACTTTCGGGGAATGAGGAACTTCGGTTTGGCTATTTGAAACTCCTAGCTGAATGATTGAAGTTTAGATTTTTGTGAAAACTTGTCCAGAATCTTATCAAAGTTTCTAATCCTGGCATATTCTTCACCACCACCGTATTGGGTAAGAAGCAGGTCCGCGACTGCGGTAGTTGATTTGAGCAAGTGGCTCTTCTTGCTATCGGATTTATGAGCCCTTTGGAGCCTTTGACTTCGGAAATTGCGAGCAATGTGGACAGCATACTTGATGCCAGTAGCCAAGACCAGCCTGTTTGGCCGCAAACCAATAAAACATGAGATTCGCCACGGAGCTTGATGAAAGTATCCATTTCAGGCCAGGCGCGCAGTCTCCAGCCCAGTCTTCATACGTTCCAGGTTTAAAGAGGTGAAATCCTTCGTGCAATTACTGCAATAGGTTGGTATTCTTGTGAAACCTTCTAATTTGGAATGAGATATACATTTTCTTATTGAGCATTCTGAGGCATCGAGGTAGCGTTTTGCATTTTACCCAGCATTGACTCAAGAGTATGGCAGACCGTGGCGATAGCGGCCAAATGGCCACATCAATTTCTCGCGTGTGAATCATTACACCGTTACGCCCGTCACTTGGTTTCGTTATGAAGGGCTAATCAAAGAAAATGCCGTACTCATAGGGTGTTTTTTTTAATTTAGTTATACTAGTGCTACAGTATAATTGTAGCGCTTAGGCTGTTTTATGTCTTCATTCTCTTTGCTATATTTAGTTCTATACCTAGTTGCGATAAGTTACCTACGATACTGGAGATGCAATTGCTTTACTGCGAGTAAAAACCGATTTAGCCGTTTGACCGCTAGCCGTAGTTAGAGAGAAAAGGCAGGATCTTGCATGAGGGTGGTACGTATCTACTGTAGCTACTACCCCACAACATCCAAGACCACAAGTCATTAGCAGACCCCACCAAAACCACCTTCAATGCAATATCTATGACTAAGAAAAACAAGCCTGATCCCATTGGGACACCGAGCAGAAATAAGAAAAATACCGAAACGCCGACAGAACAATTCAACCCAAATAGCCGAGGCGGGAAGTTCACCCCATACAACCCACCCGGCAAAACGCTCAACCGCGGACCAGGAAATTGCGGAGAGAAGAGCGAATCCCCGCAACGCATTTCCAATACTCACTCTCTACGCCACCATTGCATCTACAACTATTCAACTCGACTACAACATCTCCTCTACTCAATTCCACCTCCCTACACAATAACCACCATAATGCCGAAATCCATCCTCCTCATCAACGGTCCCAACCTAAACCTCCTCGGCACCCGCGAGCCCCATATCTACGGCAGCACCACCCTCGCCGACGTCGAGAGCAACGCACAGGCAACCGCAGCAAAGCACGGCCACACTCTCGAGTCCTTCCAAAGCAACCATGAAGGCGCAATCGTGGACCGCATCCAAGCTGCCCGTGGCAAAGTCGACGGCATTGTGATTAACCCGGGCGCGTACACGCACACATCCGTGGCGATCCGGGACGCATTGCTGGGCGTGGGCATTCCCTTTATCGAATTGCATGTTAGCAATGTTCATGCGCGCGAGCCTTGGAGACACCACTCCTATTTTAGTGATAAGGCTGCGGGTATAATTGTTGGATTGGGCGTTTATGGGTACCAGGTTGCTGTTGAGCATGTGGCGCTTAATTTTAAGGAGCTTGAGAAGGAGAGTAAGGCTGCTCTCTAGATTTCAGAGGAAGGCTTTGGAGATATATTACCGGTCTTGGAAGGTACTTGATGAAATCAGATCGATGATCACGGGCAGTATTGTGCTGATGATGGTTGGAACGATATAAAAGTTATGAATTTTGTATGTATGTTGAATGATGCAAGCACAAATTACATTTTACTAGTATCTAGTAGCTAGTTACTACCTCCTACTAGTCAGGAATCAGTGGTAGGCTATCTGCAGTACGAACTACTAAGTAGTAGTGGTACTTTAGCCCTGAAAATTACTACTGATATCTACTACTATTAGTAATATCCAGGTTCTCCCTTTGGTTGTTGATGCATACTTTTATTGATATCATCACCCTTTGAAGATTATTATACTAATACCCAAGTACCAACGCCCCTCAAAACCTATATGCACGCCCAAAGTACCATGATAATAATGTGATTTCGTACATCGACCCTAGATTGATCCGGAACAAAATGCCGACCAGCGGCTACGTCCGCGAAACAATGCCCGCTCCTTCATCGATTCGGTGTACCTGCCATACTGAGTGACTGCGATTCTCTGCGATCAATAGACGGGGGGGCCATTTCCGGGCATTTGCTGCGTCTGCGCGAGCAAGAAAGGCTCGATCTGGTTTGAGAAGGAGTACATCTCCGGCATGCTGGAGTCGGCGACGAAGCCAAGGTTTTGCATGAATTCGGGTTGATTGTCGG